TGCCATGGATGATGGTAGTCCTTTGACCACTTCTCGGAGGTAGCTAGCATGTCGAATGATCTTGAACAGTCAGAACTCAAGCAGCAGCTTAGCAACAAAAGGCACAGCTCAACCCCACAGCAAGCCTGCATACGTAGAAAATCAAACTCTGTACTCCATTAGCCACCTCTCCAAATAAGAGTAAGTCGTGCACATGGGGAATCTCAAAAAATGCCCAAGTCCCACTGAGGCAAATCTGCCGACCGCACTGTGACACTTGGAATTCCTCTCCATCTACGCATGACTTGTGACCCATCAGTTAAAGCGAAGCATCCATCTCATCGATGCTGAAACGGTGTCATGCCATCGAATTGCGTAGAAGAGCGGTGTTGTTCGGTACTGCGGCGATGGTATCCGGTAGATCATCACGTGATGCGAAGTCTTGGCACCCATCCCCCAGACACTTAGGTTCTCAGGGGCATCGCCGCATTTTAATTTTAACTGGCAAGGAGCCTTGAAATTGGAAATTTTATGCTCTTCTGATTTTCCATGTCGACGGGTTCAAGCTCAATCGAGAGTATCCCGCAGAGTTATAGTAGATGAGTGGTCCAGCTCTACGAATTCTATCTTACTTCACCAGCCAGTATGAAAGCATGCTAGCCAACAGAATAGTTCGATGTTTGCTTCTCAAAATCAGATCATTAGAAGGGTCAGCTCTAGATGATCGAGATCCAGTGTACATATCTCTCTGTCAATAAAGTGGCCTTTGTCTGTTGAGGAAGGCAATCGCCGGATGCGTCGAACGCGCTTGGCAGCAAAGATGTACAATGCTTTCGCACTTAATGTAAGAAGCATGTTCGCATCTTCCCAATTAAATGCCTTGACTTATTGATCGCCTAAGTCTCGATGGCTCGTATAGGTATATTGCGTTCGGCCTTAGTCGCCGTAGTGGGACCGGGGACTGGGGGGACATATGATCTTACCTCTATTTCAAATACTATATCAGCGGTCGGAGACAGGACCAGCTACATATCCACCTGTTCTGCACCTCCAAGTGGCCCTTCGTTCGATTTCCTCTCTTCCAGAGCCATTGCATTCTTTGGTGCCCAACTTGCACGGCATGTAGGCTAAGTCGCTACGGTGTCAGTTTTCTACAAAAGCTAATTCATCTACAGAGGTTTAAGCGTCAAGCTCATAGGCATCGAGTGAGCTGGTACTCTTTTCTTCTATCTTACGGGGGTTTTGAGGTTCGAATCGAGGCTAGCGAGGACGGATGTGATAATCAGGGCTACACAGGCTACCAAGGCACATGGCTGGCAAGACCACAAGGCTATCGATGTACACAGCTGTCAAAAGCACACGGCAGGCAAGAGCACACGGCTGTTGAGGAACATGGCTATCGAGGTACACGGTCATCGAAGTACACGGCTGTCAGAGCATACTCCTCCTACAATCATAAAATCCAGGATATGACTCCCAATGCCCACGGCCATCGCAAGCATCTCTCCAGGCTCATGCCCACGTCACGGTATCTGAATAGGACTTCAAAGCATACTGCTATCTTCTAGACCCAGCACACGGCTAGCAGGGTATACGTTCAGCAGAGCTATCGCCCGCATAGCACTCGGCCCACTGCATTCTAAAGGATAGAATTCGAGTCACACAGCCAGCAGACAGCCTACGTCAACATCAGACTTCTATCGTACCCCCATCTTATCGGCACCAGCATCCTTCGGACCTCCAGCACTGGTGCTGGCTATTCTCGCCAGGGACGTCCTCTTCGACGATTGTTTTTGGGTATTGGGGAGTTTCTTGGCGCTGGGTTATGAGAATACGTTTGTTTCGGGCCTCTATTCAGCTGCTATCACCGGCGTTGAGACAGCTCAACCACTTGTTTACATCTCATGTGGGCCCTATGTGTGTGATGCGTGAGAATGGGAACACTGAGGAGGGTTTTTGGCATTTCGGTTGCTCTTGCAACGGTTCGTAGCGGCGACTAGGTGTCCTGGACAAATAGTCGCCGGTTGGGTCCACTCAGTGATGTAGCGGCTGCGTTATGGCGTTTATGGAGAAAATGTTTATAGCAGAACGTCATCTCCTCTAGCGATTATGCTTATATTGTCTGTCTCGTTATGCTATGTTGCAACAACCGCTCACGCCACGAGCACCGTAACATCTTTCTCACATAATTCTGTCCGCTGCCTAGATTGAAAGGATAATATAGAATCTCGCTGTCGATTTCGGTCATCGAATGAACAGCAGCTGTGAAAAACACCTTGTGGATTGTGAAGACTATGCTCCAAGGCCAGCCTAGAGTCACAACCAGCGACATGCACCGACAAGAAAGTAGCCAGGAGTATGCCACATCCATGTCTCAGCCGGACAAGGAATCGCAGTTGTGCTTCTAGTCTCTATCGCAGAACAGCACCATGATTCCTGAGGATCTGTTGTGTGGCATTGTTCATAGCCTGCAACAACTCTGTGTATAGACACATAGAACTTGCGGTCGGTGAGGCGACCCAGGTTCTAAACGCCACACGGTCTTTGTATCCCTTGTATGATTTCTGCACCGAACAGTGAGTTCAATTCGGAACAGCCGAATACACACACTTCCTAGTATTCCCTGCGGTAGCCTAGTCTTTGTGAGAGCCCAGTGCTCCTTCGTACGGTGCGTGTAACGCTCTCGCTGGATTGAGGTATGTAATCGCTTGCACCTCTGCAATCCAGGATGTCTAGTCGACCTATATAGTGTAGCGGCCGGTTCCATGACTTCTAAGGCGCTCTGGGGATCCTTCGGGCGGCAGGAATACGAGTACGCTGACGAGTAACCTGTGGAAGAGGACTTGTGGGGTGCCTCGAAGGAAGAACCGATGAAGGGTTTAGAGTAAGGTTGGGTGGATGGCCAGCAGAATGGCCAGAGACTAAGAGGTAGGGGTTTTCTAAACGATATGTATTAGTGTTACTGTTTAGCCGCATTGTTCGAAAAAAGGAGCAATGTCTCTACCTAAACCCTTCTAGTGGACGAGAGAGGTAGCTAGACAAGCACTCAAGCATGGAGTTAAACCCTTGATGTCCAGTGCTTTTCTCTTTTGGTACAGCTGCCTAGTGTTCTTGCCTCTCTCATATCCAGAGTCCCTCTCTTCTAGCGTCCAGTATTGCATGCAGAGGTGTGGATCATTGGGAGAGGAGACGGATGGGCGAATAGCGACAAGTTTCGAGTTGATAGAGCGCAGATGGAGAGGGATTTGCATATCTGCGAAGAACCGGCATCGCTGTGCCCGGGCTGCCGGGAGGGCGCTGTCGTCTCTGGGAAGGATGCTCGAGAGGTAATTGCTATAGTTCTGCTCTGGTATTTCATGTTTTGCAGCAAAGTACATGTCTGTCTCCCCCTTTTGACTGCGGGTCATTGCACTGCTGAAGCACTCTGGTCTAGACCGGCACCATGTCTCAATTAGCTAGGTATGGGGAGATGCAAGAGTACCAACCCACTCACTTCTAACAGGTGGAGAAAAGCTTGGAAAAATTCTTTTTCGATCATGCCCTGGCCTAAGTGCCCAGCCCTCACCAGCACGGTGTCAGTCCAAGTGGGCAAAAAGACGGAGCAACAACCCTAGGCACACGGCGCCACCGAACCAATGGGGGGCTCTCAAATCTTGGCTTGAAATGAATGATATCCGCATGTCCTGCCAACTGCGCAGGAGGATGACTTGGCAATCCCTTCTCGGCGCTACCATTGACAATATCCACGGGAACCTTCGAAAACAATCCGTCTCCCGCATCGAGTCTGTGGCTATCGAGTCCTCAGCCGCCTTCGTCGACAAAAGAAGCAGTATTTGAGTCTCGAGACCGCTGTTTACTAAAGTCGAAAGGAACTTTCTAAGCCACCGACTCTCTACATTTCGCCTTTACTATGCAGGTCCTCAGCTGCCTCCCTGGGGCCTATACTAGTGAAGCGATCCTTAGCTGTTGAACTCGCTCTTCACAGGATCAGAAAGAAGCTTCCAACATCACTTCGACCCCTGGTGCGCTACTACGCGGTCTAGTAGATTGAGGGGCAGGGTAGAAGGAGGAAGCAACGAATCGCTCTAGAGCTTTCTGTTCGATGAATAACAGAAGCTAACTCCATTTAGCTCCACAGCCACATGACCCCTTGCTTCTGGCGAGTGAAAGAGCTCCTGCGCTGATAGAGGAAAGGGAATGAAGCCGTACTAGGCCGTCAAGAGCCATCTTCACGCATGGAACTAGGGCAGATCCCATGCTTCTGGCGAATGAGAGAGCCCCTACGCTGATAGAGGAAAGGGAATGAGGGCGTAGCAGGCTGTCAAGGGTCATCTTCACCCACGGAAGGAGGGCAGATCCCATGCTTCTGGCGAATGAGAGAGCTCCTACACTGATAGAGGAAAGGGAATGAAGCCGTAGCAGGCTGTGAAGGGTCGTCTTCACGTATGGAATGATGGCATCAACAGCAATGACGGGTCATGCCTTGAGCCTACGCCACCTAGGAGACCAATCAGATAATTAGAAGGGTGAATCGACAGCCCACCATAGACACTGTTCTTCACCGGTTCGTGAGGTGTCAAAGAAAGCCTCGCTCGCATTCCTTTGACCATATTTTGGTCTATACCGAATCCGGCGATTGGAAGACCAATCAACCCTTCCTCTAGACAAAGGGAATACGTCCCACGCTGCAGATCGCAATAGTGACCTCTGCATGACCTGCAGTCAGTGCTGCGAGTGATTCTTCACCTCACTTGAGGGCCATGGGGGTTAGGACAGGGGCACGATTGGTCGATGAATGACACAAACTAATTTAGCGAGGTTCACCGGGTCCCTTTTCTTCCACTTCTTCCTCCACCACACTTAACAACTCCACACTCCTCATCATCCTTCAGTCGAACAACATCTAGTCCTTTTATGTTCTTGCAGGAGGTACAGCAAAGCTTCTCATCATCGTCTTGGACATTTGAACATGTCTAGCTGTTTACCAGCAGGCCTGAACTCCATGTTACGCACACAACACTATGGAGCACAGTGAGTTCTCTTCATCGATGTAAGACTACCACCTGCAACACAACCCTACTTAGTACTCGTTCAGCATCTCTTTCCACATGCTCAGGGTGGCTCACTTCCTTGAAGGCAAGGAGGTAGCCTACTGTGGCACCAGACCAAGTGTCTAGATGGCGACATCCTCTCTTCCACAGTAAGTATTTGCAACGTTTCACCGTCCTCTGCTAACAGCTTCAGGACATCAGCGAGCTCACCTGCCGAGGTCTCTAGCTGAGCTTGACTACGACCAAGGCACTGACCTCCGACACATCGACGACAAGGACCTCAACTGCCACGACGATCACCCAAAGCCATGCTTCCTACTCCATGGCATTCAAGCTCAACAGCTTCAAGGTTCGTAGCACTGCCTGTCCTACTGTATAAGCTAAGTGCTAAACACAAATAGTGATCGTGCTTACCAGTGGAGTGGACGATGGTGATCTTTTCACATCAGAAGCCAACACTCCCACCACTGCTTCCAACAGCACTCTACCTTCCTCTCGCGGCAGCTCAACTTTGTCACAGCTAGCTAGCAGTCAGTGCTCTGAGCTTACAGAACTTTAACCGGCTCTGTTCTGCGACTTGATCGATGCTATCGAGGCTCCTTCCGTTATATCAGCCATGTCTTCTGCAGCGACAGTGTGGAACGTGGTCGAACCCAAGGCACCAAGTAAGTGATTCGTTGTTGACCAAGGTTCACTCACTGACCTTGAACACAGACACTTTCTCAAAGCATACCTTCTAAATACACATGGACTCAAACGGCGAAAACTTTCTTCTGTTGCACTTGACTCTTGGTATTAACTACCAAGAGCTGTCCTGGAAACGGTTTGACTCGTCGCACTAAGTTCCTGGAGAGAAACCTGCACTCTCTCAGTCTAAGAACGCACAAGTTTATCGCGACCTCGTCGAAGGGTATAAAAAACCCTGCTGCCTTTCCTACTCCTTCTTCATCGAAAAGTCTGCCATAGGCACACGGCCAACCCATATTCCAACCAACCTTGGGTGGCTACAGGACATCAACTGTGCAACTTCCAAAATCGCCACGAATCCCTAAAAAGCGTTCATCGATCTCATGTCCAGCAACGCATCAACGCCATTCCTCAAGCAGCAGAGCAAGGCTTGGATGTCAACTCGCGAACAACCAATGCTGGCCGACCAAGAAAACAGTCAAACGTCAAGTTGGCACAAGATGACGAGCCGCAACACTTGGGAGACGATAGTGCGTGCGAGAACATATGCCTAAGTCAGTCTTGGGTATATATATACATATTGCAAGATGGGGATGTTGGGTTACTTCTCCACAAGGTCAGTAAGTCTACCCCATCCTTGTGCCCGTCTCGCATCCATGACCTCAGACTTACCAAGCTGGTGAAAACTTCTAGCTCGCACCATCAAGAATTCCACCAGCGAAGCATAGACGGCCAAGAAGATTCGAAAGGCTTTGGAGTACGTTGGCCCGATTGACATGAGATATGTCAGTAGCTTTGAGACCCTTTCTTGCTCGATGGAAGATCCTATTCCTGAGTTCCGAACTTTAGGTGGATTCATCGCGTCGATCTTGGCGGAGGGGGATGAGATCTCGGCTCATGGCAGCGGCCATGATGAGAGCTGGAGCTCCAATGCCCGAGTACATGTCCATGCATGTCGCTCGGCAGATCCTGCAAGCCATTGACTACCTACACCAACGTGGTATCACCCACCATGACCTTAAGCCTGACAACGTCCCTCACATTGCTCGGCAGCAGAGAAACCCCCGAGGTGGACCATACAGCAGAGTTATCACATCCCTCAAACAAGACTTACATAAATATAATACCCACCTCCAACCAGTCCACATTCCTCGCAGCAGCAAGAAACTGGAGGAGTTGTGTAGAAAGGAAGCGATTCAGGTCGGCGACACGTGGACGAAGACTGGCAGGGGTGGCATTACAACCGCCTTCAGTGCTACGGTGGGCAAGCCTTCCTCAGTATTACCATACAGAGCTAATAGTGGCTACTGTTCTTTCACAGATCGAAGCACTTGACGCACGCTCGTCCCCCATGATGGGAACAACCGGTCATTCAACTGGCAACACATGGCCTTGCATAGGTCCCAGTGATTTCGATCAAATCATGGTTCAAGCCCACTCGGGAGTTGACAGATCCTTCCGTAACACGTGGGATATCATTTCCGTGACGAGAAAAAACCAGGAGCTTGCCAATCTTCACTTGTGTCGTCAGTGTCTTCCGCTCTGGGAGGACGAGATGGAGAAGTGGGGATGTAATGGATTGGGTGAGAGAGTGGGCGACCGATGGAAGCCGAGGCCAAAGCGTGGTTGCTATTGGTACGTGCCGACAACCTTCAGACACCTTGCACTGCTGTTCTCCATGAACTTGCTCTTGTGCGCATGTGACTGACTATCTTTGAACAGGGTTGGCGTCAGGTTGTTCGTTGACCGATAACCCGGAAAGTGAGAACCGAAGGCAGTGGACGGCATTCTGTTGTATATACGACTCTGGCGTATTTCATCAAACCATTGGAATCTTCTTTTTTTCATGATGGAGTCCTTGCGAAGAAGCAGGCGTGCTAACTCAAGATAGACTGCTCTGACTGATATAGCAGGTTCTGATCCCGAGCTCAACCAGTGAACTCGTTCGTCCTGAGCAGTGACGTTATAAAGGCTCGTGATATGTGCAAAGACCATCAGGTATGTTGAAGTCAGGCGGCTCCCTTGCAAAAATGCAAACACTAATTCGGTGTCTCCAGCTCCACCATTGACATTGACCTCTTGCCATCATCTCTTTAATCTTTTTCTCTTCCTCTTGCCAACAAGTACGTGGCACTAAAAATATATATACGACTTGGGCGTGTAAGTATCTTCCCATGAACCTAATCAATCATAAGGTAGCTAACCAGTGCCGCCTGTTAGAAGTACAATTTTCGTTGGTAAAGAGACCAGTTCAACAACAGTGCTGAGGTAAGCAAAACCGAAACGATCTGACTTCTCACAGCCATGCGTCCTCTTCCACCGGCACCGGACCTGCCTGACTTGGCCGAAGTCCTTCGCAAAGCTACCGTTGAAGGTATTAGGCAGGGTATCGCCTGGGCTAAGAAGGATAAGGGTAAGCATAGCTTCGTTGCTGATTTAGATTTCTTCGGTCTGATGCCCTTTGTGTTACTTAGAAGAAGAAGAGAGCCGCTTGGAGATTAAGCGTGAACGGGATCAATCACCGGAAAGTCTGTTCGTTACGCAGGACAAGAATACTAAGACGGACACTCATGTCGCCGTAACCACACTCTCCTCTGGTCCCTTTGCAGGCTTACGTTCAGCGAAGAAGCGTGTCCGTGAAGATACCGATCTAGAGGAAGAATCAATGGCTAGCTATGGCTCAGCAGGAAAACTGGGCAAGAAAGCGCACGATATGGTCTGAACCTGCGGATCCATCTCTTGAGGACAGATTAAGACCGCCACTCCACGCTTCGTCCTCAGACAAAGAGGTACAGGACATCGGAAGACTGATTGCCATGCGACTCCACGCTGCAGCCACGGACCCAAGACGACCTCCATTAAGGAGATTATATATATATCTCCGCGCTCGCAAGCGCGAGATCACCGGAGAACAGGGCCAAGGCTAAAGCTTGGAGTGGTAAATTCCTTCCCGATCTGCTAGTTACTTCTTATGCTCATCATTGCTGTAGCTGCCGCCGACGGAGGATATCTCGTCGAGAATGGTAAACCTGATATCACTGTACGCAAGACCAGCTATCAGACTTCTCCGGATCTTTCCCCCTCGTCTAACTCTAATCCATCCGAGGCTGTAAAGCAATGCAAGAAGCGGACCAAGTGGTCCAAACAAACGGATCCATCTCTTGAGCAGAAGTATGGCTCGAAGGAGATGGCCTTGGACGTAAGCATCCGGTTCCTTAGTGACGTACTCGGACGCGAGCTAAGAAAGGGCCATTACACAGGCCGAGGAATTCTCGGAAAAGGCCCCTTCTCAGTTGTGTGCGGAAGATCAAGAACACTGGCAGAGACTCCGCCCAGGTACGTAAAACTTCTGCCCACCGATACAAGTGTGTGTCTTTATTATATCTACCGCCGCTGACTTCAATTTTTAGCTTTGCTAAAATTTCACGCGCGTGGGAGTGACTTCAAGAACACCCACTCCTTCCAGAGTCGGTAAGTTCAAAAAAAGCTTCGAAGACATTATAAAGGGCTGCTAACGCGTCTTGATAGCCTTACTCAGATAAGGCGAAGCCTTCGGGGTCTGCAGGAAGTCTCGAATGGCACCCGTGCCAGATTTAAGATCTTCGATCATAAGATCCAACCTAAGGGCAGATGTGCCGCACAAATCTCTGGACAGAAGACTGGAAAGAAGACTAGACAGAAGACTAGACGAAAAATTGGTTAGACGACTGAGCAGAAGACTAGGCAGAAGAACGGGGATCGAGTCTAGAAGGCTCGCAATAGCCGTGTGACAATTGAAGACGTGGCGTCCAGGACACAAGAGAAGGAGTTCCTTCCAAAAGCCCACGGGGCACAGCAATCTTTCGATGCTCACATCGCAGTGATGGTAAGTTTACACATGAACCAGCAAGGTTGGCAACGATCGATACTCACATAGTGTCCATTAGGACATTACCCGTCAATGATTATGTCGATCTGAGACTGCGCCCGGCAATCTTCACGATAGGGGTCCTGACGAAGAATGTTTGCGGGTAGAAAATGCAGGATCTCAAAATGTCTCTTTATGCGAAAAAGATGCAGCAGACGGCAAAGACTTGACACAAACTCTGAGCTATATCCGACAACGACTTCAACAAATTGAATTTCTCTTTCGCCAATCCTCGTCAGGATGGCTCTTTACGGGCTTCCTGCTCGTGCTTATATAAAAATATTACGGTAACTGGTGGTCTTCTCCCTGTCAAAAGTCGAACGTTTGCTGATACCCATCCAGCTCCGTCATGGCCGCACTGGTGGACAACAGGTCCATCAAAGACACCCACGACCGCGACTCGCGTCGCGCCACGCCCAAGCTCAAGCCTGAGTTCAATGGCGAGTCGTTCTCAGGAACTTTGAGAACGACAACGGTGGTAGTCGAAGGACTACTAATCGAAGGGGCCGAGGGGTGGGTTGAGGAGAGACGGTTGGTGCCCGGGAGAGAGGTCGGCCTCCATGGCGTGCACGTAAGCAATAGACTATGAAGATCCTAGTTTCTTGCTTACACTAAGAAAGCATGCAGGCGTGGTTGCCCAAGTGCCAGACAGAATGGTTACTCCGAGGATGCTCGGAGAGGAGTCTGGAGAGGAACCTTTTTCTCTGCATCGGCTGGGTATCTCATCGAGCCGCTGCCAGACATGGCATCGTCAAAGAAGGATGCCGGGCTGCTAGCAACGGTCGTATGATTGGCTTTTTCCGTCAACAAGCATGCTTTGGGTTCTCGCCAACGCCAAAGACTGGAACATACGAGTATCCAGACTCACAGTACCATGGCATCCAGAGCTCTCATGAACCTCAACACGGAGACTGTGTCTCTCGTCAACCTCTGTATACTCCGGAAGGTCCACATCCATCTGCAGCCTCCATTGTCGCTCTTACCAGCAAACAATTACCAACCCAGGCCTACTCACCAGAATCAGAATGGAGTCGAACCATCCATACTCGCAGAATCTCAATGCTGCCAACCAACCCGACTCACAACAAGCCAGCCCTGATGATCAACAGAAGGGTTTCGGCGCCATGGAACATCGACAGACGCATTTTCAGATCAGGCTTTTCCATTACACATGATCCTCTGTATATCCTGGTGCGGTCACCATCAACGACCCTTTCCTGCCGCATACCGATTTGCATACACAGTACACTGGCATTGGCACCAACTCTTTTTGGTCGCACGTCGGCTTTCAAAACCAGCAAAGTGGCGAATATCATCGATCTCGTTCGCTCACTGCGGGTGGAGCAGATCCTAACTTTGACCGTCGTGATAAGGACTCGGACAGCCAATCTTGGACTCCAGATCCACGATGGCACCGCTGGACTATTGGAGTTGCTGGTGGGAGTGGTTTTGACATCGAGCGTCTAGGTTTTCCCCGGCTCTAGATTGGCGGTGAAGATCGATCTTGAGGCACCAGAAGGTGGCTGAGTGTATATAACATTTCTTAGGAGAAACAGTGTCTCAAACGAAAATGATCGCTCTTGCTGATGTGCTCAATCGATGGGCGCGCGTCTGATCGCACTGGTTCTGCTGACAATACACAGGTGAAACTAACAGTCTTCAGAGCCTGTCGTCCTGAGCATCCGAGACGTTAAAAGGCTCCTTCTTCTCAACAAATCCCGCAAGTCTTCGCCAGCGACTATGACTGCACAGGGAAGAAGAGCCAGAATATGATTGCGACATGATCCAACACTCCCCTACCTCGAAGCTTTCCAGGCGTCCTGTTGACAGTCGAAAGCCATCCCTGCTCTCGATTGCCCAGAGCTCAGTGATCCTTCTTTTTTCGAAGATGGAGGTAAGCGAGAGGAACGTACGAGTACTCTTCAAAATCTTGTCTTGTAAGTTTTACCAGTGTTCTTCCCAGTGTTCACAGTGTTTGATAGTAACATCTTCCAGCGAGCAGGTTTTCGTTACGAAGATTTCCTATGAGACAATCGAAACCCTGAGGTTTTCCCAGCGATGGTTTGCTGGTCCGCTAGCGTTGCGACATTGTTTGGAGGTAAGCTAGTTCCAAGCTCCATCTCGCATTTCCTCATTGCCGATTCTTGGGGTTTCTTGGCTTGAGCTGTGCAATAGAAATCAGACATCATTCCGCGATTTGGTGTGCGCACACTCGATACAGATGTGCCAAAGGATCCGTTCAAGTCAAACTGCTAACTCAAAGGAACATGTAGGACGAAAATTCCTCTGCCTGGGAAGGCATTATAATATCTCGAAGACATCCTGCCACCAAGTATGAGCTGTTAGCCACTCTTCCCGAACAGGTCTCAAGCAATGGTACTTCTAGCACCTTCACGCTACCTCTCAGATTCTTGGACCTAACCTAATAGAGAAAAGGCGTCGAACTTTCGGCCTCAGCTCCTCCATCACGCCCAATTATTTCGTCTTAGGGGCATCTTTTCAAAGCCCGGTCAATATCTTCTTTCTACCTTCTTTTTAGCCTTTTGATTTGAGGGAGTCGTGCCCATAGAGTGGCACAAGGCTCTTATCTCAATACAAATATATATGCCTCAAAGGCGCAGGAGGCATGCTCAAAGCCGCAACAACTGGCATTAGAGCCGGTCAAATCCAGCGGAGATCGCTCCCACGACAGGAAACGCGTTCAACCTTCGATACTGGCGTATTGACTGATAGGCTCGTCGTGCATCCAAGGTAATGGCAATCAAAGCCAGGCCTCCGCAAAAAACCCTTTGACTAACGTCTTCTAGACGCAGCCACATGATTCCGTCTCGATCCTCGTGACCTCTCATGCACAGCAGCAGATCACCCTCGCGAGACAATGAATAGAATCATCCCTCGGCAGTTCCCGGCAGATCAATGTCACAGAATTGTGCATGCCTGATGGGCAAATCCTGGCAACCCGAAATTCCAGCAGGGCGTGGCTTGACGGCATCCTATCATCCAAACCACACTCCTATAGCCGCAGCGAGAATAGTGGAGGATCTCCATTTTTCGTCCAAGACATCGCCATGCAGAGGAGCCCCACTGCCCTCGAGCCGCAGATACAGCCCGCTTCCGGCTCAGCGATCGTCTTATCCAGCCGCGCCAGGGGATGTGTGGGATGAGGAGGATCTCATGAGGTTTTCAATGACGAAGCAGCCCTGATAACTGATGCCTCGTAAGTACAGTCCCGGTGGATCGTTGCAAGAACATCTTCTCATTGATGGACGCTGATAGACGATGCTAGCTACGAATCTGCCAGACGCTCGCACTGTTGGAAAATCACTTATAGGAAATTCACCGTAAGGGTCTGCTCAACACAGCTCTGCCTTCGCGCGATCGATCAGCTATCATTGTGAGCGCCGCCAAAGCCAAGGCAGTTGACCACGGACGAACACATGATTATCTCGACAGCGTATCCATAATCAGCCTAGCATTGCAACTATACTGCGTGCTAAATATATACCCCCTATCCTGCAGCGAGGAGAACGAAGACTCGGACGACGGAAGAGAGCAAGGGCAACCTGGTCACGGCACCTATGCCCGGCCACGAGAAAATTATTCCATCGCAAGGAAGGGAAGTTGACATCATGCAAGAGCGCGAATGGAAAACAACCCGTCTGTGGAGCTAGCCAGACTCGTTGGTGTCGTCATTGGAATCTGCGGCCGCAAGAGGGCCCTGCTGCGGTCTCCTAAGCCGCCACGAGTTCTTGGATGTATGGTCAGCAGTCATCGCGTCAGCCTTCCTCGCGAAGGTCATACGCGAGTCAAGATGTTCGCAATCCTCATGCCAGGGTACTTGTATGCCTTGCCTCTCAAACGCTCAGCAAGTTACAAGGGCCAGGAACGCCAGACTGTCTCCACAACAGCATTGTGGCCAGCGCTCGGCATTCGAACAACAACTTGTAATTCATCCTCGTGCGTCAGTACGACTGCAACATCAACAGCCTTCGCATGTGAACACTACAGCCCTTGAATCGATTATCGTCTCGCAGTCATGAATGATCAGCCAAAATGGTAAGTGTGCTAAGCAGAAAGGGCAGTCCTACAAACCTATATCGAAGTCAGCCATCTACACAAAGAGACTCAGCAGCCTCCTTCTCATCTTCAACAAAGCCATTTATCTCGAGCTGTGGAAAGTCGACAAGGTCGACTTTCGCAACACATCCCACAGAACAATGACTCTTCCTCAAAATATTCTCCGATACGGAAGAACGCTCACTCACCAACACCGTATTTGCCCTCAAAAACCCCCAATGGCGATCAACCTTCGAAAGCTACTAATGAGAAAATACTCATTGCTCAGAGGTTCAAGCTAGACTTGGAAGCTGCTCACGCCGACGAAGCGGCTTCGCAGTCTCTTAGCCCGCTAGGTCTTGTCCCAGGCTATCCAGATTCGAAGAGGCATACTCAAACAATATCAAGGTCCTGCTGGCAGACTTGATGGCCCCGCGGGCATTGAGATCATTGATCGTGTGGTCGTGTCCGATGAACAGTGGGCCGGGCTCTAGCTTGAATCCTGCACGGCCACTCTCAAATATGCGCTCATGGCAAGCCCCCAGGTCAACGTCGAGCGTGTCCCCGAGTCAACCTCAACTGCAAAAGTGAGAAACTAGCTAGAGTCACCTTACGCAAAAGACTAGACCCTACTGTCAGATTCATGCTACCAAGGATAGCCCCAAGGAATGAATGTTTCAAGATGAGAGCTGAGCACATGGCATCAAGGAATTGCTTATGCGAAAGAAAGTAAAGAGCACGAAAACTGAGAAAGGGCTGCATGCAGCAACAAAAATTGACAAAATTAGCATGTGGGAAAATGGAAAGCGCCAACCCTTCCCTTTATATAAAAATATTCGATCTCATGAAACGCATGGAGGATCGAACAGGGTTCAAGGCGAGGGCTGTTGCATGGTAGCCAAGGATGGGGCCAAGCGTTCGGTGTTGGAGCATCGGTCCCATATATCGGTAATTCAATGGGACCAGTCGACGAGGTACGGCCGGAAGATATCCGGGGTTGAGCTTGGAGGCATTCGATCCCATTCGCTTCCAAGATCGCTACCACATCGTCTTCGACAACCAGCGTTCAGCCTGTTGGATATTCATCGTACCGATTTATCTGCTAACGTCGCGCATAGAGCGGTCCAGATCGGCACGATTGCTGGCGGTGAAACGGACAACACTGACAACAACGACAGTGACAATGATGACACTGATAACAAAATCCTCACCCCACCCAGCCCCAATACCGATGTCGAGCATGCAGGAAGGGTTGACAATCCAATGGACCATGGTTTTCGAGCCACCACCGTCGGCCAAGAAGAGCAAACATCCAATCATCTGCCGGAGGCACCGCCTGTCCGGGACTATCGCGATGCCAATGGCATCGACCATGGTTACGCCATGAGGGAGGCGTTGCTCAACCCTCGGCCGGATCCCTGGGCCTTAATCTGAGGCAATACCCACTGGTGAATACTTGAACACTTCTAAACAACCGTACAGAGGACGCTGATGCCTGTAGAAACCCTGCCTCTGCCACCCGCATTATCCTTTCGAACGATACAAAGCAAAGCAACAAGGACAATCTACCAAACGAAGGGGGTAGTGGCTGGGGTCTCAATGGATATTCTCCGCTGGATACATGGTCCACTCCATCCTCTCAGCCTTCATTTCATTTGTCATTGGTTCCAAAGGGAGGAACATACTGCTTACGGAGCGACTCCAAAATCCAGCAGACTGTAGGCCCCATCACCGTCACCCACGAGACAGAGCAAACAGCCACTCCACCGTTCCGCGAGTATCGAGGCAGCAGTTGCTTAGACCTGCTCCGGATCCCAAAGATGTCAGGGTACTTCCTGCCTCCCTCAACCACCTGATCGCCGGTTTCGCTGAACCGACCGTGTGTGATGCCAATTTTCGTTGCTAGCATCTCTGGGGAACGGCTGTTCTCTGAACCAAGCATGAGGATTGATATTCGCAGACAGGGGCCGCGACGCCTTCGCATCATCATGAAAATGGTACGGACAACGGGCATAGGTCGATGGAGAGAACAGAAACCACCTCCAAACCTCCTTTTCAGACAGAGAGCAACTATGGTATCTGGACCGAAATCGCCCGTTTTAAGCTTGCCACAGGCTCTAGTCTCTGAATCCGAAGGAATTCTGTCCCGGTCCTGCAGCCTCAGCCTCTCTGTCGGACAGCCAACATGTCTCATGTACTACGGCGGGATCTACCTAGGCGCAGAGTTGCTCGTGGTTGAAGATGGCTCCCGCAAGCAACGAAGAGCAGTTCAAGTTCCTGATAAGCTGCATCCGTTACACGCATCGAAACCGACTTCAAAATGAAGGGATGCAAAGCTGAGACTCGATTTCGTCGATCGTGAACAAATGCTGATGAGGACTGAAGTGGACTGCGTTCTATATTCTCCGATGGTGATGAGAGACAGTTGGCCGTGTGGATGAGGCAATGGGTTTGTTGTAAGCATCGTCGTGGACGCATACTGAAGTATATAAGCAAGAGACAGAATATTCTTGAGCTTTCACTCGTTTCCACTCCACTGAGCCGCACGTGATGACCGTAGATTCCGCGGTCAAGTCCTGCTGACCAAAGACCAGTTGAAGCGATCCAGACTTTTGACCGCCGTCTTGGGCTAGACGTTAACAGGCATCCGTTATAAAAATACATATCGCGACTTCTCTTCGGTATGAACCCCTTCTGTTAGATGTTCATATGGCGAGCTGACTACGAATGCAGTCGATGATCGACCGGTGCGTTTTTGGCCGTCGTCACCGCTGACTACAGAGAGTCGCCGTTCAACTTTCGTCCCCCTGGTAAGAGCCTCCTTCCGCAGTCATGTTAGAAATATGCTCAATGGAAAATGCGATACTGGACCGCGACTAACGTGCAATAGTCCTGTCGAGCACGAGACGGAAGATGGCCGTTCGTTGAAGCGTTCCCGGGCTTGGGCTCCGGACGTGACACGCAGCATTTTGGGTGAGCCTCCAGTGAAGGTGGTCCGCAACCAACAGCAGACGACATCCAACAGGCACGAGATCAAGGACAAATGCGGTCTTCATATACATTACCCTCGGTTTTCAAGATCTGCATGTTAGGGGCCCCTTCTCTCGACCTAGCCGAAGAGGCGAGACACAACCGGCCGATTGCCATCGAAATGGCTGCCATACCATACCCTCCTCGGCGTATATCGCGCTTCAATGACGAGCAAAAGGGCGAAGACTTCCTGACTTACGTAGCCCAAGAGACCATTGCGAAGAAGAGTGCTCAGACCCTTTGCGAGGTCGAGTGGATCATGGCCAAGAAGACAATCGAACATTGTCAAAAGCAAATCCAGGCTTGGGTGGAGACTTGCAGCGGCAATTGTTCAGCTTTGGTCATTGAACCAGAGGAAACAGTGGATACACCGGTCGAAGGTCCCAAGCCGTACATTGAGCTCCGAGCCAACCGAGACATCGACTCCGGAGATCTGGTACTGTCCGAGCAGACGATCTCCAATGTGGCTACCAGTATCCCAGAGGAGGTGGAGGCGAAAAGACGTGCCGGTAGATACAATGATCACTATTGTAATGGTTGCGCGTCTCTACTAGCTGTCCCTTTACAATGTCCCAGCCTGTTTGTGAGAAACCGGACGCCTACCAACTCGGAGGTGCCGCCAGCGACTCCATCTTCGTCCTTACCTACCCTCCCGTCTCAGAATTCTAATCATACCACTCAACGCAACCACAGCAAAAAAGCCGATGTCGCGGAGATTCCTCTACACCCGTCAAGCAGTCACAACTTTCTATACTACAAATATATAGCGTAGGTGCGCTCCTACCAAAACCCTCAGCATCTCTATCGAGGCAGCAAAGAAGACGTCGTCGGAGAGTTGAAGGCTTGGGTTGTTGAGCGTCGCAAGGCTCACAACAACTTCGATACGGACACAATCTGGGAGATGTTGCTGGATACGGTTCCGGCTCGCACAAGAACTCACCGTCTCCCAGAAATGAGCCAGAGCGCGAGTCGAAGACCGAACTCCAGTACCCGGGCTCGCCCAGTTATTCACCACCCGCTTCGCCATCGGTCTCGATCGATGCTCTCCTCAAGCCTTTCACTGTTTCTTCAATCAAAGCCGAAGAACACTTTCCAGCTTCCCCTGGGACTCCTAAATGGAAAATCGACCTCAGCGAACGCAAATGTTTCATGTCCTGAATTCCCTTCGACAGGTCTTCAACCAACCGAGTCGCTGTATGGAATAGATGCACCATAGCCTTACGACGCTCATCACCTACCCCAAGACCGGCCTCACAATACAAGATCCCATCTGTGACCCATGCGTGACTACCTCGTTCGCACCGATCACGCTTACTGCGTCTGCCAGCCGCTAGGATCAGCGAGGGCGAGCAGGGACGGAACGATCATGGGCTTGATGGAGCTGCGTAACGTGATGGATGGGAAGCTGCGTGCGTTGTTGGGCAGCGGGCGGTCCGGAAAGAGCAATGAGCCTGATACCAAGGGATATTTGATGGTGAGAGGAAAGTGGGCTCCCCTGGATAGATTCAAGAATGAAACTCTCCCGCAATTGTGGCTAGACAGATGAATAACCTTGGTCGCAACCGGAATCTCTGGAGAAAAGGATACAGAGACGCTTCTAGCCTTTTTCCTCTCGGCCAATTTTCAACACCATGGTCTCTGCTGGCCACATATGCCTCAGACCGAGAGAACTCAAACCGATGCCGGCGTCTGTCTGTACGTTCCTCAGGACTATGGACCAAGGCTTCAATACTGGAGCGGAGCTGGAGACCTTGGAGGACAATGCAGGTGTCACCCAACGACGAACTGAACTCAGAGGAAGAGATGCCATAGGTGCAGGTCGAGGTGGTGGAGGGAAAGCCAAAAGGTAATCATCCTGCTGAATACTCAAACAATTGGTTCTCATCTTTCTGACTAGTGACACAGAACACGCAGGGTCAAGTTGCAGACTGTACCACTGGTTCAGCCTATCACTCGCGTCCGGTTTCCGAAAGAGCATCCTACCGCTCAAACCGACGTACCTCGCCACCAACCAGTTCGCGTCCGGTTTCCGAAAGGGCAATCGACGTACCTCGCCACCAACCAGTTCGCGTCCGGTTTCCGAAAGGGCAATCGACGTACCTCGCCACCAACCAGTCCCCATACTGAAGACAGTCTTAGCTGCGAAGCCAGCGAAAGGGAACACTACCATACCAAGCGTATGCGCCGAATGAAAGTACCAGAGTCTTGGCTGCGATAGGCGGAGATAAAGGGTCTTTTTGGTGTAAGAGACTGTCGCAGTAAACATCAGACCTGCCGTCAGTCCATGCATCATGAGGATCTGTCCGACGCTTTTCAGCCTGCCCATCTACCAGTGGGCATATTATATAAAAAAATACTACCTCGAAGGCACTACCAACCTCGCGTCGCCCAAGGCGTCCAAGCGCGCCGATGCTGTGGTCATCTTTGGTGAGGAATCAGAGGACGAAGCGGTCGTTGATGCAAACGCAGTCGTAACGGCAGAAGATTCAGATTACGCAGAAGTCCACATGCCGTCCCGGAAGGCGCCGTTCCACAGGGTGGAGACCAAGGAAACAGGCGTCCACTCAACACCATCTCGTTGATGCATCAACATTGGTATAGAGGCACCGTTACGCAGGCTGCAGACCAAGGAAACAGGCGTCCTTCTAATATCATACCGCCGATTCATCAACATTGGTATAGAGGCGGTTCATCTACCTCAAATGAATCCCACAAGGATTCAGACCTCTCATCTCAGCTTTGTACCAACCAAACGCTGCAAGCCTCAGGTTCCGTGCGATGCGCTACTTGTGACGAGTCTTACGTCCACACTGCGCACCCTCCACCCCAATACCAAGCCACACAGCAGTCAAGAGCAATGGATGACGCCATAAAAGAGAAGCTCCGCCTCGCCACCCTTCACAACGGAGAGCTCCTTCGCATCGGCAAGACCCAAGGGCAGGAACGCGAACACATTGCTCGAACCCAGGCCCAAGCACGCGAGCACCGCAAACTTACGCACGACGCAATTCACGACGGAGCCATTGCCCGCCAAAAGGCACTGAACGAGGAAAACTATGAGCACCGCGAACGGCTACTCAAGCTAGAGCGTCAGTATGCGTCCCATGAGACAGCGGTTGAGCCCAGAGAATCGGTCCCAGAATCTGAGAATGTGCCAGAAGATTCCGATCGGTCTGGAGGAGGTGGAACAGAAGATAACGAGTCGGTGGAAGCGTTTGTCTTGCCGCAAGATGATCTGCGGGTGGAATGTGCCACGGATGGCAAAGTTAGTCGAGATTTCGGGTCTGGATGTTCTTTCACCCATGTCCATTACGAACATCCTCCAGTACGGTCCGATTGGCAAGAAGTATGTCCTGGAAGCTTTACAGTTATATCATAGAGAAATATACCAGTGCCGCTTCGCAAGTATAGCAGCAGCACATAGCTGTCAAGAGTCGCACAAACCCCTTGCCCGCGCTATTCTAGCTGGACGGGCGGCTCCACCATGTGTCAGGCTGATGGCAACGTATGCAGAGCGCACCACCTCCAAATAGTGCACTCGAGAACCCTAAAGCTCGAAGACTGCGGCGATGTTCGAAACAGCTAGCTCTGTGGGACTGTTCTGGACGATACCGTTGAGAGGTGAAAGGAAGTACGATCCATGATAGAAGGGAAATCAAACCCACGCCGAACCATTTGGGGTGTCTTTATTTTCCACAACAGTTGCCCTAGCTAGCCTCTTTTGGTGCCCTCGCCCTCTTTCTTGGTCTCTTCGCTCCCACCCAAACAACCTTCTCCCGACTCATTATCGTCAACCTCGCTCCAAACTAGACCGCGTTTTCAAATGTGTTTTGCTCCTTGCCGCAAAGCATCAGCAGATGCAGGGGCCAAGGATGGGAGGGAGGGTCGGCGCACATGAGCGGGAGTGAGAGGAGGAAGGAGAACATGTTGAGGGCGAAGGTCGTTGAGGACTCGCGTTCTATGATGCGAAGTCTGTAGCTAATTCGTCGCTCCAGCTTTTAGTGCTGTCTGAAGGTGTTTTGGATTCTGGTTTTTACATTCTCATTGTCTGTCAATGTTAGCTATAATATTAGTATACACGTTAGTATGGAATTGAATGATGTCTTAGTCCATCACCATGCTCCTCGTGTAACCGTGACAAATGCTCGAGGCCGAGCTTGCTCTGTTGAAGTTGATGTTGGTGGTGAGGAGACGAGGAGATGATTGGGTGGAAATAGCTGACTTGCTTGGCGCCAAGCGACTGCCGCCTAAATCTGCTCGCTGCTCATAGCTCTCTCTCTTTCATTGTGTACTCATTGGTTTCCATCAGCTTGAGCTGTGTTTCTGGTAGCCTACCGAGCCTGCGAAGAGCTAATGACAGGCATTGGTTGACTGCTATATTTGATGCGTGGCTAAGATGGTACTCCCAGGCTTAGAGCACCATAATCTCACTCCTGGTTGATAGCAACACGATGAACAATCAAGAACGCCAATGCCGAAGCTGTCGAGCTCAGACTTGACAGATGGACAGCAAATCTCGTTCTCACTCGCAATAAGTCTAACCACAGAGCCGTGGCCGTCTCAATCATGACTTGTTCATGAACGAGGCAGCACAACGCTCGGATTACAAAGAGCCTTTGATTCGATTATGCATGCATGCTTGCAGAGCGTTCGCCTTCTCGGAGTAATACGCATGGCCCATGAATTGTCTTTGATGGTGTCATTACGAGACTTTTAGAGACGCTATTGCTTTCCAGACACTATTGACCCAATGAGAGTTGATATTGGGTCCAGAGCTCGCTGCGGCTATCCCAAGTACGAGAAGAGGTTGGATAATTAAGCGATCATAATTACGCTCAGAACGAAGCAGGTCCAGTGGGGTCAGAGCCACGATCTCCAAGTTTCTTTCCGTTCTCATGTCAAATTGCTCCCTTCGATTATCACTATGACCCCGGTTTCCCTCCCCTTCATTCAGAATTGGACAGGAGTTCCTCTCGCCGCGAAAAACTGGGAATACTTCTCCGTCAGCGTGGGATTTGATGCGCAGAAGCCTACTTCATTGCTTTTTCTTTACCATAGACAAAGCGTGTTTGATTCAGATCGTCGTTTCTACTATAGCAGACGGTTAGCACTGAAACCTCAGTAATTCGGGGACGGAAAGATTGCGCTAGACCAGATTCGGACTCGGATGTTCTGCTATCCCGCCAAGACCAGGGTGGCGGGTCAACGTCCATCAGCTCGCTGTACATCCAACATTGCGATGTGACGTCTTCCGTGTAATCAATATATCATGGCTTAGGACGCAGGCATATATATGGGGGTATGGTTTCCACGTCTTCTCACTTTCTTTCGCTCATACTCCTTGTCCTTTCCAGTTTCAAGAGCGACAGGAGTTGCGGATCAATAGGTCTCATTAATAAACATCTCGAAACATCTTTCTTTGGTACCTTTCGCAAGAATGCATCTCTCAAGCGATCTCTTCCTGAACGCCTCAAAGCTATCGCCTGTCCCTGTCAGCGAAGCAGACACGCAATTGAACGAGAAGTTGTTAGGCATGACTGTGAAAGGACCTCGCTGGTGGGAGGTGAGAGAACTGTTCATGATAATCTTTCACGCTGTTGCTAATCACGGCTGCAGGTTGGTGCTCCGAAATTCCGCGAGTTGATGAGGAACAGTGAGACAGCGCTACCTGGTCCTGTCCTTCTACCCCAAGCGAAGCCGTTTTTGATTCCGTCGCGAGAGAAAGGGAGGGCACTGAGCTGCCGACTTGTCATGCCCGAGCATGGCCGGCAGGTGAAGGGTGTTTTTATGCATATCCACGGAGGCGGATGGGTCTTAATGGACATTGATTAGTAGGCGTGCTTCGTGGTGAAACAAGTCCGAGATCCTTTACTAACCTCAACAGCCAAGACTCTTTCCCACAATACCTTGCCAACGTAGTAGATCTTGCCGTGGTCTCGATTGGATACCGACTAGCACCCGAGCATCCTTTTCCTGAGGGTCCGGAAGACTGCTATGATGCCGCGGAATGGCTTGTCGATAGTTCAGAAGCCCGTTTTGGCGCTCCTTTGACGTTTGCAGGTGGTGAAGTAAACCGGCCCTATTGCACATCTTGCTCACGAAATCCTACTGACCACATCAAGTCTGCTGGCGCCCACCTCACCATACTCTCCGCTCTTCATCTCCTGGAGGCTCGCCCAAATTTCCGCTTCCGCGGTCTCATTCCTAGTTTCGGGCCCTACGATCTGTCTATGCCCCCTCCCATGCACCACCTCGACCACCCGCAGCCCATATTAACCAAAGAAATGCGAGCCCACTTTGTGGATGCCTTTCTCCCCAACACTAAGCCTGAAGAACGCCGACATCCTTCAGTATCCCCCTTCTATGCCGATTTGAAATGCTATGGAGATGAGGACAGGCTGCCGCCTGTTCTTTTCGAGTGTGGGACGGAGGATTGTTTGTTGGAGGATACGGTGTTGATGGCAGTGAGGTGGCAGATGGCGGGTGGGGAGGCGGTGGTTAAATTTTATTCTGGAGCACCGCATGGATTTCTGGCGTTCCCGCCAGAGATGGTGAAGAGTACGAGGAAGGGATTGGAGGCTATTGGAGAGTTTATGAGGACGAAGATCGGAGAGTAGAGGGTCAGGAGGGCGCAAGTAAGTGAAATTGTATCTCTCGCATGTCCACTATACCATTCTAGTATATTCTAGAATTGTTTAGTGGTCATTGTCAATGATGGGAAAATGCCTTTTTGAAGGAGAGCCTACATGTACTCCCGGCAATGGTATCCATTGCCAAAGTATTTGATGTGTATTGCAGGTGTTGTCTGGTGCAGTTTTCATAACTCATGTAGACAACAGCGACTGTCTCAGGCACTAGAAGAGCCGTTCATGCAATATCCTGTCTCACAATGATAGTGATTGTCTGTTTGTGTCTGTCTCCTATTCACTCCGGCTACACTTTCCTTGTCTATTCCGCCTTACCGTAAGGCGTAGCGTCAGATTCCCGTCGCATCATTTCCGAAAAGCTCGAGACCTCACTTCCTTTCACGATCACCAAACCTCGTCTTGCGAAGTATCCTTTCTTGGCTATGGTCTAGCTAAAGACGTTCGTTCCTGCGAATATTCCTCCCAAGGTACGCTTCGCCAGCGACCCTAAGCTGCTCGAGGATCAAAGGGCCAAGGGGTTCTGATCGAGGACTGGACAAAGCGTTCACCAGACTCGACAGCAACGTTTGTAGGCTCCCTTTTGAGCCTTCGCTGTCACCTCAAGCACCAGATATACGCTGTTGCTCAAGGGTTGTCTGTTGTGCGTTACTGGCTCTTCACTGGTTGCATGGCTCCCCGCTAATCAATGGGCAGATTGCATTGCTCGCTAGTTACACTCTCCTTTCTAGCCTTTACCAAAAGGCTAGCAGTCGGCATACACAGACTGTCTCTCAGTCGTTCTAGTTATCTTCGCTATGGCGTCCTCTCAGGCGGCCCAGTAAGTTCCAGCAACTTCCACCCTTGTCAACCATGCTCCTCTACTGGGCTCCCGAGAGCTTTCTTGTCGTGACTCCAATTACCCAGCTAACATGTCATGACTCCACAGTCTATATGGGGCCGGCCAATTCATGAATCCAGGGCCCGCACCTCGTCCTCCTACTGATCGTCCTCGCCTGAACCTGATGCCTTCCACAGTCGGAATTCCTGGGAACATGTCTCAGTTGAGTCTGCATTCGCAATCGTCGGCGGGACGTTCCATGAGCGATCTCGCTCATACATCTTCTTTTTCCCGCTCTACAACCTCCATGAACAGCGAAGGAATCGGTGGTGTGGCTATACTGAAGGAAGGGCCTGCTCGTTGCAAAGAGGGCTTGTTATGGAAGCAGAGATATCTCGTTCTGCGCGCGTTTCAGCTCGACTTCCAGAAAGGTCAGGATGGCAAGGTCAGCACAAGCATCCAGCTGAAAGATGTTACCAATGTTTCTCGCAGCGAAAATACTCGTTTGTCTTTCGAGATCACAAGAGTCGCCAATGCTGGCATACATCCAGGCGCAAGCCCTGTGGCTATTCGTGAGCTTCCCCAGAAGACGATCGTTTGCCAGCTCGAGACAGACGATGAGATCTATGAATGGATCGACGCCATTTACAATCGTTGCCCCGGTATGGGCGGTGTTAGCAACCCAACTAACTTCTCACACCGCGTCCATGTTGGCTTTGACCCTGTCAACGGTTCATTTGTGGGGCTACCAACAGAATGGGAACGTTTACTTACCGCTTCGGCCATTACCAAGGAAGATTACAAAAAGCACCCTCAAGCAGTCATCGAGGTTCTCGAGTTCTACTCCGATATCACCAAGCGCCAGGAGAATCCCGAGGCTTATCCTAGCCTGATGCCCACGCCACCTGTTACCTCGAAACAGAATATGCAGCTTGGCCATGGGGGAGGAGGCACTGCAATCGCACCACCAAGACCGCCGCCGCCAAGCGGATCAAATCCAATGGGAGCGTATGGGCAACTGCAGCGTTCACCTCAAGAAAACTCGCCAGCTTCACGAACAGGTACTCCCAATTCTCAGCGCAATTTCGCGGGCAACGAGCGAGCAATTGAACAGAACAACAAGATTGGTATGGACCAGGAAATGCGTCGCGCTATGGAGGAAGAAGCTCGCAAGATCAAGGCAGCCAAAGAGCAGCGCGAGCGCGAGCAGCGCGCAAAGGCTGAGGCCGAGCAGAACCGTCGTGATCAAGAAGCCTACAATTCAGCAATTCCCAAGACACGTACTCCCATGGCGAAGCAAGAGATTGGCGGATACGGTGGTGGAGCAAGTGATCCTCCTGATAGTCGATACAATCCTACTAGAAGTCCCCCTTCCGCGCCAGGTGCCGATCGGGCTCGCCAGCAACCACAAGGCTCGTTGAGAGGACCTACTGCTCAGCGTCAAGCTCCCCAGGCACCGAATAGCGTCAATGGGAATCCCCAACCAGCACCCCGAGCTCCCTTTGCCCAAAAGCCACCTTCGTCACATTCCCAATCTCCTCCCAATCAGCATCCCTCCCTCCGCACGCCAGGCAAGCCAGAACAGCAACGCCAACCATCACCCGCTGCACGCCCTCAGATGAATGGCAATGACCCTGCTCAGCCTCCAGCAGGCCACGTACGCACAAACGGCGCCCAACCTAATGGCACCCCCCGAGCACAACCGCCAACTCGTCTTCCTGGAGCAGTTCAACCTGTAGCGCCTCTCAATGTCAAGCAGCTTATGGGAGCACCAGCTCCAGATGCATCAGAACCCCACAAACAAGCCGAGATGGCGCTGACTGGTAAACCTCCGGCGGCTGCTCACAAAAAGGAGGTGCGCATGTCGAGCATGACCGAAAGCCAGGTCATGGAGAAGTTGAAGCAGGTGGTGTCGAAGGACGACCCTCAGCTCTCGTATAGCAAGCAGAAGAAAATCGGTCAAGGTGCTTCTGGATCGGTCTATGTTGCTAAGATTCAAGAAAATGCCATCTCACCTGTTGCTAAGCGTCTGTACAAGACCATGGGAGGCAAGTCTCAGGTTGCCATCAAGCAGATGGATCTTCGCAACCAGCCACGGAAAGAGTTGATTGTTAATGAAATCATCGTCATGAAGGAGAGCTCACATCCCAATATTGTCAACTTCTTAGATTCGTTCCTGCAAGAGGGCAACAACGAGCTGTGGGTTGTGATGGAGTTCATGGAGGGTGGAGCGTTGACCGATGTCATCGATAACAACCCTCATATCACAGAGGCACAGATCTCCACTATATGCAACGAGGTATGCTGGCTGCCACCCTAGTATCCTTGAGAGATTGCTGACTGCTTCAAGACTTGCAAAGGTCTTGCCCATCTCCACAGCCAAAACATCATTCATCGCGACATCAAGTCTGACAACGTTCTTCTCGACGCCCGCGGGAATGTCAAGATCAGTGAGTTCTTTCGTACGCCTTGCCCATCGCTTCATACTAACAACTGTCTTCTAGCCGATTTTGGTTTCTGCGCCAAGCTCACCGACCAAAAATCCAAGCGCGCTACTATGGTTGGCACACCGTACTGGATGGCCCCCGAAGTGGTCAAGCAACGGGAGTACGACAGCAAAGTCGACATGTGGTCCCTAGGCATTATGGCCATCGAGATGATCGAGTCAGAACCACCTTACCTCAATGAAGAGCCGCTCAAAGCCCTTTTTCTGATCGCCACCAATGGCACGCCTACTCTCAAAAACCCCGACAAGCTCAGCCGTGAGCTCAAGGTTTTCTTGAGCCAATGCTTGACTGTCGAGGTCAAGAATCGCGCTACTGCTCAAGAGATCTTGGCCGGTGATTTCCTCAAACGCGGAGGATGCAGCTTGGCTAGCTTGGTTGACATGCTGAAGTTCCGCACTGCTTCTAAACACTGACGCTATTATACAATCTAATCGAGCTATGGCAGCACGTATCATGGCTTCAATGACACGTTTGCTACGACCAATTTTGAACCGGAGTTGGTGGCGCTTCTCGGCATCGACTCATGGCAGTGCATCACCAGATGCTGCTCACGCTTCACATGTGCTAGGAAGGCGAATGGATTAAACACGATGATACCTGAGCATCGGGAGGCTTTCTAGTATGCTCTCAAAGCACGAGATATTTTCCATCATGCTCACAAAATGCGATCAGGAGGGATTCATGCTTGCATATCACGTCTGGATGGATGAAGGGACGAAAATGATCGGAGCTCAGGTTACAGCACTTTTTTTCAGCACTCGAGTCACATAGTTTGCGTGATGATTGGCCTACGCATCTAGACTACTCGAAAAGCTGATTCTCAAGCCACTGAATTACGGATACGTGCTATATCCTGTTCCTCATCCTAGTCGTGTCCGAAATATGAGTATGATCATTGCTGCGTGTGTTTACTACTCTGTCCTGCATAGCTGGGACGGAAATCCTTGGGTCAACGAGACATATACCGAGCGACGATGCAACATGACGCCGCCGGTTCGAGAGCTGCTTGTTGTGGCTGTGAAGATGTTGAACGTGTTGATCTGCCTTTCGGTCCCTCCCCTCCACGTCCACGTCCTCTCTCTGTTTCTGTTTCTCTTTTCTCTTTCTCTTTCTCTCTCTCTCTCTCTCTCTCCTCTCTCTCTCTCTCTCTCTCTCTCTCTCGTCAGCTCCATAGCACGCTTGTCGTAAATCATGCACTGTGATAACGTCCAACACCATCAGGTGTATGTATCTCCCTTTCGCCTTTGCCCTCCTGAGGTCTGAGCTCCTTTTGCGGTGTGGTGGGGCAGAGTAAGAGCTTTGCTGGGAAAGTTGATGATATGTTGCTGGGGGGTTTTGTGCTGGGTGGATAGTGGAGGATAGATACCGATTCGCAGGGAAGCGGATCTGCGAAGAGGGCATCAGGATACTATCAATAGCAGATTTGAGGCGGTGGACTACTGCCTTCTCTGATGAAGATGTTTCAGGTCCCTTTTCATCCCTCTTCTCCAAAGGGGTAATTGAATTTCAACAACCCGTTCAATCCCCCCAACCCACCCTTCATCCCCACTCGCTCCCTCTCCGCTACTACTGCCTCTCATCACACACGGCACACCTCCCATCCAACCCTCCCCTTTCTCTCCCAATTCCCCTTTCCTCCCTACACCCTCGCCCCAAACTCTCAATCCCATGCCAGATCCCACCCCTTTTTCCTGGTCCTTTCCGTCTATACTAACGCCTACACCCTGTTTTCCCCTGCCGCTGACTGTGACTTCAACGACTGCCTCTGCCGGTAATACTAGTGGTCTGAAACTCAGACTCCGCGCACATATTGGCGTTATCACTATGCCTTTGACTAACGGATGCACGATACTTCCCCCCGCACTTAGCGAATACGCAGTCGATCCTGTAGGCGTGCTAATTATGAGGCCATCGGCTGATGTGGACGTCAAAATGCGGCCAGATATGGAGATTGTAAGGTGTGTTAGGTGTGGGGAGGCGCCACGGTGGAGGATGACTTCGTTTAGGGCGTGGAGGGCAGGAGGCGTTATGACTTCTCTGTCGGGTGATGTTATTGCGACACGGAGGCGGTTGCGGAGGAGGACGCGGGCTGCGCGGGTTGGGCCCAGGGAGGCGCCTAGGTTTGGTGGCCAGCCTTCTTTCGATTGAATTGTATGGACAGCATGTTGGGAGACAGCAGGTGAGGATGCGACCTGTTCGGGAGAGAGTATGGAATGTCGAGAAGAGGGCGCACCGGACATGTAAAGCTCTCTGAAAGCTCTCTTATGCTCTGGAAACTTCCACTCGTTGAGGAAGCCGAGAGTGCCCATGCTGAAGGAGAGTATAGGAGGGACGGAGGGCGTAGTGGCGAAGAGGGAGGAGGCATGGAGGATAGTGCCATCGCCGCCGAAGGTTGCGGCTCAAGTCGACCTTTTGGGCGAGAAAGGAAGATAGGCTTACGCTGTTCGAGGTAGTGGTGGCTTCCCGTGGTGTTGTGTATAGGGGGAAGGGAAGGAGGGTATGGAGGTCGTAGGCCGCTGTGGGCTCGAGGACGAACGATATGGAGGGGTAAGTAGCGTGAACATGTCTGCTCAGCGGTCAGCGCCCGAGTCTTGTGGGGAAGGGCGAGAACGCTGAGCGTACTTGGCGAAATCCACGACCGCTTCTGTAGTTGCCAAGGTATTTTCTTTCTTCACCAGGAGTATATTTCTCGGCGGAGAGGGCCACCGGAGAGATAGGAGGTCATTGCCCTTTGTCTCTGCGAGTGTGAGTAACAATATCAAGTATTCAATGCGTACAGCTTGACAAACCGTGATAGCTGGGATGTATCCGATCTGGGAGCTCTAGAAGATGCTTGATCTTGCGTCTTTGAGGGGTGCTAGAGAATGGCCTTCGGCAACCCAAAGCATATAGTCTCCGGCGAGGAACCTTCATATTGGTTACAACCAACGCAACGCAATTCAACTGAGAATGATTAAGTCGTCAATGTAAATATACGTTGAAGCTTGCCGTGACGCCGTCATTTCCCCCAGCCTTGGCGCTAGAAATGCGCCCCCAATCCCCAGCTCCCCAGGGCTCGCCCTAGGCCGCCGCTTTTAGGGGAAGCAGGGGGAACGGGCGCCAAACCCCAGTACTGCAGCTGAATGCAGCACCCCACGCTCATCCTTTTAGTCACCAACCCCTCGGGTTGAGACACCCAGAAGCGCCATCTTTCGCACAGCCCCAGTCCAGGAGGCCTCGAAAAGGCTGCCGACGTGGGTATGTATAATCAAAACTCCGGCTCTTCTGACCACAAGCTTGCAACCACGCTCTCCCATCACATTCTTTTTCGACTGATCTCTCCATTCTGAGGAATCATGGGCTGCAAAACAGTGCCGGCGGAGCAACTACTGGAGACAGCTGTCGTCAATGGTTACGAGCGGGGAGGTCATTAGGCGGTTTGGTAATACTACGAGTCATGTATGCTATGTGCCGCTACCTCGACAAAATACTTGATGGTAAGTGACCTTGAAAGATCAACAGAAAGATATCGATCCGCCTCGTTCAGGAACAAATTATTTAGAGAGGTACACTGAGGTGCAAAAAAGATGCAGTTGATGCTCTTATTTTGCGGGGAAAAAAACCCCACCAAATGAATAGAGTCGTTTTCTGCGACTAAACGTGACTATACGCTCTAAGGCGCCTTCATCAGAAGATACGTGTCCGCAATTTCTTCATCTTGCTTCGCCTGCGCACTGTGCTTGGCCTTCAATCTCTCGAGGGCAATCTTACCCAACGCTTCGACATTCTCCGACCCTATAATCTCCGTGATCTCCAGCCCCAGCACCACAAGCGCCTGCCGCCACCAGTTGCGGACTTCGATGGCCACCAGGGAGTCGATGCCCATCGCCACCAAGGAGCGCGTGACGCTCAGTTCCTCGACGGACGTCTGCACAAAGCTACATAGACAGGCTCCGATCTCGTGACTGAGGAAGTCGAGGCTTGAACTGGCGGCCAGGATTGAGGGGTCGGCGGCAACGGCGGAGAGAAAGGCCTTCAGCGACTCGTTGCCTGCTGTTGGTGTTCCGAGGGAGGCGGAGACCTCGAGATTGCTGTATATGCTCATTCGAACGTCTAGTTTCCAGGACGGCGGCTTTTCCATCCGTAATTGTCCATGACCTATTAGATCTCTCTTGCCGATTTCCATCATTTTGCCGAAGGGTCCCACGCGTTGCCATGATGCGTGAAGTACCTCGCCGCGTAAGGAACGTAGGACAATATCAATCCCTTTACCTTCGGTTGCACACATTACATCCTGTAGGAAATGAGGTATTTCGAAACTTGAAGATCCGATGGCTTGGGATTTTGAAAATGTCAATGGATACTCTCTCTTCTCCTGGTTCCCCACTGTCACGAAGATCTGATATGACAAGTTTAATACTGACGGGACTGGGAGGCAGGCAGGTTGGTGGACTCACCTTGGAGTTCTTCATTTGGCATATTTGAATTGCCGCTATACCAACCCCACCGCATCCAGAATGGAAAAGAACAGTCTGGGAATTAGTGGCGACCAGGAAGCTGCAACGCTGTTACTACTTACCTGATCTGCTTCAAGCTGCCCTACTTCTAGCAAAGAATGTATGACAGTACTATACACACAAGGCGTTGTTGCAGCGTCCTCAAAGCTCATGTCATCTGGCATTCTAGCGCAGAGCCAGGCTGAAGTCGTCAAGGCAGAAGAGAAGGCACCGCTGCCAGTGGTTGAGACTCGATCACCCGGCTTAGATCTCTGACATCCGGTTCCACTCGCTGGATGACATCACAAGCTTCGCAGCCAAGCCCAGAGCCCTCGATATCACCTTCGGTCAGGTCCGAGTTTATGATTCCCGTTGATATAAGTACCCTGTTGAACAGTGAACGTTGAGATATGAAAAGTCCCTTCCTTACCTTGAAATTCATTCCAACAGCACGTGTGTCGACCTCAACATGGAAACCAATTAGGATAGCTGGCTGAAAATCTTCCCAGAAAAATGTTTTCAGGAGACCGTGCTTCCCGATCTGAAGACGTTTGGCACTCTCAAATTCCCGATCTTTGATCGACTGCTCCACGGAAGTAGACCAATGGAATCTTCCAATGTCGACGACGCCATCATCCATGCATACTCGTACTCCGGGTCAAGGTCCGAGTCTTTTCTCCGCCGCCGAAAATTTTCAAAGACGCTTTGAAGAGCGTCCCAGACCCCCGATCGGATACTTTCCATCTCAAATGTACCGAGATCCATGGAGAGCTCGTTCCGAACTGTCCTCGCCATACCCAGATTGTGCAGACTTTGTCACCCAAAGAATCCCAGCAGAATTGAGCCCTCTAATATTATTACAGAAGATACGAGTACAGCAATCACCGAGGAGTCGGTGCCAGAATGGAAGATTGGTCGACAAGAGGCACTTATCATGATTGCCCTCATGGTGGTATCGTTGATAGCTGCTTTGGATGCGACTGTCCTGGTTCCGGTCCTACCAGTAAGCAAGCTAAAGTACCCGTGGATCTGAAGAGTCTTTGCCTAACCAACGCAGACAACCTCCGGTGCCATCAAAGGCAGCGCGACCGATGCAGTCTAGGCGGGAACATCATACCTTCTCTCATGCGTCGTCTTCCAGCCCTTCATCGCCACTCTCTCTGATATCTTCGGCCGCCGAGAACTTCTGACGTTGTCGGTCTTGATCTTCACGATCGGGACGCTCATCTGTTGCCTATCTCAAGACTTCACGGAGCTACTTGCGGGACGGACGATCCAAGGCGTGGGCGGCGGAGGCATCATCGCCTTCACCATGGTGATTTTCAACGACATCATCCCTCCTCGACAACGACCCAAGTACGGGAGTATCATCCAACTTACCAGGGCTTTTGGGACGATCGCCGGACCACTGGTTGGAGGCGCAGCATGCTTCTTGGAGATGGGTCTTCATCATGTGCCTTGGGTCTGGTCGTCGTTCCACTGGTCGTTAATCATTCCCCTATCCTGGCGAGATGGATTCCCGTGCAAGAACATCAGAATTCCCCTGGCTTCGTAAATGATGACGCATCCACTGGCGAGATCACCGCCAACTACGTAATTGCCACATCCCATGCTTTGCGGCTCACAAGACTAAAATTGTTCCCAACGTCGCTTTTGAGCAGTATCCCGGATCTGGTAAATGCGGCCCTAAGAACCCACAACCTAAGTGCTCAGGAAGCGACTGTTACGCCCTCGATCAAGTCTGTTACTACACCTGCTGCCAAGGCCCAACGCCGATAACCAACCCTCTATCTTGCTCGTCCCTTGGTGTAAGTAGACTGGAAGTCGGGTACAACTCGTAGATGAAACGGAATGCTAACGAGTGACCGCCTTGTAACAGGAGTAATGCACGTGTACGAACAGCTCCGGATGCTGTATCTAGAACAAAACCCAGTATCATTCAGTGGGATCTGGTGAGGTGGTACTACAATTTTAGCGAGAATAAGTCCCAGAGTGAAATCATTCATTGCAGGTAATTATCCCCAGAGAACAAGTAACAATACAAGTAAGGATTGAAACGGTCTCAACGCTTATGCAACCAAAGCCTTGACGTAGTGACGTGCAAATACAAAGCATTGTACCTACACGGATCGAGACCCCGCAGACTGGACGAACCGCCAATGTAGGCGTGAAAAAGAGACGTGCATGTAGATTAACAACTGTTCAAGAAAGGAGAAATCAGGCAGCAGCCCACAATTAAGGGGAAGCGCAGTGAACCAACGTCATCCTCGATCGCGCACCGTTCAGGATCGGGGGTGAGGTTGGCGCATGAGTTTGACATTGAATGATCTATAAATTGCTAGGGTGTAAAGATGCTGGACCAGCATCTTGATTTGTCACATGACACGTGACATCAGGTCAGACCTGCTCGGTCATTTGACAGTCATATATAGCCAAATGACCGCACTGCAAAGGGTTTGTAGTAAGGTGAAGCGTGAGATTCGAGGGAAACTACAGTAGAATTCAGAGGTGTTTAGGGCTGAAAGGGAGTACCACTAGTGATATCTTATGGAGCTAAGAATAGATAACGCTAAGCTTCTATCTACTAATGTACGTATGTCTTTGTTACTTTAAGGTCGGCAGGGGGTTTTACTAATCATACCTGGAGAGTCTTAGCAAAATTGTAGGCGGGGAATATTTCGACCCGCATTGACAAGGCTTAGGGTATAAGTAGCTATAGTGTAAAATAATATCGTATTTTAGAGATCCTAGGAGTTTTTTGAATTCTAGGAGATTTCTCACTCAGGAGATCCCTAGATCAGAAGATCTTCTCGATCCTACCACTAATGACTAAGCTGTATTTTACATCTTAGCCTAATACCACTGTAACCTCTCACCATACACCCCAGCCCACACCACCCCAGCCCACACCACCCCAGCCAACCACTACCCGTAAGAACCCCGGGCATAGCCCCTCGCGAGAACTTTGGCTAAATCGCTCGAATCTGAAATTAGAAATAAAAAGCGTGGATGTAATTTACAGTAGCCAATTCCCGAAAACGAGGCTTGGCACTCGTATTTACGGAAATATTCATAGAAGACTCACTCTCTCGGAGACTCCCGGGGGTTTTGAGCTACGATATCATGTATTGAAATATACCTATATGGAAATCTTATAAGAGAATTGCGGGTGATACATAATCTTATAATCTTTGTTTTAACATGCTTTGTTTGATGTTTATATTGCCTCATGGCTTACAAACTCCTTAGTAGCTCTATATCTTTCATATACGGTTAGCGCTGTCATCTGTCAGGTCAAACAGCCTGTCACCGTATGACCGTCCGATTATGTCATAGGGGTCAAATGTCAGTCATTACGCATCCCTAAGTAATGCTGGTGCTTTGCAGACTGTAGAGTAAAGTAAGGTACCTTACCTTAGTCAAGATGTAATTTAAATCGGTAGCGCCGCCCTCAACATCTTGGCATTCAGCCTTATCACGACATCATCTCTCAAGGCTTCTATTCAAAAAATGACGACGCCGACTAATGGCCCACATCTCCTTGCAGCTCATCCATGCCTAACATCTCTCAGAAGTAGCATAGCTTCAGAAATTGTTCCTAGAATGCATTGCTTTAGAGCTTGCCTTCCTCCCTTAAGACATGGGGCTACCTCCGACTCTAAGTGATCATACCAGTCACGCGTTGAATAGAGATCCAGCTACACACACTGATCTTCCCTCCGTCTTCTCCGTTCCACAAACCTACCCACTACTATTCTAACTCTTCATTTTACCAAGTTGCACAGCAGTGAGCACACTGCAAACGAATCGAGAGCACCATGAGCCAAGCAATTCCAGAACCCATACCTGACCTCGGCGCCGGAAGCGCAGGCAAGGCAGCAGAACCACATCCAGGAGGTCGAATCAAGCATGGAAGTTCGGTCCAGCTCCTCCGCCTAATGGCCTTCACATCATGGCTCAATGCTTGTATTTTCACCATACATTTTACCCAGATCCTTGGCTGGCCTCTCTACCTCGTCAATAAGGACTACTACTATGCTTACATGGCCCTTACCAAGCAATCTTTTGGACTAGTCGCTACCACAACAACTGCCTGGTTCAGTCCGACGGTCATAAGAGTCAGTGGGGACAAGAGCGTCCGGGGGCAGTTGCTGCAGACGAAGGATGGACGACTCGAGACTCGCTTCCCAGAAAGACTGGTCATGATTGCAAATCATCAAATCTACACTGAGTGGCTATACCTTTGGTGGGTGGCATATACGAGCAACATGCATGGTCATGTCTACATCATCCTTAAAGAGTCCCTGAAATACATTCCATTCATCGGTCCTGGAATGATGTTCTACGGCTTCATCTTCATGGCACGTAACTGGGCAAAGGATAAGACGCGGCTACATCATCGATTACAGAAGCTCGTCAAGGGGCGCCATGGTGGTCCGATGTCAGGAGTATCAGGGATGGGATCTCTTGATCCGATGTGGTTAATCATCTTTCCTGAAGGAACCAATCTCTCGGCGAATACTAGGAACCAAAGCCAGAAATGGGCTGATAAGCAAGGAATCAAGATTCTTGAACATTCATTGTTACCAAGGAGCACAGGCTTGCTATACTGCTTGCAGGAACTGAAGGGTACAGTTGACTGGGTGTATGACTGTACTTTGGCGTATGAGGGCATACCGTAAGTTATACATCTCTTGTTCGTCGCAGGTATTGACCATCTACCAGCCGCGGAAGCTTCGGCCAAGATATATTCACACTTCGCTCGACCTACTTCCAAGGTCGGCCGCCAAAGTCTGTCAATATGTACTGGAGGCGAATTCCTGTTTCCTCGATCCCTCTTAATGATTCCCAGAAGTTCGAGCTATGGCTTAGAAATCAATGGCAGGAGAAAGAAAACTTTTTGGAGTACTTCGCCCAAAATGGTCGCTTTCCTGCAGATGATGGCCACGACTCGGAAGGAGAGCCTGCCACCAACGGCAACTCCGGTGCCCAGGTCCTGAAAGGGGCAGGCTTCATCGAAACTGAAGTGAAACTGGCGCATTGGTATGAAGTCGGACAGATCTTCGTAGTGCTGGCTGCTTTTGCTCTTGTTTCCAACGTTCTGGCGAAGCTTTGGAACATGGTTCTTTATGGTAGTCTAGTCGGTCATGGGTGAGGGAAAGCGTTAGCAGCTCTGTCGCAGGAGTCTCTAGTTGAGTTTCTGTGCTAGGACTCTTGAAAGAGACGGAGTTCAGGTTGGTATGTGCGTCCGGATGTTGTCAACTTTCTCCTTGGCAATGATTCAATTCCAACCGGCGGCATTACTTCGGGATTGGCTAGCCTCAAATGGATTAGCCAGATTCTTCCGGATCTTTGTTCACCCGTTGCGGGCTTGGAACCTTTCGCAACACTTTCGCCCTTGTCATTGCTTCCTGCAGACCCTCAACTTCACAGAAACCTCAAATGAATCGTCGGAGTTGCAAGTTCTATACCGTGCAACTGCGCCAACCTCTACATGCGACGAGCTCGAACAGCGTTGATCAACCATCGTCCAGGGACGGCTGGTCCTACCTTTCACCTTACTTACGCTTCACTAACGCACTATGGCACCCTTTCTGAATGGATACGGTAAAGGTGGAAATCGTCATCTACCAACAGAGCCCGCCACGACCGACGTCCGCTTCTCCGACATACCTTCCGCACTCGATATCCAAGTCTCAGGCGGCGATGCCGAGGAGGCCGTCGAGATCAGTCTCGAGGATTTGCTTGACGATCCAACAGAACTATGCACACTTCTAGAAAATGAAAATGCGGAAAAGCGGGTGTGGATGATAATTGCTCTGGCGTACGCGAGGCAAGGGAAGATCGATCTTGCAATCGACATTCTACACAAGGGCTTGAATTCTCTATCGAGGGGAAGTCCAAAGGAGAAGCTAGCCCCGCTCAGCCTGCTTTGCTGGATGTTCTTGGGCAAAAGTCGGCAGGCACCGAGAGTGTTACCTGATGGTCAAGCGGCATCAGAGGTGAAGACAAAGGACCTCTGGCTCCAGTCCGCGACCGCTATCATGAACGATGCATCTCGAATCAACCCGGCTTTCCCTCCGCTCTATCTCGCGCGTGGTGTTCTCTACCTCCTCCGCGCCTCCTTGCAACCTCCCTCGAAGCCCGTTGCGCCTGGCTCGATGGATCATTCAGAGCGGATGGAATCGTTGAGGCAAGCACTCAAGTGCTTTGAGGATGCAGCGCGAGTGTCGCAAGGGAGAAATATGATGGCGGTCTTGGGTACGGCAAGAGCACAATTCTCGATGGGACGATATGCGGAAGCTTTGAAGGGCTACCAGGAGGTTCTTTCAAAAATGCCACATCTTCATGACCCTGATCCTCGGATTGGCGTTGGATGCTGCCTTTGGCAATTGGGATACCAGGAAGAGGCGCGGGAGTCATGGGAAAGAGCCTTAGAGATCAATCCCGACTCGAAGATTGCTACCCTCCTGGTCGGTCTCTATTATCTCAACGACAGCTCAAACTACGCTACGAAGGATCCCGCTTTTGCTCCAATCTACAAGAAAGCCATGACCGAGTACACTCAGAGAGCTTTCAAATTAGACAAAGAACTGCCCCTCACATGCGCGACGTTTGGTGGTTACTTCCTACTCAGGAGGGCATGGCCTACTGTCGAGACATTGGCGCGAAAAGCAATCGAGTTGACTGATGTCAACGCCATCGCTAGTGACGGTTGGTATCTTCTTGCGAGGAAAGAGCACTCACAAGAGAATCCAGACTACTCAAAGGTTAACGATTTCTACAGTAGAGCTGATGCTGCAAGAGGCGGCGGCGACAAGGGCTATGTACCAGCAAGACTTGGGCTCGCTCAGGTACAGGTATTGCAGCAAGATGTTGATGGGGCAAAATTCCGATTGGAGAAGGTCATACAGGCTTCGAAGAGCACTGAGGCAATGATGCTTCTTGGAGCCTTGTATGCTGAGGATGTTTTTGCAAATCAAGTGACAACTGGTGTGAAGGAAGACAAGTCTGCGGAGGTCAAGAAAGCAGTCGCGTTCCTTGAAGCTGTGCGCATAGCTTGGAAAGATCCCTCAAAAAAGCTATATCCCGACCTGTCAGTACTCGTCTATCTCGCTCGCTTGTACGAAGTCGACCACCCAGATAAGGCAATGCAATGCTTGCAGCAGGTTGAGAAGCTGAGCATCGAGGATCTATCGGATAAGAAGGACATGCTCAAGGATGCAGAACTCGACGAGGCCACGATGACAAAGCTTCGCGAAGAACTGCCTCCACAATTGCTCAACAACCTTGGGTGCTTTCAGTACCAGAGCGAGAAGCACGACTTGGCCAGAGACCTTTTCCAGACAGCATTGAATTCTCTTGTCAAGTTCGGAGAGAGAGACGAGACTATCGACACAGATGCCCTGGTCACAACCATCAGTTATAACCTGGCGCGGACATACGAAGCCGCTGGCTTACTTGACGATGCAAAACAGGTATACGAGGGCCTGTTGGCACGTCACCAAGACTATACTGATGCTCGAACGCGACTCGCTTACATCGAATTGCGCCTGAACCCAACAGAGGATGGGCCAAAGGCCATATCTGCATTAAATGAGACAGACGGCTCAGATCTCGAAGTACGAGCGCTTCTGGGGTGGTATCTCAGCAGATCAAAGAAGCACGCTACCAACGTTGCCGAAGACCAAGAGCAACGGCACTACAAGCACACTTTGCAACTTTACGAGAAGCATGATCGGTACTCGTTGACTGGCATGGGCAACGCGTACGCTAAATATGCCCGCGAGATGCGGAGAACGACAGACAAGGAGAGGGAAAAGCGAAGTGCCGAATACCTCAAAGCTGTTGGATACTATGATAAGGCGCTACAACTAGATCACAGAAATGCTTATGCTGCGCAGGGCATTGGTATAGCTCTGATCGAAGATAAGAAAGACCTCGGCTCCGCTCTTCATATCTTTACAAAGATTCGAGATACCGTGCGCGACTCCAGTGTCTTCATCAATCTTGGTCATGTCTATTGCGAGCTGAAGCAGTACGTCAAGTCGATTGAGAGCGTGAGTCTTCCTTCTCCTTCTGCATTGTGTCTGGTGAGCTCACACCTAGCGTCTAGTACGAAACCGCCCTCCACAGAGATCGCGCCTCGGATCCTCAAGTCCTTGCTTGCCTCGGCCGCGTATGGCTTCTCAAAGGCAAACAAGACAAGTCTACCTCAGCCATGAAATCCTCCCTCGACTATTCCCGCCGTGCTCTGGCCATCGCCACTTCTCAAATCCATTTCAAGTTCAACATTGCCTTTGTGCAAATCCAACTCGCTCAGCTAATTTACACCCTCCCCGAGTCCCAACGCACCCTCGCTGAAGTTCAAGCTGCTTCGGAAGGTCTCGATGACGCCATTGAATCATTCACTGAAATCGCGCAAGCGAAAAATCCTCCTTACCCTAAGCACGACATCGAGCAACGAGCTAACATGGGAAGAAACACTATGCGCAGACAGCTTGAGCGCGCCATTCAATCTCAGCGTGAGTACGAAGAAAAGAATGCGGCACGCCTACAGGAAGCACGCGAGTCGCGCGAAGCAGAGATGAAGCGCCGTGAGGAAGAGCGGAAGAGAGCTGAAGAGATCGCTGCTGAGGAAAAGAAGAAGATCCAAGACGAGCGTAACAAGATGCTCGCACTAAACCGCGAGCTCGTCGAGAAGCGCGCCGAAGAAGAGCGACGGAAAGAAGAACTTGAATACACCACCGACTCAGAGACAGGCGAGCGCGTCAAGCGGAAGAAAAAGCCAAGAGGTGCTGGTGGCAAACGCAAGAAGAAGGGCGAAGACTCGGATACGGAGACTGAAGGTGATGGCCCGAGGAGGAGGAGAAAGGGCGCTAAGGGCACAGAAGATGAGACTAGTGGCATCACCAGTATGGATGACAATGGCCCGAGAACAAAAAAGAAGAGGAAGTTGGCCCGCAAGGGAGGCAAGGAAGACAAATTCAAGAGTAGCGAAATGGTCCTTGACAGCGACGAGGATGACGACGTTGCACCAGCTGCCACTAACGGTGGAGGCAAGACAAGTGATCCTGAAGAGGACGCCGAGATGGAAGATGCTAGACCCGCCATCGAGGCTGCAACTAGAGGAGAAGACGACGACGAAGACGAAGAAGAAGCCGTATCCCGCCCCCGCAAGAAACCCGTCCGCCGCATCGATGAGAGCGACGAGGAAGAAGAGGACGACGACGAGGACGACGAGGGGGAGGATGAAGATACAGCACCTCCGCCCATGACTACCGCAGAGAAAGCAGCCGCCGAGGAACAAGGCGAAGATGTCTCGATGGTGGATCAGAAAGTCACGGCGGCGGGCGGCGGCAACGATGTCGAAGTTTCAGGGCAAGCCGGTGGCGTTTATCCCGGCGTGACCGGAGGTGGAGAAGCGGGTGCGTAAGAGCGTCCTATAGAATCGTCGGAGGTTGTGATGAAAGAGCGGGCGATAAGGACGTTTGTAATATAGTCAGGCTATGTAGCTCTTTCCACTAATAGATGGCTTGCATATCATACAGTCCGTTTCTCTCTCTCTCTCTCTCTTCGAAAAGAAGAGGTCCGAGATAGGTCCATCCATCCATCCATCTAACTTACTTCCTTACACGACAATCCCAAATCCGTCACCCCCTCCTCCTTTCTCTTTTTTTTTTCTCTCTCTCTCTCTCTACCCACATACCACCATCCGCACCGCACCGCACCGCACCCCTTTCCATCACTCAATCCCCCCTCTCGAAACCATATACCTGTGCGTCTATGTGCATGCGTGTCAAAAACAGCCAGCCAGCAAACAAACACCCGAAACGATCGCGCGTCCAGTCAGAGGGTCCGAATTAAAACCCCCCCCCCCCCCGCCCTACCGCCCTCCACCGCCCTCCACAGTAGTAATAGTAAGTAGGAGTAGTAAAGTAGTAACAATATCTAGCAACCTCGTCCGTATACCCTATACTCCTCATGAATATGGATATCATAATCAACCTTCTTGTCCTTATCCTTATCCTTATCCTTATCCTCATCCTTATCCTTATCCCTTAGCCGCGCTTGAACTCGTATGTGTCGACACTGCGACGACGCCAACGACCGTTGGAAGTGTAAATTTACAGTATTTAGACTTTGGAACTGAACCCGGCCGGGTGTGGCTGGCTTTTGGCTGGCTGGTTGGCGGGCTTGTTGGTGTTGGTGGGTTCGTGTTGCGGGTACCTGCTAGGGAACGACTACATACGAGATATGTGAGAGAGGCGATAGCTGGGTACGTACTGTACGGAACGGCGTGGACCAAAAAGATAGAGCTTTTTTTTGATTTTTTCTATTTTTTGTATTTTTATTTTCATTGGGCTACAGAAGTATGATGATACATGGATTTCACCTCTGCCTCGAGCTCGAACTTTGCATCTACCTTTACCTGTAGAGTACCGCCGCCCTTGCCATCTGCCCTCCATATTCTCTGGTAGCCATGATGTTTCGAAATGTCAGCGTCGGCCAGCAACGACAACTTTCGTGGGGAATGACCATCTGGTAGATAATACAAAAAACTCATATGTTGAAGATGGTCAGACCTGGTAGACCTTTTAGAAATTTCATTATTCGATCGAATGGGCGTTCATTCCCTCCTCTCCGGCACAATCGAGAAACATACATTAGAACATAAGTCGTAGATTTCGTGAAGACTTTTGGATTTTATTGCAGGCAGTAGATGTATGCATGCAGGTGATAGATGTACATATGTAGATAGACTTAAGGGTTGCGCACGGGGGTCGTGTGCGGCGGCTGAATGACGTTGTAGCTTCCTCTGCTACCTCTGGCATTAAGGCTCGATGCGGAGCTCCCAGAACGCATTCGCCTGCCAGCTGCAGGTTGGAATGGCGGCGGCATAGATGGATCCTGGGCTGGAAGACTGACGTCTGAGATGGCTCTGTCCCGGGATACTGGAAGCAGTGGCACGGGCTCTTCGGCGGTCTTGGCTTTGGAGAGCATGATGTTTTGAGCGGCGTCTTTCGCCAAATTAGGGCTACGGCGACGTTGAGCCATCAGTGTCTGTTGGCTTTCTGAGGGAGAGTCTGACAGGTTCAAAAAGGTTGAGTTGTCGGTGAGTTGGTCGACGGCAGGATCAATTCTTTCGCGGCTGTTCTTGCTGGACATCAATTCTGGCAAGCTACCGACGGAGCCAGCGTTGCGGGGGCGGCGCGCATTAGATGCAGCTTGCGTACACCAAAAGCTTTCTTGGGAGTTACTTTTGCTGATCAGCGACCGGCTGCTGCGCGGAGAGTTGCTGATCGTTGAACCGTCAATGCGGCCGACGTTGTGGAGATGGAACGTCGCATCTTGGGGGTAATCAGTGGTGTATATCTGGTGATATAGGTCGTCTTGGACCGTCTGAGATTCGAAATCATCGGCCACTACGTAAGTTGGCCGGCACCATTCCTTACAGTTCCCGGCGGAGAATCTTGTAGCCAATGCCGATTCCGTAGCCTCATCTGGGGTAACAGCTTCTGGGATACTGCTGAATGATGATTCGGTAGAGCCCGCCGACGGAGGGTCCAGACTTGATGGGAACGTCTGTACAGGCAGGAGTGAAGGTGGTGAGCTTGAGTATACAGAAGAGGATCGTTTGGCTGCATGCCTGCTGGGAGAGGGCGAGGCAGGTTGGGGCTTCCTGTTTGGAGATGCGGATGCCGTATCAACGGCGGCGGTCTGGATGTCATCGACAGTGGGTGCAGTGATATCGTCCTCATGGATTGAGGAACGATGCCAATCGAAATGTGAATCCCCTTCAGCCCCGAGGGCATAGGAACAGTTGATGGCGTCTGACGCGATGTCCCAAAATGCCTCCATGTCATTGGGCCCGACGGAGATGTGTCGTGAGAGACGTGGCCGCGCGGGTATATCGTCAAGTGGGTCCTCAATAGAAGGTTCTGATGTCTTAGCCGGCGCCATGCTATGCCTTTGCAGCGAGTCGAAGACATCCGCTTCCACCGGCAGCAATCTGGCTGACCATCCACTTGGACTCTCTTCAGCCGGAGGCATGGGATGTGCCCACCCGCTTTGCAAATGTTCGGCCGCCGGAACGCTATTGCGAAGACCGGAGTTGAAACTCACAGGGCGCTGAGTGCAAGCTAAAAACGAGCTTCTCTTTTCATCAGTTTCATCATCCTCCTCGACTGGCGCGAGCTCGGTTTTGACCATTGAGAACGGCACCTGTCGATTCCAATCTGCACAGTCATCTGTTGTTACAGCGTGCGGTGATGCGAGATCGTAGATTCCATCGTTCCAGGTACCTATAGGATAGTCCGAAGGCTCAGGGGACCCGATGGAATTTTGCGGTTCGAACATCGTATCAAATGGTGTTTCATGATGGAATGTGAAAAAGTCGGGTGTCAGGTGACGGGATGGTGATACCGGTGAACTTTGAGCTGTATGGCATGCAGCACTTGGCTGGGAGAAGTTATCTGATGACCGTGAATGCTCGAAGGCCCTCACAGGAGATGTTGCGTCATAGGGGCTGTCCTGTGTGCGATCCTGAATTCTTGATGTACGAAAGGAAGGCAAGCCGGCGGTGCCATCTCGTGGCTGGGACGGGGAATCGGGTAAAAGAGCATCCCGCGGTAAGTCTTCTCGCTGTATGTCCTTGGCCTTGATACCTCTCAGTCCTGGTTGGGAGGCCTGCGAGGCACGAAGAGCAGAAAACTCCGAAACAAGATCATTGGGGTTTGCTCTTTCCAGCTGTTGAACGTGATGAGGTTGAGTGTGGGTCACGTGGTGGAAGTTGAATGGCTCGGATATGTTCAGTCGTAGGGCAGCGTTTGCTAGGCCTGTCAGCGGTAGTCTGGCGGGTCAACTGTCCAAAGAAACTTACGATCACCGGTTGAAGGTGTCCTGCTGTGCATGAAATCTGGAGAAGGTGGTTGGTCTAGGACATGGTGCACACGAGCTTCCTTGCTTTCTTCCACCCAATCCAGCGTGCGTAGCGAGGTCAATTCGTGTTTGCTGTTTTGGCGTTTCAGAAATCTTGACCCCTTCGCCATCCATGCCTTGGGGGCGAAGCTATCCAAAGCATCTCCTCTTGTATGTGTGCTTCCTCCTGCGACTGATCGTCTATCGACTGAGGTGCGAGGCGTGCGTCTGTCAATTGACGTTGAGACTGGTGAAAGATCATCTCTGTCTTGGGGTCGGGAGTAATTCGGAGCAGACGAGTTGCTTCTTGAGCGAAGTTGCAGCGATGGACGTCTTGCGCCTTCTGTCTTTGCTCGCTGGTGATGCGCTGGCTGAAGCATGGTTGTGAATGGTCTCCTGCCCAGGTCTTGGATACCTTTATGATCCACAACCCTCCAGTCGAGCCGGCTGCCCTCTGTCGAGTCGGCAGCAGTCCCCTTGAACTCGAACATGGCTTGGTTTCAAAGGATGTGGTGTCACCACCGGGCTCATATGTAATCGAAAAGCGTCGAGGTGCGCAGTGATGTTGGCATGGCACGACCAACGGGGGAAAGGTCAAGGCTCTGAGGGAGGCTTTTGGGAATGCAAAGAAACAGTGAGAGGCCGTTAGAAGAATAAAAATTGGGAGCTTGTCTGGCGTGTTATGGTTCGGTCGTGGTATTTTAGCGGGCGACTATTGCCGAGACCGTCGAAAGCCCACGAACGCGACAGGGAGGTGGCTGTCGCTAATGCAACCTTGAGCGCACTAGCTGGGGGCACGACAGGGCCGGTCGGTGGGTTGGGCCAGGGTGGGAGCAGGAACCAACGCGATTGATCAGTTAAAAGTTCAGCTAAGTAATGAATGGTACGGTACTGATCACTGGATCAGCAAGGCGATGACAGGGGTTGCCACCGATTCCAGCCGTCCCACTGAAAGTCGTTTGAGAAAGTGGTACTCCGTATGCGTTTTGTTTTGAAGATGATGGTGGGGAAGGAAATGGGATTGCGAAAGGATTGCGAAATATGTGTAGGATTGCGGACTGGTCAACGGCGCGGGTCGAGATGCCCTGTGTGGCGAGGCTTCTCGAACACCTGGGGGTGGTGGTGGTGGCGAAGAAAATCGAAAGCCTTCCCGAGTTTCTCGGAAACCCTCAAACCTCCTGTCTCAAACGTTCGTGCGGCGTAGAACTGTAATTATTATTGTCAGCGTTATCATCAGAAAACGCGACGATTTTAGAAAAGAATAGGTAGGATGCAAGGTGCAAGTCCTGGAAACTGGGAGAAATTATAACAATTATAACAACGCGCTACCACCCGCCTGTTATTAAATCATTTTCGCCTCCTTCGCTTTCACTCGGTACTCTACTGCCATCGACGCCATTGCCTTGGAATTCAAGCAGATGCGTAGTGCTCGCGACTTCTTACCTGGAATGATGTGAATGCTAGCTGTTGATTGGAGTAATTTAGCAAAGCAAGATGCTGGGTGATGTGATCGGGAGGATTCCTCGTGCGTCCAAGTGGACCTGCTTACGTTGAGGCTTGAGGTACTGCCGCTGCGGCAAAATTCACCATTCACCATTCACCATTCACCATTCACCAATGGCACTAAGATCCTGGTCTGGAAGGCAAATCACGCCCATGAGTGCGAATATTATTAAGAAACATAGGTAACCAGACACGGCGAGTGGTAGAAAAGGGTGAGGGAATTTGCATCATCCTCATCGCCTATCTCGTATCAATAGATAGGTCTCTCGGATTCGTAGTTGCATAATTACGGCCGTAGCGATTTTGCTTCCCAACCCGGCTCTCGTATCGAATCCTGCCGTTGACCATTGTAGAGTGTAGCTGAAAGGATCCACTTTCCGGGGTGATGGGGCACGATTCTTTTTTTCTTCTTCGTTGGGCCGTCGTGCCCAAGAGCCAGGCCTACTCAAACCTGAGACTGAGGCCATGTCATCCTACCTACAGACTCTATGCAGTCTTATGCTTGCTCGTCACCAAAGTCTGGGCTACGTCTCAAAGAGAGGATTGGATGGGGGGGGGAAGGCCGCAGATGGAGAGGATAGCCTGGCTCCCTGGGCAGGCTCGTACCTTGCAGGGCCATGCATAGCGCCCCGGGCCCTTGGGTCGTCTTCCCCCGCCCCACCAGTAGTGAAATCCAGAATCTGAGGGATGCAGGAATGAGCCAATTGAAAGTCGTAATTGCCACGAGACCTGGTCGATTCGATAGGAACTTCCGGGGACTATCCCTTCCCTTTTTGACGGGGCTTTGACCGGTAGCTTCTTAGCGAGTTACCGACTGAGCGGCTGCAATAAAATTCGTCTGCTTTTCTCCGTGCGCCCAACCATTTTTACCAAGCGTCGCGATAAGATTGGAACAGAGTCCAATTCTCTGACATAACAAATCCTTGGAAAATCATAATAACATTCCATTAAACGTACCTCAAAAACTTACAGGGTGGAAGAAGGGAGCAAAGGGGATAATGGGTACAGCCGCGGGAAGGGTAAGCAAGAGCGACCGTTGTACCTGCAAGCCCACCGTTCTACTTTAAAGTACCTTACTCCTCCTCCCTACCACCTTTACTTCCTCATTATTGCTACCTTTACCTTAGTATCTTCCACTCTAGGAAAACCTTGCGCTCTAGCGGCCATTCTTTTTTGCCATTTTCTTTTTACATGAACCTATTATTGTTCATTATTTATTGTTTATTGTTTATCGTTTTTTTTTTCTTCCTTTCTGTTATTTGCAATACTGGAACTTGGAAGCGAGCTTGCAGCTCGACCATCGAGTATGGACCAACCGTTACCGAAAGAGCATCTGCACTCTGCACACTTACGTCCACAATACCCCACTCTTAAGCATGCCATCGGCTTGACTATACAAGTTCGGAGATAAGTCGCTGCGAGGTGCAGCTCATTCTTCCAGCTCTGGCGGTAAAATTTCCTAAAGCATGAGAATACTCCAGCCTCTGCAAGCCACCTTTTCTACTTCGGTCAATCTATCGCAAAGTGGATGAACTTTCTATCCTCTGACCCTCTCACGCTCTTCCTTAGACTTCAGCGATTTCACCTCGTTTTCGATACATACCCCCACTACTTGATCAATCCTGGTCCTCATCTCGCATGAGACATGTTTTCACCCTACATGATCTCGATCGTCATCTTAGCCGCGCATCTCGCAGATGTTCGGTCTTCCAACGTTTCCTCTTCCCTGTGCTCTGTGCATTGACATATGCATTAATACCCAGTCCCTGCATATTCTCTTACCCCGTACACAACCAATTACATTTACGCTTACTTGACAGATCAGCCACTCGACACCGATACCTGCGTATGTCGTGCATGTGCGCCAGGCATACTTAACTCTAATATTCTATATGCGCAACGCCAGGCTAAAACAATGCCTCCAGGAGCACCGCGACACGCGTAATCATTCCTAATCAGAACGACATGAATCATTTCCAGAGATGCTCTAAAATCTTCACCGAGTGGAAGCTCCGAATACGGCATGACAGCAATGGAAATACACATCAAGAGCGAACAAGCGCACGCCAAGGTATGATGGAGGCATTTCAGACTCAATGTAGTGGTGAGAGGAATTTCTCATGATCTGTTGACGGTCGAATGTCAGATCATTAGCAAAAGACCGACACCAGCTGCTACCTGAATCGAGACACGCTTTAGATGAAATGTGAGCGCCAACATTTGTGAAGACAGTTATGGTACTCTAGGATCAGCAGTCTAATCAACAGATCTAGAATGACTCTCTGAGACCCTTGCCCAGTCCTCTTCGAGGACAGACAAAAGACGGGTCGAGGTATCCAAAGCGCCATCACAATCCATGCCTCCAAGCCCATATGCCCATTTTGTAGCACTTCGCCTGGCCTCAACAGCCAGCAATCGTCACAAAACCGCGATGAAGCAGCTCGTCTCCCTCCTTCTCCTCCGCATGATCCCAGACTCCACACCGCTCTTAAACCTCCGCCATTTTCCGGAAATTTTTCTATGGCACACCGCCCTTCTCGGATCCCTCGTGTCACAGCACGGAACATAAAGCCGAAACCTTAACAACGGAGGAATGGTCCAGAAGACGGGTTCCGCAATGAGGATGGCGGAGAGGGAGTAGAGTGACGCAGGAATGCAAGACTGACAGAGAGAAAAGTACGCCTGGAATGGCAATGATTTACGTGGCTAGAAGCACGGATTATCCCCTTCCCGCCCCCCTCTCTCTGTTCTTAACGAATACTGCGCCTGTAGTATGTAGTCACCAAGAACCCATCACTTTGCGCTGGGGGAAGGAGGGGGATTCACACACTGCCCGTGTTTCCCGGAAATAGGCAGTTAACCCCGTACCTAAACTCTCTTCTCACCCCACAGCAACCTATGCCCGTTCGTCCCTTCAAACGCGCCCGAGCTTGCGAAGATAGGAAAGTCGTAACCGTACCCACGGGGAAAGAATCCCTGCCGCACACTCCGACCGTTCAACCCACACCTCATCTCCTGGGCGAAAGGGAAGTATGATGCGCGCATGCCCGGTGAGGGAGGGAGGAAGGGTCCAGGTATTGCTCCCCGGAGAGGTACCTAGGTTACCACGGAAGCCGCACCCAGCGATCGCTTTCCAGTGGGAAGCGGCTTCCGAGCGGGGCTGACTTTGATCCGCCCCCTCTCCTTTATCATCTCCGTCCGTTTACTACATACGTGCTCATCCTATCTATCGATTTATCTATCTATCTGGCTATCATCAACCATCATATCATCTCATATCATATCATTGCATCCACGCATCCCCTACCGTCTTCTCCGAAGCAGACCTACCTCATTCCCTTCCCTTGACACGGGCATCCCGCTCTAGTCTACTCCACCGAGAGTCGCACGTCTAGCATACGAGTGGTGGCGCCTTTCAACCTCCAGCTGCGCGGAGTGCAGTGTTCGTGGCGGGGTCGATCGAGCGAGAGTGGCATCTTTGCCGGCCGGATGATGATGATGTGGGGTCTTTTATGCGTTTCCGCCGTCTAAGATTATGTATGGTATATCTTTTACACCTCCCTCAACGGTTATCCATGGAGAAAGTAATTACTCATGGTACTGTACCATACATCTCATCGGCCAAATTCCACCAACCGTCCCCATGGATAACGTCGTCGTCTCTACCGTCGCTACACCAATACAGTACCAATGCGACACTATGCGAGGTCATACCCGCTTGATTTCTTTCAAACCACATTTGCGACTGAGGCGAGTTATTCGACCTCTATTTGTGGCCGGTGTAAGATCTTTCATGTAAGGTCTTTCGAATATAAATACCATGCTGCTACCCTCATTGATGGACTATTTCTTTCATATAGTATCCACACCCACATCCGCATACACACTCCTTAGCATACACACTCGCTTTTCTTCCCTATCAAGATTTTATACTCTCGTACTCAGACAGCAGCCCATTTAGCCCAGGCAGAGGCTATGTATCCCATCCCTTACTATCATAGAACGAATAACGACAACACGCCTGACTGTCCAAATATCTTATCAATACATAAGGACTCGGCGAGGTTATAAAGTACAGAATTGGCAAGGCCGAAAGAATAAGCGAGCAGCGATGGGACTCGGTAGGGCGGTCGATAGCTAATGTCGTAAAGGCAATGGTTTGGTAGACAAAGGTAGCAAAGATATCAGGAAGAGGTTGAGGATGTGAGTAGGCGTAGGTAATTATTTTGTATATCCAACATGAAGAAGACATACCATCCATGGGAAGGTGTATCTTACTGATGAAACTTTGCCCATCAGATAGTTGATACAGCACCATAAGTGAGTAGATTCTCCATGGATGACCCACTTTGTCCATAGATGAAATGCTTTATCCATGGATCATGACGATAGGTGCAACATAGACGTGTCCGAGGCGAGACGCGAGCGCGGCTGTTTGGGGAAGGAGGTGCGGGGCTGGGGTGCACACGGTGATTTGGTGGGGGTGGAAGAGTCTCTTTTCCCGGTCCACAACTTCCGTCCGGACTGGCAAGCAAGCAAGCAGAACGCACGTTCCAAATCAAGGGCACGCTTTTGCAAAGGACCACGTCAACGCCAAGGATACCACACTTTTCCATCATCTCGTCCTCTCTCTCCTCCGCTTTCGCGGGCGGGTGCGCTACCGGCGTCAGCCTCGACGACGACCACCTTTCTTCTCCTTTCCTTGGTCTTTGGGGGCCTTCTCCTGGCTTCCCCCCGCGGGCTTGCGATCTTTCCTGCCCTTGCCCGGACCTGTTCCAGCGGACCGCTGACCCGTCTCGTCATCCTCCAGACGACGTCGCCGGGTCGGCTGGGGCTCGTCGGAGCCTCCCGGGGAAGACGAAGTATCTTTGTTGGGGACCTCGATTGGTGGATTGCCGGCTTGATAGGCCACGAACTGGGCCCGCGCGTGAGGGGACCCGGCCCTGCTCGGTGCCCCATACCCGGGTTCAAAGTCATGTTGATTGCTGTTCCGGCTTCCTTGACTACAATCCGGTGCATTCAAATCGTATGTTTTGCTAGGATCGTAGGGAATGCGTTGAGGGACTGGGGGTTGAGCTGGTGCACCATAAGCGGAAAGCTGGGCTTGAGGTCGAGCGAGTGCAGAACTGCTGCTTGGAAATGCGCGCTGCTGGGCTCCAGGAGGTCCAGCAGTCGAAGTCAAGGACAATACGTTGAGGCTTGTAGTCACTCTTTGATCATCGCTGGGCGGGTCCATGGGTCGAATTGGCCGAGCGTCGACCCCAATCTGACGGAAACCCTCTACACATTCTGTAATCCAGTGATCTTGACGCCTTCTCGCAAATATAGCGACTTTTTGCGTAATTGGACGATTGGCCTTACCTAACATGTCGACCATGGGAAGAATACATTTTTTTGGATCGGCCTTCACATTGAGCCTATGAAAGATCATGGCTCTGATCTCGTGCGGCTCAAAAGGTTGGTACGCCTTATGAACGACCCATTTGTAGGAAGCATATATAGTGCAAAGCGCGTCCTCGGAGATTGGTTCGTTGAAGAAGATTATCCTCTCATGTGCAAGAAGGTGTAAAGGTCCAGGATTCCGCCACACAGCGTCAACTCGGCGGAGCAAATCCGCTCCTCTCAAACCTGCCACTCTTCTCACTTCAACAGTCACTGGATCATCGGAGTCTAGGATAAAGTTCTTGACAAATTGAGGTACTTTTTTGAGGATTCCGCCAAACATTTCACCAATCACCTTTTCGACCTCGGCGTCGGAAAGTTTTTCACCCTTATACTCATACGAACACCGGAAAGCATAGATATTGAGAAGTTGCTCGCTGGTGACTTGTGTTCTGGATACCACTGAGTCACTCTCTCGTCTTATGGCAACACACGGGAGATCCTTCTGGTCAAGGTTCAGTCGGTTGTTCAGTAAAAGGCTCTCACCATCCTCCCTCTGTGGGCTACAAAGCAAGGAACACGACTGATTAGCAAGCCCTCCTTCGAGAGATTGAGGTGTTCTTACTCACTCTCGTTGCGTTTCTCTTCGGTTAGATATTCCTCATGCATCTCTCCAAACTTAAACCACAGCTCCATACTGACCTCTTCCGTCTCTTTCACCGCTTGAGCTACCTTTTTGGTAAACGAATGATCAGGGTCTAGTAAAGTTTCGGCCACATAAGGAACATCTGTCTCGGGTTTGGAGAGCTGGATTCGGCATATGCCTCTGACTGCATCCTGACTTAACCGCGTGCCGTAAAGTTCGAAAGAATTTTGACACATGTAAAGGATTTTGAGATCATCATCCTTCAGCTCTTCGCCATCATGTATTGCTATTGTGCCGTCATCAAAAGCTATCGTCATCTTTGTGGAACTAGACGACTGTCGACGGATAGCTAAGAGCTTGTTCTTCAGGAAGATATTTGTGTGTTATTGATGGTCTGCAGGTCTCCGAGAATGAGGATATGTGTGTTCTGTGCTAAACATATGTTATAAAGCGAAAAGAAGTAAAGGAAGGGAAAATCACCCAGCTTTATAGGAAACGAAACCCCGACTAGGTCATCTCATGGTCCATCATGCCCCTGGCAGATACCGCCCGTTCAAGGTATCAGGGTACCTCTTACGAGACACGGCTGTTTCAGCTGAAGCTGTAAAAATTGAAATGGCCGGCTGTGGTCTCGAGAGCGGCATCTCGCCCAAGGCGTGGAGGCGGTCGAGCTCTCGGCTGCGTGGCAGTGTGTCATAGTGTCACAAGTGGAGACCTTGAACGAATCAATCGATCAATAAGATGGGCGGCGTTGTAGCCTCGACAGTTTTGCCGCACACGCAGATACTGCCTGCTCGAAGTATCTGGAGAGTTGCATACATGAATCACACACCCTCCAAGTTTAGTCCGCCCGGAATCTTTGAAATGTAATGACTGGCTGGGTTTGCCCGAAGGGCGTCTCATGCATGCCGCCGAGTGTTTCAAGCTTCCATGTTGTGACAGTGTCCACGAGGTTCTGAGGCGACGGTAGAGATCCAATGACATGATTGGTAAGAGGAAGGGTGTTGCAGCCTTGGGTACGTGTAAGAAGAATGCTGGAAGAAGGTCTGCCCGGAGATCAGTTGTTAAGATGAATCGGGCAGCTTCCGATTTTCCGATGCTAGGTCTGTGTCCTCCAGACTCCGAGGCGACAATAGAGACCATATGATATGATTGGTAAGAGGGAAGAGGTTGCGACCTCAACGGGTCTCACTTGTAGGTGCTGCCTCGAGAATGTGTTGCGGAGATGTTGGAAGAAGCGCCGCCCAGGACTGATTGCGGCAACGTCTGGCTTTATTTCTGTGGAAACGTATCATAAGCAGGCCACCGAGACGTCCATGCTTCCGACTCTGAAGCGACGGTAGAAACCCGATAGCATGGTTGGTAAGAGGAGCAGGGGGTGCGGCCTCGACATATCTCCACATCTGTACGGGCGGCCGAACTTCCGGTGTTACAAAAGTACTCTCCGCATTTTGAGGCGGCGGTACAAAATCCAAACTGATTGGTAAGAGGGGCGGTACTGCGACCTCAGCAGGTCCCCATGTTTCTTAGTGCTGCTTCGAAAATGTATGGCAAGGATTGTGGGAGATGCTCTAGCCGGAAAAAGCCCGATAACACTATTGGTAAAACGGACGGGTTGTGACCTTAGCAGATGTCCGCATTCATAAGTGCTGCCTTGAGAATGTGTAGTCAAAATGGTAGAAGAAGCTCAGCCCCAAAGAAGATTCTACTCAGCGCTAAATGTACCGAAAATAGCTGTCCAGGGTCCTCTTAACAAGGAAACACTCCGTAATTGACCCTCAATTGCCAGCACTCCGGCAGTAACCTCACCTAGGCAGGGACACGGCTTTGGCGGAACATTCCGTATGTAGAAGGAGAAGAATTGGAGGCATAAGTGAATCTCGATCACGGCGCTGATCCAAGAGGACAAGTAACGTAGCTGAAGTAGTTGCTCGTGCGTGGGATTCAGGCCTTGAAACGTTTCATATGAGAACGGCCAGCAGCTCCATGTTCGCCAACGTCCCCGAGTACTGTCCCGAAAGTGATCGGCTGTTACTATGGATTCATCAGAGTACGATTATGCCAGGTCGCGCGCATCCTATTGGAGAGAAGCCAAAGTTGTTACACAGACGTAGCTCAGCCACAGTGTAATTTGTACTTGGCGAAAGGATCTCTGCCTATACGGTAGGGCAATAGGTAACAGGACCGCCCGTGCAAGTGTGCGTGTTTAGGCTTTTGAGATTGCTATCAATTGTGCATTTTGAAAGCTTGATTGTTGATTGCAACATGGAAGATGTGCTTCCCTAATTGCGTAGTCGGCAAGCAGTGGATGTACTGACTCGATCTCCTGTACACCTGCCAACTTCGCAGTCTTTGAGCACAACAGTGTCGAGCGTTGGGGCCTTTGCAACCGCGTTCCGTATCCATGATACTTCTTTCATTCCGTTAGAGCAATCAAAGCGCGGGCTCACCCCTAAGAATGTTGAACCGTTCATCTATTAAAATAATCACATTTTACTGTACACCAAACGTACCGTAGCCAATGCAATATGTATCCATAACACCGCCTCTCCTATCCTGGCATGCAACAAGAAACGCCAATGCTGCATGCTTGCTCCAGATCCATATGTCGTGCATGCTGCGCTACTCACAGATCCAATGGTGAGAACGAGTCACCCTATTCAAAACGTTATTACAGCGGCGGTTGCCCTTGCTTAAGGACTTAGAATGCCCTCAGCGGATCAGTGTCCGTTGACCCTCCTCTCTGGGCTGGACCCTTCCTTGCTATTCGGCCTCGAGCTTGTATTCATCTCGCCTTGCGTCATCTTCTCCATGAAGCTGATGTAATCGTACTTGGGGGAGATTTCTGTCTTCTTGCAGATCGGGACCTTTGTGCTGTGGCATACTCGAGAGAAGGTCTTCGACTAGCTCGTCAGGGATTAGGGAGTGCCGGAGATCGAGTTCGGTTACGTAGGGCTGGGTTATGTGTCAGCCGGCGAAGATAGGCGCAGTAATGAGGGCGGGAGCGAAAGACGGATGCTGGGCAGGGAGTTGATGGCAAGGAGGAGAGACCGGAGGCGAGGATTGCTCGAACGTACCTTGCCATCTGCAACCTCCCTGAAGCTCTGAAACACCTGTTCCGCTGTGTTCTGGTCTTCAGTAACAGATACCATAAACCGAATGAACTGCTCAAACGTGACGTAGCCCTTCCCAGAACTAATGCTCATAAATTGCTCATGCATCTCTTCCTCATCGTAGACCAGACTCAGACTTGCTAACGCCGCTGAAAATTCGAGCTCGTGCAGCGTGTTCGAGAGATCCTTGTCGAAATGCCTGAACACCGATTCAAATTCTTCTAGCTGAATGGGAGTTAGGTTTGTCATTTCCCTGGCAACAATTTGGTTTTCCAAAAAGCCCATCTTGCCAACAACACTGCCTCGTACTAGATCTAGTTCATACGCTAGCTCATCGTACGTATAGGTGGTAAAGTCGTTTTCTTCGATGTTAGCTTCGTCGCATTTGTGGGAGAGAGTGGCAAGTGTTTCGAGGTATTCGGATAGGGGAGGTAGGTTGCTGTGCAAACGGCGGACATGGGCAAGCTGGTCTGCAAGATCGCCCGAAAGACCTGCGATGGCTAGCGAAAGGGTGGAGAGGGTGAGAGCGAAGTCGTTGGCTTTGTCGGCGAAGGTGCGGCGGAGAGCGTTCTTGATGCTATGAAGAAATCAATGGTTAGAAGACTGGCTGGTAGGAGATGGGGAAGGTTGCGCACTCTCGAATGGTCTCGTTGATGACCTGACTTCTGTCTCTCTCGGCTCTGAGCAAGATGGCCCATTCGTTATCCAATACTTCCAGCTTTAGGTCCTCTGGAGGCTCGTAGGCTCGTAGTCGATATGTGCTCATCTTCGTCTTGATGTTTCCAAGCAGAGCAGCCAGATCTGACTTTTCAGCCACCCACTTCCGCTTTTGACTTCTCTTGTACACTGAGAATTGGCTTGACTGCTCTTTTGCATCCACATACGTGCCTATGAAAGTTGCTATTCTCCATGCCTGCCGCTGAGCCTGGATCTCTTTCAACAGATTCTTCATCCTTTGCTCAAAAGAATTTTGCATGCTCCAAGCCCCGTTCATGTTGGCAACAAACTTCTCGACCCGTCTGCCTGCGTTCTCGACTCGTTCCATCTGGGAGAAAGCATGGAACCAGTATGCGATGTATGTCATGAGGGACCGCTCGTCTGGTTTGGCAACGTCACAGACATCCTCCACGTCCAAAAGATCTGGTATGCCAATTTCTTTCGAGGCAATTTCGAACGCGAGCTTCATGTTTCCTCGGTGATCGCTCTTGTCCAGCTTCTCGTAGTCTATCAGGTCCGGTCGATGAATGTCAAGCAGAGCGCAGCTGTGTCCCAGTCAGCATGCCTCTTGCCCCTATTGTCTCAACGCAACCCACAAAGCGAGCCCATCATTCCAACTAGCCGAGAAATCCCGTACTTCCACCCCTTCATAACAAGCCGTCTTCCTTTGACACCACAGCAGCAAGCCTTCCTTCGCCGTCATGCCCTCTTCACTGATGTCATTAATCGTAAAGCGTAGAATAAGCGTCCATATCAGCCCAAGTATTATCTTTCTGTTTCCATCCACAACGTCTTCTGCCCCAATGTTTGTCATCTGTATGCCTCGTGCTTTAATGAAGTCGAGGGCGACGTTGACATTTTCGAAGCGCTGGACACGCAGTTTGGGTTTGGAGGCATAGCGGCCGAGGGACTCATTGCCGAGGACTTCGAGGAGGTGGATGAGGATGACCTATGGGGAACATGTCAGTCCACCAAATCTCCGCACATAGATAGCAGATCACCGGCTAAGAAGATTGTATTTACCCCGTCTGAGAGGTCTGTGACCAGATTCTTGACAGCTACGTCTCGACCGCTGACTTTAGCATTCAACCTGGGGCCCAAGATTCTTATCAGTCATCACGGTCCCTCAAGATGTACAGGTATCAACAGACCATTTCGTGAATGTCTTCTCCTGGACCGCTACCCACTGTTGCTCCACCCCCATCTCCACGAATTCATTGGCTGCGTGATGGGCACGGCGTAAGGCTAGGAGTTGATGGTTGTAGAAACTGTAGCTGTAACTGATGCACTGTTTTATTCATGGAGGATAGAAGAGATCAAGAGCAAAGAGTAAGTTTCAGCAACGGCGGCTATGAACTTTCTGCATGAAGCTCAACGAATCAACATGCGGAATCTTTCCGCGACAGCAACCGAGCTAGCCAGTTTTGGTCGCATATCATAACTCTCTTCAAGCACTCTCAAGATGTTAATATATCTCTACAACACCACTGTCGCGTGGAGATTGTTTGGCTTATCTGTCTCCATTCGTCGGGTCGACCACTGACAGTGTTGCGCTACAATACAGTTAGAAGTGGTAACGGCTGGCATTGACGAAAGCTCCCTAAAGTACTTCTTTGCCTACGATTTAATTTCACTCTCGCTCAAAGGCAGATTATGCGCACTTGTTGGAGATACAGCTTGACTACACTCATCCTATCAATTTCGGTCCCTTGTACCTTTGGCTTGTCGAAAGCGACGGGCCATGCCCACCGAGAGTAGTCACTGACAGGCTCAAAGAGTAGAGAATTTGTTTGACTTCGCTTTAAATCATTGACAATTTACTAGTTTTAGCGGTTCCAGCCCCTTCTTCACTATCCTACTGTTGGTAAAGGTCTAGAACCAATCCCAAATAAGTCTCAACTTCGTGAGTTTTGAACATCGTGGTCGATAAAAGTGTGAGTGCCATAAGCAATGATTGGCCGGCGATTACGGCGATCGGAGGCTCAACTTGCATATGAGAGCAGTCTTAGGCCAATTGATCGGCTCACGTTGAAGGTTTGAAGCGCTATTCGGCACCTTTTTAGCCATAGATGAGACTAAATGTTGACATTTAAGGGGATTTCTTCCTTCAATCGAAACTCTCTTAAGGTAGCTTACCTTTATTCATCGCCATTTCTAACCTTTCTTAAGTCGAGTATTATTATACAAATCGAACAATTTCCGCTGATGAGATTATTTTCAGCACAAAAATGGGGTAAGCTACCTTTATCTATTATTCTGTTCAACTCTTATTGAGCGATAGAGTGATAATTCTCAAGGGAATTGAGCCGGAACTAGTCTCCAGTGCCATGGTGCAGTACCTGCGAGTGCGCTCAGACAGGATTCTTTCAAGCCCTTACGTAGCAGCTTCAAAAGGTTTGAGCCGAAACTGAAATGGTAGATTACCTTCCGATTGCGCCAAGACGGAGTTCTTCCAACCCACCATATAACAATTTCAAAGCGTTTTGAGCCGATGACAGACGCAGTTCTTCGGGCACCTTGGCTTCGCGGGGTGCCTTTGCGCGCATTGGATTGGTAGATTACCCTCGATAACAGTACTTTAACCTCCAATCTCCCCACTCCCCACCGCAATTCTCTAGGATTCCACCCTTCAGATGTCCTTTTTGGCCGGTAGATAGCCCTTCAAAAGGTATGTGTTAAGGCTGGACTATAGACAGTAGGTGTGCCTTTCTGAGACGCAAAGCTCGCTCACTTTGTTGACCTTTTTGGGAGGAAGTGAGGTTACACAGTGCCTATTTAGGACTACGGCCAGAGATCCGCAAGGCTAAACTTGACCGATGCGCTGCTTACAGCAACAGCAAACAGCAATGATTCAGGTTCCTTACAATAATAGATGTCTTATTTTTGCTACGAACTAGGGTATCTATGACGCCTAAGAAAGAAGCTACTGCTGTTCTTGGTTTGTATTCAGGCGCGACCTCTCCGATCTTTCGAACCTTTCTTTTCTGATTGGGATGGACGTCCCATTTCCTCGCGACTGGATCTTTCCATTGGGTGTTGGCGCCGCCTTGTAGTATTGGTTGGCTGTGAAACTGTTGGAGGTGAGTCTGGAAGCGGTCGTTTCGTTCTTTGTGTACTTGGAGCGCTTCCTCTAAGTGAGGTAGAGACAGGGAGTTCCGTGACGCTTGGATAATCGGACGGATTTCTTCGTCGTCTCGCACCATCTGGGTCTCCCAATGGTTTGGCAGATCGGTCTGGGATCATTTGCTTTGTTCTTGGAGACGCTACGCTTTGGCTTGTCGGTGGATGTTTACCGGGTGTGTCATCAGAATAACTACTCGGGAAGAGCCGCCCGTGTCGCAGGGCCGGTTCGTGTAAGTACGCATCGCTGAGAACTTTGTCGGAGGGCGTCTTGTCTGCTGGTCCAGGTTGCTGAAGAGTGGAGGGACTAGTTGTCGATTGCCTCGCGGTATGAAACGAAAGACTCCGCGATGTAGAGCCTGCGTCGTCCAAGGAGCGGCAATTGGAGTGTGGACTTGGCGGAGCACTCGAATGTAGATGCTTGGTTTCCAATATGTAGTTGTCACTATAGCCAAGAGCTTTACATATGCTCTCATACCTGCCGCTGTAAGCACGGCCGCCTCTACTCGAAGGGGACACCTACGATACTTCATCGCCAAATTCTTTCTTCACAATCCATGGCATCGTATCATGGACTCGATTCGGTATTTCTTGAACATCTTCGCAGTACTCTGATCGCGTGAGATGGGAGATGAAATACTCGCTAGTCGAAGCTGATGATGCGAACGTGCCATACATGGCGACAGAACGATCCCCTTAAAACAAACGATCAGCGGATGGATCGAAGATATTCCCCTCGGTACAGACATATCACCACGAGGTCAATAGCACGGTAGCGCCAACCCGTGAAAAAGAGCCTGTCCATGATCCTATTTACCCATTGGGCACCCTTGAGGTATCTGCCAATATTTCTCTCGCTGGTGTCGCTAATACAGATTTGCAGTGCCTCCACTATTGAATCTTGTGGAATGTTTCGGACCGATAAGACGTTGCAGAGACAGACGAGCAAGAAATGTTGGAAATTGACCCTCTTGCCTGAATGTCGATGAGCGAAGCCGCGTACTAGCCTTAGGAGGTGATCTTTGTTTCCTGTTTCGTCCGTCGCGCTAGTCACTTCACCTTGGACAGCGGATGCGTGTATAACTACCGCAGCAAGCATAGAATCATCCAATTGTGAAAGATTCCCATTCCATACCCATCCCAGTGGTACCTCTCCAAGCATCTTGTCAGCGGAACCTATCCAAACTGCCTGCTTGTGTGGGTCGTTTCGGGGTCTTCCAGTATTGCTACCCAACCTCCTGAGGTTTGGTCTGTTCGAGTTCTGCCCATTGGCATCTTTTTCTAGTGTATCTACCTCGCTAGTTGATGGTTTGAGAGAGGTAGGTCGGAAATTAAGAGAGTGAGCTGTCAAAGGCTGCTGTGTAGAGGCGCTGGCTAATGGAGATGATACAGCCTCTACATTAGTCTGCTTGGATAGCCGGGTCGGCGGACGCCTCATGTTTAGCGGTGGACCTGAAGCAATTTTCCTGGAGCGACTGGAAGATCCAGGTATTGAAGAAATTGGACTTACATCATCGATACTGCTTGGTGACGGTATAGGTCGAAACGTAGACGTGGCTTGCTTGGATGATTGATTCGATCTACCTTGTCGGGTAGTAGGGACCGGCTCTTTAGGTGAGAGAGCTGAGGCGGTGGACGATGCTTTTGGACCAATTTGACGCGATGAGCCAGCTGAGGCAGGCGGCACAGCTGATGGTGTGGCGTCTTCTTTCTCCTCTAACGCCAAAGCTGCCTTACAATGAGGGCATTCATTCATTATCCTCTTGTAGCGGGCTAACTTTTCTTCAAGCTGCTTGGTGTGTAATTCTGCCATTTTCGGGAGGGTTGATAATGAGATCAAGATTAGAACTCTGTACGATGCCAATCACTCAGGGTTTCTTTCGTTTTGTTGAGTGGTCTAAGTCGATGTAAATGATGGTTCTGACCACTCGAACTCACGAAAGCAAAAGAGATTATGCTGAGACATGCAGTGAGGCAAACTGCAAACCAGAACAAATTACCTTGGAGAGGAAAGTCAACTTATTTGTATTCAATGTTGTTTGCTCATCTGCTATCCGGGGTTTGATTGATGACTGGTACGATTGATAGCGGCCATCCACATTGATGACATGGCATGTCACGAGCGACAAACAAGCTGTTGTGCGCTCCTACGTAAGTTCTTAATATGCAGGCCTCCGCGAACTCGCTGTATGCAGCCGATATGGCTTCTTCTCGATGTTACATTCATCGTCATTCATTCAGATCAGAACCGCGATATTTCGTATGACAACAGCGGCCGTGGGACGACGAACGTCGGAGTATTAGAGACGGAATAGTAGAGGCGCAAATCCTCAAAATTGTCATAGCAATCGATCTCTTGCTTTTGATCAATGCCCATTTATATGGATATTGGTCAAAATGAACAGATAAAACAACGATTTTTTTGGGAGAATTTAAAAAACTTGTCACATTTTTCTGACACCTTGTCTAAATTATACGACTTCTTGAATTCCTCCCTAGCAGACAAAAGAACATTTTTAAAGGAAGAGTACATGGAGATTGTCACTGTTGTCTGGCAACTGTAGGATTTATACCATTTCATTAAGGGTTTCGCCCTCTATGCATAGCTTTTGCTACATTCTCTTACCCAAAAAGCTTGCCCATAAATTCTCAGATAATCCGAAGGGTCGCAGTGGGATCGGCGCTAGCCCCAAAGCGCCGTTTAAATTAAAACGAGCCGCAAAATGACCCCACTTTCGCCCCTCTCCGCTCCTCTCCGCGCTCTCTCCATCCCCACAACAGCGACAACTTTTATATTCCCAGAACGCTACAGCTCCTACATCCCAAACGACCCCAAACCAACAGCCCAAACAGCCACAGTACTCAGACTCTTCGACCATGGGCCACAACAGCTGCCCCAAGTGCGGTGCGGGCATCTCAGGCGGAGGCAAGAAGTGCGGCAGCTGCGGAGCTGTACGTTCAACTCTTCTATTCCAATACCAGTACGCCATTGCCACAGAGGCTGATCTATTTGTATACGGTGTAGATCTGCCCTCAGTAGGCACCCAACCTGCAAACAGAAGGGGAGACGGAGGGGAGGACGTTGGATACGCGGCTATGACTTTACGAACACCTACGACGAACATGCACGGCGAGTTTTCATTTGCACGGGTGGAGGGGGATATGGGGTCGGGAAAGCATTCGTTGCCGGCGACATGGAGGTGGTGTTTGGTAGTACGACATCTCAGGCGGCCGCTCGGGTCGAGAGCAAAGCTCACAGAGCCTTATCGTGACTTAAAGTGCGAATTGCATACTGCCTATTCGAATTGCTATCTCTGATGCTAAGAACCTTGTCACACGGATCGCTGCGCTTGGTCATCCATTAGCACTGTTTACCAAGCACTAAGCACGTAAACCGCACTATCGGGCCCTGGTATTGAAACCCGGCGTCTTTTCGCAGCCAGTAGGTCTCGAAAGTCGAAACCGTATATTCCTTTGAATTTCGACGGCTTTAGTGTAAGTTTCGCCCAAATACATGGAATGAACCAAGGCATGGCTGGCTCAAAACATCACCACTAACATCGACCCCCCTTCCCCGCCAGGCACAACGGCTGAAGGGGAAGGGGATGATATATAGAGCCATTCCCCCAGCTCCAGCCAAAGCTCCATCTCCTACCTACGCTCTCAATTGCCCACCTGCGCACTCAACCGACCTCGAGCCCCTCTCCTCACCCCAACCACCCAAACAACGGCCCCCCTCGACCGCCTCCTCACCACCACCACCCGCACCATGGCCAAAACAATGCGCGCAGCCGTCATGCACGCCCCCGGCGGCCCCGAAGTCCTCCAACTCGAGAACATCCCCGTCCCCACCCCGACCGCCGGCCGCGTCCTCATCCGCGTCAAAGCCTGCGGCATGAACCGCTCCGAACTCTTCACGCGCCAGGGCCACTCCCCCGGCGTCCGGTTCCCCCGCGTGCTCGGCATCGAAGCCTGCGGGCTCGTGGAAGAGTGTCCCGGTGGGGAATTCAACAAGGGCCAGATCGTCGCGACGGCGATGGGAGGGATGGGACGGGTGTTCGATGGCGGGTACGCGGAGTACACGTGTCCGCCTGTCGGGAACGTGGTGGCGATCGAGACGGAGTTGGACTGGAAGGTGTTGGGGGCCGTGCCGGAGATGTTGCAGACGGCGTACGGGAGTCTGTTCACGGCGCTGAAGTTGAGGAAGGGGGAGCGGTTGCTGGTGAGAGGGGGCACGAGCAGCGTTGGGCTGGCGGCGGCGGCGATTGCGAAGAATCACGGGGCCACGGTCGCCGGGACGACGAGGAAAGCTGGGAGGGATGGGCTGTTGAAGGGGGAGTGGGTGCGACCATGTCGTTATCGATAATGGCAAGGTGCGGGAGGAGGTGAGGAAGATCTGGCCCGATGGCGCGGACAAGGTGCTCGAGCTCGTCGGCACCTCCAGTCTTGTCGACTCGCTGTCTTGCGTGACTCGAGGCGGCATTTGCTGCATGACGGGCATGGTGTCTGGGCAGTGGTCGATTCCGGACTTTGAGGTGATGGCTGCGGTGCCCACGGCGGTTTGTTTGACGACGTATCAGGGAGATGAGAAGGACTTTGTCAATACGCCCTTGGAGGAGATGGTGCAGCAGATTAAGGAGGGGAGTTTGAAGGTCAGTGTCGGGAAGACGTTCCCGTTAGAGGAGATTGTGGAGGCGCATCGGACGATGGAGGAGAATAGGGCTGGTGGGAAGATCGTTCTGCTCATGTAGGTTGGACTGCGGAATAACGTGCGAGTTGGAGCCATGAATGTGCCACATACGAGTTAATGAAAGACAAGCAAATGCTCTTGATCTTCAAGATCACCTCCTGATTCTACTCTGACTTCCCAACCCACTGTACTCCGCGACCTCGGCCAAACTCGCATCGCTAACCTGCACCCCATAAACATAGCTATCGAACACATTGCTATGTCCCTCCGGATCATGATCCCCCTGTTCGCCTCTATAAATCCCGTACTTAGTGTAGCACTTCCCCGTCCACAGCGTCAACCCATCTTTCTCCAGCACCTTTGTACCATCCAACCACATCTCCAGCTTGCTGTTGCCCCCAGACATCGTGTCCCAGGCCAAAGCAACATTGTGGGTGGTGTTGGTCGAGAAATCGGAGCTGTCGCTCCAGAGGTACGTATTCTTTCCACCGGGAGGATTGTAGCCGATAGAGAAGCGGGTGGGGAGGACTTCACTGAAGGCGAGGAAGAAGGGTGCGTTTTGGTAGGTGGAGGGATCCGTTTCATCGTAGGCGTTCTTCCTGCAAACCAGCAGTCAGCGCACCAGCAAGCCTTGCACCAAAGGTACGACACCAGGGTCGCAGTCTTACCACTGAAAGACGGCCAAATGCTCATGCACGTTCCCCAGCCTGAACTCGTACCCCACATAGTAGTGCTTATTCGCCGCATACGTCCCTGCTCCCTCTACTTCTGCCCGGCGGAACGTAGGGTCTCGATGGTAGTGGAGGGCGGGTTTACCGTCGGGATCGGTGCCAGTTTTGATATAGATGGAAGAGTTGCCAGGGCAGGCAATGTGGTCGCCGTGGAAGCTGCCTTCGAGCTGGCATTCGCCGAGAGCCGAGATCGGGGAGGGGGCGGAGTAGTCGATTAGGAGGGTGGAGGTCGAGAGGGAAAGGAGGACTGAGAGGGGAACTAGAGCGAAGAGGAGCATTGTAAAGATTTTTCGCCAACGATGATCAGGCTGAGAGAGCCTCAATAGCAGGACGGTTGAAACTAAGAGAAAGAGAGGCTTTGGGTCAAGAGATAGGGAGAAAAAGGACTATATGAGAGAACATCTTCGCCGCAGGCAAAGTAGGCTGAGACTCCATTCATGCACTGTCATCCGCATATGAGAGTGTGCCTCTCGTTTTCCAAGGCCGCGCCTTGAGAGGCACTTCTCAAATGCAGGTCGATGCTGAAATGCGCCCGGAGTGGGTGGATGAAACGGATGTTTGGGGGCGACGACGCGCTTGAACGGCGAGGTAACATGCTGCCTTCCTCGTTTGGGCTGTGCCTCTTGTTTCTGCCCTTCATGTTAGTTTCAGATGACAGCTGACAGCTTTGCTTGTGCGCCTTGTCATGATTGTGGGCGGAAGACGAAGGATAACAGATGAGTGAGTGTTCCGTAGCCGGGGAGGGGCCGGTTGCAGGGATGCTTTAAACCTCAGCCCATGCTAAGAAAATACCAGTAGCGGGATTACAGGCCGCGCCGATTTGTATGGGGGTCAAAATAAGGCGCGGCCTCGTGACTCGCTGTACTATCCACCGTCGCTAATCTCCTATCACCGATGAGGCTATTCGTACAATAGAGGCTCTCCGCCTTCCGGGCATACAGGGCGGAAAGGAGCTCGCCGCCACCGGCTGGGGTTTCACGGGAGGGACTTTATCGGTGGTGTTGTCTTGTAGTCTAGTCTAATCTCCACTTCGCCTCGCTGGCGCTCTAGCCGGGCTTGCTTCCATCGCCGGCGAGCTCCTTAGGCCTCTTAAACCCCTTGTTGACGATAGGCCCGGTTATTTGGCGTAACATCGCCACCACTGGGCGAAATCGCTCTTCATCGTCCTCCCAATCCACCGTACCCAGTTCACGGGACTTTTTGTTGCGCGACCTCCGGGGTATGGCGCGTTTGTGCGTTTGATCCCTTTCGCGTCTTGCTGCTTATTGGCTGATAGGGCCTTTCGCTTAACAGAGGGGTGGTGAAGGTGGGAGGGTGTTAAATAGTGGCGACGGCGATCTAGACGCGTTAGAGTACGTGTATTGGGGGCTGGCGAACGACGCGTTCTTAGAGGTTAGTGGGCGGGGCGGAGTTGTGGTGCTTCAAAATTGGTGGCGACAGGGGTATGGGGAGAGTGAACAGGTAGGAGGGCTGCCAAATTACTATGGAGGGCCTTATAATCCGGGGGTGGCCTAATATTCTCGGTAATATACCGTAGGTGGCTATTTAAAAGCTCGTTGGAGAACTCGATGCCAAGACTGGGCTGCTAGGTAGTCTATAAGAACACAATCATTGAAAATGTCTCTAGTCTTGTCGAATGTGTCTCTATGTAAAGTCAAGCACCAATTTGCTCTGTATCAGGCCTTTCCATCACAGAACTGGACGACAGCCCATTTTCCAGACCACGCCCATTTCCTAGCTCCACTGTCACCACCACCACCCTCCATCCCCTTCAGTCTCTCATCGGCGCCGTCGGGCAGCCCGACCACAGTATCTGCTTTGCAGGTACGAAGCGCCAGCGTACGGACATTTGATGCAGGTCCCATTGGCCCAATAGCTGTGGTGAATGCCGTTGTTGGTTCCCACATTGCCTACTCCCAGTCAGCGGGCCCATACGTACAAACAGCAGCAGGACACAAACGTCAGCTGTCAACTTCCGGTAGTTGAGGTCACCCTTGAAAATCACCAGCTCCGAATCTTTCAGATCCTCGTAAAGTCTAGGCTCAGCTTGCGGTAAGTGCCAGTAGCTGTGCGCAGACGTCCAAAAGAGATTTGGCCGAAGAATTAACTGACCTTCAGCGTGGAAACCAGCCCAGTGCTGAAATAAGAAGGAGAGATCCGATGCCTCTTTCTCAGACAGAGGGTCTTGAACCTGATCTGAATGTTCGTTGGGCGTAGAGTAGAAGCCTTGAGGGTTTGCAAGAGCGCTTAGGAGCGCTGCAAAATCCGCTGGAATGACATCGGACACGAACCATGGGATCGTCTTGGGATGAAGAGTGATCTGTGTAGCTAGGCCAGCGGCAAGAAGATAGCCAGCAAGAATGAGATCAACGAAAAGTTCGAAGCCGGCGTTGTCAAGTACGATGTCCACCCGCCTGACTTTCTTGTCTGTCTTCTGCGCTTCCTTAAGAACCGTGTACGCAGCTGGGAGGTCATTAACCAGTATATTATTTTCGGCTTTCTTCCTCGCATCGGCACCCTGCAGCTTTTGTATATCTTCGTAGCTCAAAGACGTTAAGAGGGAAAGGTCCGTGGCGTTGCCCCACAAGCAGATCTCGCACATCTCCGTGAACAGTATCCGCTCCGCTTCGACCAGCTCTTCAGGGACCTTCAAAGAATTTACATCCCTCTCCAACTGCGAGACTAAATCTTTGTATTTGGCGGCAAGTTCAAGGACTGCTGGTCGCGACGAGCGAAAAGTGGACATTTTCTGGCGAGAAAAGACATCGTAGGTCTTCCAGTGGTCTGAGAGGGAGAAAGAGGTGTGCACACGTCTAGCTTTTGCCAATCAGCTTCGGAGTCTGGGGTAGGTTCCGCTCGTTATACCGGTAGAGATAGCACTCTGCAAAGAGCCATGGCACGCTGAACCAATTTGGACCTCCTAACGACTCTAGCTCCTTATTGTAATTTGATATGTCCGGCTTTCCATCATCGGCAAGTGGTCTGCAATAGTCAGCTAAGTACAGGCAGCTGTCGTGTAACGGTTTTCGTACGTCAATTGCCGGTCATGTTGTACCTCGTACTTTAGCTTCGCCAGCGCCTCCAGGATTGTCTTGCCTTCCTTTCGCTTTGGTACATCATCACTGGCTACAATGGCACGGTGGATGTCATCGATTGCTCCTGTCTTCCGCGGTCAGCTTGTCCCAACGCTCACTGTAGCCATACTCACCACGATGACGGGCCAACGGTCTCGGGCAGAGATAAAGGCAAAGGATGTCCTGTCCGAGGTTGCGTATGGAGCTACAGGAATTTCAACCTTGGATTCCATGATGGCGGTAGCCTCTTATCGTAGAACTCAGCCAGCGGCTAACTGCTAAAGTGCTGTTCTAGCTTGAAAACTGCTGAGAGTTTTATTTTTATTTTTCTGTATTATATATGAATGACACGATTGGAACGTCTGTTCCAAACGTGGTTAGATTATCCAGGTCTTGGCAAGATGAAGTTTTATTTCCTCTAAACGCGAGATGCAGACTTTTTCCATCTACAACTGCGCTTTACGAGCATCGACATCCAAATTGATCTCGCATAATAAACCTTTCGCCTCCGTATAGAAGCCAAAGATGATTCGGAGATCTAGCTTATTTGTTCCTGTGCCAGCTCTTTGAACCATGAAAAACTACAATTTCACCGTCTTAAGTCCTATATCATGAAGTCTTTTCTCTCTCCTCGAGCCTCTAGAGTGAAAGACTCTGCTGGTAGTATTTCTAACAATGAAGGACTTCCCAAAGCTCGCTACGCACGATGGTGTCAAGACTATCAATGAAAATCTCATCTTAATGCTTCTAGATACCTATTGAACTTTTTACAGATGCGTATGGCCAGTGACCGCCCCACGCTTGCTGTGATGTGACGCTAATCATTTCTCTTGTGTATAAGTTCATCTGGCGTCTTCTTTGATCAAGTCTGCTGCGCGTTCTGCGACGGCGTATACGCTCGATTGGATATTTCCCCCTGGGATTGTAGGCATGATGCTCGCGTCTACAACTCTCAAATTTGCAGTACCGTGTACTACCAGACGCTCATTGACAACCCCTCCTTTCTCCCTCGGCTTCATGGCACAGGTACAAGCTGAATGGTTGTTAGAGATGGCCGACTGTCTAACGTAGTCCCTTGCACCATTCATATCCCTGATGAAGGCCGTCGGATGGTTTCGCCTTCCATCAGGCTTGAGCAACGAAGCAAGTGGCTCAGATTGGGCTAGCCGCTCCAGAAATCTAAGATGAGTTGCGAAAATCTCAACATCAAGCGCATGAGATAGGTACTTAGGGTCAATGTGGGGCTCCTGAGACGCGTGGGCGGACGTGATGTGGACGCTTCCGCGAGAAAGGGGATGTAGCAAGGCAACACCAAGACTGACGTAGTTTCCCGGGGCGAGGTCCTGGGTGAAATTTTTCGCGGAAGGGCTGTTGTGAAGGTTGACCTGCGCAGGGAACATGAACATGGAAGCAGATGCCTTCTTGTCGCTCTCAAGTATTGAGCGCACAAACTCAAAATGAATGGCATCTTTAGGGTCTTGTGACTTGCAGTCAAGCAGCAAGCGCTCAAGGTCGGCCGTTTTGTCGCCATCCAAAGAGTTTAGAAGTGGCATGAATGCGTATGAACCTATCCCACCGGCACACAAAGGCCCGGCCTTTGCAGTGGTGTACATCTGCATGGCCATTTGCGTTATCTCTGGCTCTTGACGCATTAGACCGTCCCCAGTGAAAATGCCATCCATCACTTCATAGCTGATACCTGTCATAAGGTGATCCTGGAGGTTCTCTCCAACATTAGGGTTGTCAATAACAACGTGGATACCGTGAGTTTCTAGCAGTTCTCTGTCCCCTATGCCCGAGAGCTCGAGGAGCTTCGGTGTTTGAAAAGCACCAGCAGCGAGGATCACTTCTTTGCTAGCATTCACGATGTGTTCTAGGTCATTTACGCTCACATGGACACCTGTCGCTGTGACCGGGCCATTTCCCGTGTCCAGAATGATGTTCTTCACCGAGACTCCAGTCAGTACGGTGAGATTTGGCCGGTGGGAGGCGGAAGCATAGTAAGTGTTGGCTGCGTAGCTTCGGGTCTTGGACTCTGGGTCAACGGTTATGGGACTACTGTAGCCACCCATAGCCTCACCAGCAAAGGGATCACGTTTAAGGCCATGCTGTAGTCCTTTGAAGGTCTGCACCCAGGCTTTCGATAACGGATCCTGAATTGCGCCTTGAAACGAAGCTTGAATGGGACCTGAAAGTCCACGAACGTCCTCGTCGATCCAGTCAATTCCAAGGTGCTCAGAGACCTCTGAGTCCGGGGCAGTGAGAGTGTAACACTTTCGATAGTAAGGCATCATCACCTGCCAGTTCCAGCCTGGATTCCCGAGGTGCTCCCATGCTTCAAGGTCAGTGCTGGATGGAGCGATAAAGGCTTCAGCGTTGATTGCGCTTGATCCTCCGAGTACTCGACCCTGGGGATGGCGAAGGACTCTGCCACCCAAATGTTCCTTAGTGCCCAGATGCGAGTCAGCTACTTGGGCCTAATGTGAGGGAGGGAACAGCGTTACCTGCGCTGACGTTTGGAAAGCCCAGTCGACCTCAGAGCCCAAGACCGCAGACCACCCCGCTGGTATATTGATCCTTGGGTCTGTGAGGTGGTTATTGCCTGCTTCCAAGACAATTACCTTGACGTGATCATTCTCAGACAAACGAGATGCCACGACCAAACCTGCTGTACCTCCGCCGATGACCACATAATCGTACTCTGCTTGAAGCAAGGAGATGGACGTGGAGGCATCCATGATGATGATACTTGATACTTGCCAGTATAGTAAAACACAGATTGCGGTGTGTAGGTAATCCTGAATAATCGATTACTGAAAGGCTAGGGCTAGGCTAAGTATCCGTGGTAAAATAAGCAGTAAGGTAAGCCCTAAGGTAAGCACAGCCGGATGAGCCTTGAGGAATATCTCCCGCTTGCTTGGAGACAACACGAATGTATAACTATCCCAATAATGCTGCAGAAATCGGGCAAATTACGGTATACGTGGGGACTTCCAACAGCAGCTGGTCCTCGGCCTTGCCGTAAGCAATCGGTGCCTTTCATATGCACGTGTTCTCTGGTGCATCATGTGGAAAAGTTGGCAAGGTTCGCCCTGGTTCGAAATGACGAACAATATCGTAGGAAACGTCGATGGATTCGAGCTGAGATCAGAAAAGTGATCAGCGCTTCCAAGCGCACCACTTATGCTTACTTCTTCTTCACCTCCCTCCTCCCTGTAGAACACAGCAGGCGCCCAGTAGTGGTAGCCTAGTAGGGCTGCGGCTGAATTACTGCTTACAAGTGTGGCATTGAGATCATGTGTTTATGACTTTCCTACCCCATACAGAATTTTCGTCATCTGACTCACGAATAGTGCACCGGTAGGGGTGGACCGGCAGGGTAAACGGATTACTATGTTATCGCCTCGACGTTACACAACGGGTGGTAGATTTGATGGGATGGTGTGACGTGGCGTTCACACCGCACCGTTGACTGTGCAGACTTTTTGTCCACCCACGAATGTGGATACAGGTGCAGCTGGTGCCCTATCAAGACGTAAATCCCGCTAAGATGAGTGTGCATTTGGGAAGCTAATCCCTGTGTACCACTGTCATGAACTGCCGGAGTCTAGGCCTTCCCATCAATGAACCGCAGCCTTTACATACCCTAATGTATTAGACAACGGAAAGGATTTGAACCTTCGGCATTCCTAGCGCATAGCCTCAATGATTGGTTTGGTCATCCAGCGCCATGGATAGAGCTGTCTCCAGCTCCTTTGTGCCTCGAACCTTAAACGAATGCCAATTCATATAGAACTTTCTACTATGGGGTTCTTTGCGAGAGCGGTACTCGCTCTCGGGACCCCTTTCCACTTTCTGCAGAACGCTTGCTCAAGCACCTATGGTTGGTGATCTAAACTCATCTACTACTACAAGTATCAACCTTACAGAAGTCGACAATGCTGTCTCTATCTCGTTCAGCATCGGCGCTGCTGAGCTTCAAGATAAGTCTGGCTGTACTAGCTGGCTTGACTTCGCATCTTACCATTTTCATACGCGGAGAATGGCACACCACGGCGCCTACACTCTTGGTGTTCTATTTGATGTTGTGTTCATGCTACTTGGCTCTGGAAACAATCATCTCATCCCAGTATGATCTGCAATCACTTTGGACCTACCTTTTCATTCTCGCTGCTCATTTCGGCTCCATTCTCGCAAGCATGACATTATACCGGACCATGTTGCACCGATTGAATGGCTTTCCTGGTCCATTTCTTGCAAAAGTTACAAAATTATGGCATGCTGCTCATCTGTTCGATTCAAAAAACCACCTCCTTTTGGGTAGACTTCATCAACAGTACGGAAATTTTGTTCGGACCGGTGAGAGTTACACATTGCAAATGGGAAACCCGTAATCGTGCTTACTCAACTGTGTACAGGACCATCGGAGGTGACTGTCTTCGAGCCTGAGGTACTAGGAGCAGTTGATGGTCCAGGAAGTCACTGCACAAAGGCGGTTTGGTACGATGCTCTTCAGCCGGAGAGCCTCGTAAACACTACGCGCGACAACGGTATTCACACCCAGCGTCGTCGTATGTGGAATAATGCGTTTACTCCCCAAGGTGGGTCACTAAGCCCTCAGACATGTAGCTTCGTCTGACGAACAGAAAGCTCTTTCGGGATACGAAGACCAGATCGTCTTTTATGCGAGAAGATTCGAAAAGGAAGTCGCAAGATCAGTTGGAAACCCTGTCGATGCGTCGTCCTTGATATACAAATTCACTTTCGATCTGATGGGCGAAGTCGCTTTCTCAAGGAACGCCGGTCAGGACCGTCTTCGCGATCAGCAATGGCACGCTGCCATGACAGCACTACAGAAAGGCATGGCTCTGTTGGGTCCATTGAGTCCTGTCCCGTGGTTGCTTCATATCGGTCTCAGTCTGCCGTTCATCCCGATTGTTCGGGATTGGAACAGCATGGTCGCCTTCTGCAAAAGCTGCATAGATGATCGTATCAAGGTAGATAACCTGTCCAGTGGCACGATCTGTGACCCTCGTATGGCATTAGAGATGACTAAGTGTGTGCCGGTCGACTAGCTCGAGGAAACCGATCACGATGTATGCCGCTCGTTATTGATGGTTTCCGCCTCTAACCAAAAATACAGATATCGTCATGGTTGATCGATTCATCCCAGGCAAAGGCCCTTTCCGAGGAGGAAAGAATGAAATGGCTGTATGGCGACGCCATCACAATGGTGATTGCAGGCAGGTGAGACTCCGCAGTCCTAAGCTAGCCACACACAACCTCAAGCCCGCTTTGGCTAAATGAGACCAAGTGACACCGTCGCACCATCTCTCGTGTTCCTTTTCTACCACATGGCGTTGCATCCAGGCCCTACCGAAGCAATACGCAAGGACTTGCAGACTTTGGACTCTCTGCACGACGTCAACGCGCTCCTGTCGCTACCTTCCATGACCGGCTTCATCCACGAGACCCTCCGCCTCTACCCTACCACGCCGACCGGCGGCTACAGGGTCACGCCGCCTGAAGGTCTTCACGTCGCCGGGCGATACATTCCCGGCGGTACGACGGTCGTGGCGCCCGCTTACAATATCGGCAGACGTGAGGGTCCCGCATCCGTTCTGCGGTATCCCCTGTCTTGAGGCTATCGTATGAGAGGGCTAATTGTGTGGTTTTTCTCGCAGTGGCAAGTTGCTTTCAGCGACCGGACGAGTTCATCCCTGAACGCTGGTCTAGTCGGCCTGATCTGGTGCTCAATAAACGGGCTTTTGCTCCTTTCAAACAAGGTATGAAGATAAATCCATAGGCCCTGGTATTCGGATGATTAGTACTACTGGGCAATCCATGGGTTTCGCTGACGGGTCACGTCTGCGCAGGACGCTATAGTTGTATAGGCAAGAAATTAGCGTTGGCCGAGTTGAGTATCGTGGTTGCGTTAATCGTGTCGAAGTATCACATCCGATTCCCTCCAGGCGAGGACGGATCGTGGGTGGTTAGGGATATGAGGGACTGTTTCACGGCGAAGCCGGGGCAGCTGAACCTCGTGTTTGACGCGGTGGATGACCGGTGCTAGTGGGAGTGTGTGTCGTAACTCCAACCGGTGTTTTTCACACATCTTGCCCACCGCGAATGAAATCCGCCAGCTCGGGCGATTGCTCCATTTGTATGCTAAGTATTGTACAACATGCGAAACCCTACAGGACATTTCCAAGCCGTCCTACTAGACAGAGTGTCCAACCTTGTCCGCCGAACTTGACTGGACCTGCCATCCTTTCATCACCATGATGTCGTCACTTCCATGAGTCGCCCTACCGCTCCGTGCGTCTGGGTACCCCGACGCCAAGTCCGATCGTCCATGCGCAACGGCATCGGCATGGTTCTGCCCACCACCGAAGGACACACTCGTTAGCGGGTAGACATCCTCTTCCAACCGGCGGAAATTCTTGGCTTCCGAATCATTCGCACGCAGGCCTTGTCGTGCGAACGGCGGGCCCGTGCGCGTGCCCTGAGCCGTGTTGCTGCTCCCGGTCCAGGTCTTCCATCTGCAGACGGCCGGGTGGAAGATGTGTGACATGACGGGTGGAAGAACGGGGAGGCATGCGTTGATGATGCCGAGGCAGGGTTCGAGCTCGCTCCAGATGGCGTCGTCGATTCCGCTGTAGGAAAGGTCGTTCAGATCTAGGTTGACGACGGAGACGATGCGTAGGATTGTGATGATACATATCCTGTTTGGGGCATCGTTAGAATATGACCCCAGGGCTTGCTTACAAGATCACACGGAGACGAAAGAGAAACTCACACCCCGCCGATACCGAAGATGGCTGTGAGGCCCATTTTCCTCGATGTTGCCATCTGGAGTCCCCACAGCATGGGCATTGGGAGTGCAATCACGATGAGATCGAGAATGAGATTGATGACGGACACGCTCAGGGACGTCGCGGAAGTATTCAAGCAGGTGCCGCCTTGGATGCTTTTGTCCCAGTAAAAGGCAAGTGGGGAGCACAAGAAGAACATTCGGACAATCGTGCTTGTCCAATAAGCCACCACTAAGAGCATCACCGCATACACCACTATCCGGAATTTCCTGATGGGGAATATTTGTTTGTAAAGGTGCAAGATCGATAACTTGACGCAAGTGTTGGCGGAGACCCACGAGGGTTCCGCGGCTAAATATGACTAGGTAGGCATCTCTGTCAGTAGCTGGAATGCTAGAGACGCTTCAGGTTCGTACCTTGGCAAGAGAAACTACCTCGCTCGCCGTCAATTCCGTCATATGGTATCCTACTTTGCCTTTTGTCACAGCTGTACACACTAATGAGACTTGATCATTTTTCTGCCTTGGGTAGATGCTTACCTAAGAGCAAAGTCACGGTTTCTGTGATTGCAAAGAACTGCAAAAACATCAGCTTTCGGCAAATCCTTTGCGGAAGATCTCGTACCAAAGCGGCTATAATGAGGTAATCGTTCAAAATCAGGTGTACTCGTTTGATCCTCCTTGCCCACAAGCGGAGAATCACTGCCAAAGCGGCCGGGATGAGGAAAATGATACATATGACAAGAATTGCAACTCCACCTGGTCTCAGCTTGTCCGTAGCTGTATCTGATGCACGCGCGTCCATGTTGGATGCTCTCTAATGATATTAAATATGATTCATGGGATAGAGACAAAAGGATCAAAAGACGTAAAAGTACAGAGATGATTCTGAATTCGAGACAACGCGTGACTCTTCATACATCTGTCTACTGATCCCTACCTGAAGTAGCGTAATTGAGGCAAGGTTTCAGGCTGCGCCCAACATTGCATAGTACTTATCAGTTTCTGGATGAGATATGAGGAGGTGCTGGCGGCACAGTGTCTGCAGTTTCAAGATCGAAGTAATTCCCTGAACAGAATGGAACCTCGGCTACGAGGAAGTGAGAGTGCTCCACGGGGATCTACATGACAGCATCCGAGCTGACCGTACGCAGGATTTTAGTTGGTTCCGAGTAAGCTGAGTTAATGTGGGAACGCGAAACACTTTGTCAGCATAACGGCTCTAATGCCAGTCACTTCCGCTATGGTGGGCATCCGACAGGATTCTGAACTTTCATATTATTAGTCTTCACAGAAAATTGGGATAATGGATCTTGATTCGCTTCACACTAACACTGGCACTGCCCCGATTTGTTTCGGGAGCAGCCTATCGCAGGAGAGGATTCCGAGTGAACTATCCTTTACCGAGTTGACCTTGTTCGAAGTCAACATGTCCCAGGAAAGACTGATGACTGATCTTCTTCGCTGTTTCGATCTTGTCCAAAAGATTCTCCACCGCTATCTCGTCTGCGAGGGGAGCTGCCACATTGGAAGTAAGGAGTGAGGGGTGGAGTTGATGCGCGTGCGGTTGAGGTCTTCTGGTAGCCCAAGATCATCCAGACAGGTACTTGTGAGACATACACTCGCCCAAAGTCGGAGCTGACGCAGTAACAAAAGACATGAGGCTCGCAAATGCCTGTCGTTCAGCTTGGTACCATGGTAAAACCTTGTGGCTTTTCACGGCCAGCGATATCAAGTCAATCGTGATTCCCACCATGGCTTTTGGCTTATTCAGTACGCTGTCCGGCCCAGTCCTTGGATTCGAGGACGTAAATCCTCTGTATCTTGTTGGGAGATCCATGATCCTCTTCTGGTGGGCGTGGATGAATCTGCTGCTCCTTTGTATCAACAACCAAAGAAAAGCCGAGGACATCCAAGAAGACCGTGTTAACAAAGCCTGGCGGCCTCTTCCCTCGGATCGTCTCACAATTTCGCAAGCTGAAAAGCTTCTGTGGGGCGCTGTACCGGTGATTGGCCTCATTACTCTCTGCACAGGAGGGTTTCCTTCAGTACGTGTTGCTGACCGCTTTGAACTTCTGGTACAATGATGGAGGCGGAGCTCATAACCCTATCTTTCGCAACCTTATCAACGCATGCGGGTTCGTTCTCTACGCCTCGGCAGCAATAGACATAGTCGCAACAGCACCGCTTTCAACATATACGCTCACAATCTTCCAATGGCTAGCTGTTATCGGTGGAGTCGTGCTTACAACGATCCAGATACAAGATCTGCGCGACCAAGCAGGAGATAGTCTGCGAGGACGACCGACGCTGCCGATCAGCATAGGAGACGGGAATGCCAGGTGGACAGTCATCGTCCCAATCCTCTTCTGGTCGACGTTTCCTCCATTTTTCTGGCGGCTGGATGTTGGTGGGTACGGTCTGACTGTGCTCATCGGGGCATTCACCATTGGTCGATTATGCTTCTTGAGGACGTCTGAAGGAGACAGAACCACGTTCAAGATTTGGAGCTTGTGGCTTGTCTCTATATACTCGCTGCCGTTAATAAAAATGTATTATACAAGGAGAGAGCATCTATGAGGCGATGAGGGGCAGTTCACGCATATGCTGTGGGTGTAAGTTTGTGGTATCCACTTCTGAGTACCTTGGAGGATTTCGCTGCTGGCAGACGAGGATGTCCTTTTCAGGTAGTTTAAGACAGCCGATTCTGTCAAATTGTAATACCTGGAAATCCCCTGAGGCCACCTAAGCGCAGTGTGCTGCACACAGCCTTGATCTCTAGGTCACGGCGCTTCAAGCTCAATTATTAATTATAAGTTAGGCGGCATCCTTACAGCAAGCTTTGATAGAGAAAATGGATAAGGCTGAGGTGAGTGTGGGCCTTTCCCGCGTGAGCGGCGAGGTACTCATATCTATCCAATCAACGTTTTTTAGATCAGCAGACTTTCGTTAGCAGTGTTGGGAAAAAGGCTTTATTCTTCCATGTTTCTCAATAAGATTTCGAAATTGAAGGATTAGAAAATTATACGGCTCTTGTTCGTTACGTGATCGAGGCTCTGTGGATGGTTTGTCCATTGTTCCTTGTCATGTCTAAGAGGGCCAGTCTCTTTTGAAAATGAGAGCCTTTGAGTATAAGGAAGGTGCTAGGAAAAAGTGTTGAGCATAGGAAGGAGTCTTTGTACAGAGCATAGATGTGTCACGTGATAGCGTGTTCCTGTGGCGCAGCCGGCTTCCCAGCCACGTCGGAAGACAAATCGAACAACTAGCAACCCTTTCTCCCTGAAGAACAACACCTTCAACACTGAAAAGATGGGCTTACTTATGTCCGGTATCAACATCCATTGCTCAATCAAAAGCAAAGGAGTCCAATCAAATCAAAATTCCGTCGCTAACCTCTAGGCTCCAACATGCCATTCATCCCACACACACCGGAATCCCTCATTCAACGATCCGACAGCAAGGACCCGGGGACAACATGCAAAGGCATCACCTCTGCTGGTAGACCCTGCAGACGTCCCCTTGGGGGCTCTCCTCAGTCGTCGCCAACGGGTCATCGAAAGTCAAAGAGTGGAGTAATAGCTGTGCTGCAGCCGAGCGATGAGGACCACGAAGGCGCTGCAGCATATTTCTGTTTTCAACATAAAGACCAAGCAGAGACCCTCGCAGGCGGCAACCAAGACGGCAGGAAAGCAAACATAGTGCCGGTGCATCAACGCACGAGCATCGATACCTTGGTGGACCGGACAGGAGTGCTGGACATTGCAGACGATGAAACACCATCAAAAAGCCGACGTCAGAGAGGCCATGCTAGACCTGCGAGGAAAGATACACTGCCGAAGAAGTGGCAAGATGTAGACGGCCCTTTGATTGCAATTTCGGGAGAGAAGCAGCAACCCGTCGGGAGAGGCACACAAAGGCACCGAGCAAGAGGACAGTCAACCTTCTCGTTTTCTATGTTCTGCTGCGTCAGCTCTGCAGACCGCGATTACACGCCTCCTCCGCGCGTCCAACGTAACTCTGAGAAGCCTGAGTATGCTCATGCAAGCGCCAAAGTGCCTTCGTCTATGCAGCAGGTCGAAAGACCACCGTACTCCAGACCCATAAACTCGCGTTTACCCGTTGGGCAGGCATCGGGTAGTCCAAGCTCGTCACGTGTAGCCCGAGGGAGAATTCCTACCGTGAATACCAGACCGCCTGCTCAACAGCATCGCTCGTCTCACACCCAAGATCTTCTTTCACTGATACCCACAACGCTATCGCCGCAAACGACGTCTCTTCTACTCGCTGAGCTAGCGAAGCCAGTGTCACCACATGATGAAGAAGGCTATATCTACATGTTCTGGCTTACCGATAATGCCCTCAGCGCCTCTGACTCGCAAGCTGCTTCCTCACTACTCTCTGAGGGCGCAGCAAGCACTCCCAATGGACGTCGCCACAGTGATGTCCTGGGCTCAAAGCTCAAACAACAGAAACGCGTCTTCCAAGCCAAAGACAATGCTCTTGAAAATCGGTCGAGCTTCCAACGTCCAACGTCGTATGAACGAATGGAATCGGCAATGCGGTTACAACCTCTCCCTCATCCGCTTTTACCCTTACCTTCCCAGCTCCCCGTTACCCTCTAGGCCAAACTACTCTTCTCCGCCTGCATCGCCCTCTACACCTCACAAGGTACCACATGCCCACAGGGTCGAGAGACTGATTCATCTAGAACTTGCGGAGCGGAGGGTGAAGCGTGATTGCGAGAGCTGTGGTAAGGAGCACAGAGAATGGTTTGAGGTCGAGAGCAGTAGGGATGGGTTGAGGGGGCTGGATGAGATTATCAGGCGGTGGACTGAGTGGGGAAGGAGGGCAGGTGGGTGACTGGGTTAGTTGTCTGGTGATAGTGATGATTTGGATAGCCATGACGGACAGGTTCACGACTTATGGGATCGACTATTGATGATCAATGGGCAACGGACGTACTGTCACAACGACATTTAAGACACATGAAGAGATGAACATCTATTTGCGAGGTTATTGGGCGTGTTTTTAAGTCCTTGTTGACAATGCTGGATCGATGCACGATTGCTATAGTGCTTCATGAATCCGTGCTTGCAAAAGCAGCCAATAATACGTGTTGGTATCTTCCTTCAATGCAGAACTCCACGCTTAGCCATGCGAACAACACGATCCATGCACATTACAAATTTGCTCCAGCGCTTCTGAATAAGTCCCCCAAAACGCCCTGATCTTGATTCGAGCCTGGCTGCTGTACGGTTGGCATATTATTTGAACCTTGTCCCCTGGACAAGTTGAGCAGCGCCATCAAATCCGGACCATTTGGAGCCCCAACGTTGGACTGCTGTTGCGCGTAACCTTTCGACTGCCCGTCAACAGCCCTGGTCCCCCACTCATTCCCAGCTCTCTCCGCACACTCGACAATGCACCTCCCACAAGCCTCCCTCACCCCCTTCGTACTGCCCTGTTCCTCCTCAAAGATCCAGAGTCCATACACCTTCTGCTCGTCTGCATTCCCATGGCCCAGGTTATCCGCGCTATTCCCTTGCAAAATAATGTATTCGTCCGTCACATCGACCTCCTCTGCACTTTTCAGGTGTAGTACGAAGTTATCCAAACCGCGGCGGTTGAGCACTACGACCGCATGCCCTTCGTCCCGTAGCTTTACAACGAATAGTGTGCCCTCGATGCCACTTTTCTCCCATGCTTGAGTAGTAGTGCTGAAGATGTAAACGACGGAGTAGGGTGCTAGGAAATCTATGGAGACGGTGGAGGGCAGGTGCCGCTGGAGGACGGAGAGGTTGAGGACGTCGTTTGTGATGGTGGGATTTGCCGGGGCGGTGTATTCGAGTTCGTTGTCCGAGGGTTGTGGGTGGTGGGACGCGTATATTGTTGTAGCCATAATGGAGGAATGCGCGTAGGCGAGGTGTGAGGACGGTGCTTCGTATGTGGCAAGCGGAAGATGTGCAAGATGTTTGCGGGCGTGGGGGCCATGCGTGGGGTTGCAGTGCGCCTGGAAGTAGCCAGGACAAGCCCCAGGGGTCCCCAAAGCCGCGCCGTGAAACTGTCCCTGCGCCGGGCTACCTCGGTAGTAGCGCGGCGGCGAAATAGCAGCGATGATCTTGTCTAGAACTTTTGAAGCCCACTCTTCCATGGCGGCACAGTCTCCCCGCCGTCATATATATCCGTTGAGAGCGAGGACGAATGCAATGTAGCTAATATTACTCTCTTCATCCTCTGACTCTGCAGGACTCGGTTGATTACATTGGAGTCCATTCCAAGGTGCTATAGAAGAAGCTCAAGAAGTTACACAAGAATATCTGGATGCGACTGCGGCACCGTCTTTTACGATGGCAACCAGCAGCATACAGACATCGCCCGCTTCTAAGATGAACTCTACTCCCGGAGCCTTCCCCTCAACCCCAGCGTCCGCAGAAGCCCCATCGCCCTCCGTCGTATCCTCCCAGCTCAGCCTATCACAAGCCGTTCACCAACGAAGGGCAGAATATACAAGGTCACGAAGAATCAAGGTCAAGGTCGGCACTTGGAATGTTGCTTCTCTCAGTGGGACAGAGAAAGACGTTGGAGGGTGGTTCGTAGATGGTAAAGGTGTCTCGGAATCTCTGTCAGGCTTGGACATAAAGGACGATGGCGAACCACGAAGCAATGGTCACAATGGATCTCCAGACATCGAGAGCGTTGCGTCACAGGAGGAGAGACGGTCGAAAAAGAGATCCACTATACCAAAAAACGATCCAGGCTTCGTACCAGGAGGTGACGAAATTGGTCTATACGTCTTAGGTCTACAGGAAATCGTCGACATAAGCTCAGTGGCCGAAGCATTACGCCCCTACAGTGATCCTCATCCTGGCAGAAAATGGAAGCAGGCTGTTGCAGAATCGTTGCCGCATGGTTATCAGCGAGTAGCGGAACAGCAATTGATTGGCTTGTTTCTCGTCATCTATGCCTCCTCTGAGATTGCACCAACAATATCCTCTGTCAGTACCACGAGCGTTGGAACTGGTCTTGGGGGTTACATGGGCAATAAGGGCGCTGTGACAGCTCGTATTGTGCTTGGCGAGACTACGCGCATGGTCTTTGTCAACTGCCATTTGACCGCCGGTGTCGAGAAGGGCAACCTGGAACGAAGAAATTGGGACGCGTCTCAGATTCTTCAGCGGACCAAATTTGATCCTGTCTATGACGGTGGAGGTGTCATGGAGGAATTTGGTGAAGGCATCGGAGACGAGGACTTCGCTTTTTGGTTCGGCGATCTCAATTACAGACTCGAGAGCATGCCTGGAGAAGACGTTCGAAGACTGCTTATGCTCCATACAAGAAATGAGTATGGAGCACATGGAGCACAGCAGCCGTCATCCAAGAAAATTGAGAATGAGCTTGCAAAGCCGGAATCGCTGTCGTTCTCGCGCAACCAGGAAGCTGCTAATCGTCCGTCTGAAAATGATACCTCATCTACTCACATTTCTATTGAGAATGCTTCCGATCCATCAGTAGCTTCATCCATTACTGTATTGCCGAGCCAGGAGTCACTCGATCCTGCCTCTGACCCAGCATCTCTCCAGACTACACTCTCTTCACTTCTCGCGCACGATCAGCTACACTCGCAGATGCGCTCACGGAAAGCTTTCCACGATGGGTGGCGGGAAGGGATCATTGACTTTTTACCTACATACAAATATGATGTCGGAAGCGTTGGCATGTTCGACTCGAGCGAAAAGCAACGAGGCCCGAGCTGGTGTGATCGAATTCTATACCGCACCCGCAAAGACAGGCTGGAATATGACCAAAAGGTCCGAGACGAGGAGATGGCCAGGAAAAAGGACAACGAGATGAAGTTGCAAGGGGTTGTGGACGCAGTGACCGATGAATCCGTTCTGTTTGACTATGATCCAGAGACGGATGGCGCAGACAATGAAAATAACGCAGTCAGCGAGCAATCTCCAGATCCCGAATTCATGACTACGAAAGCTGGTTTTGAGGACAAATTGAGTCTCGATTACTATAAGTCTCATCAACGAGTCCTCTCATCAGACCACAAGCCATTGGATGCTGTCTTCACTTTAGACTACGATGCCGTCGATCTCGAAATGAAGGCTAGGATACACCAAGAAGTCGCCCGTGAGCTAGACAGGGCAGAGAATGAAGGACGGCCTGTCGTCACAATTGTGGTCGACCATCAGAAGGACACTGACAGCACCCATACCGATTCCTCTTCACCAAAATTCGAGGGCGTCGACTTTGGGCACGTTAAATACGATCAGGTCAAGACCAGAAGTGTCACTATAGCAAATACCGGTCGTGTCCCTGCAACTGTTGGTTTCGTGGATCGCTCCATCGAGTCGGGTCGACCCGGTGGTGTTGCCCCTCCATGGCTAAAGATTAATTTCGACCGCCCTCCTGACAGTAAGAATTCCAACCCGGGTGCATTACAAGAGCACACCCTCCAGCCTGGTGATGCCGTCAACGTCGAATTAACCCTCCATGTGGACGACCTAGACCTTGTCCGCCGTCTGGGCGATAAAGTAGAAACGCTCGAAGACGTCCTCGTCCTCCGAATTCATAACGGCCGCGACTACTTCCTCCCCTTACGTGGCGATTGGCTGCAATCCGCCTTCGGACGCTCGATCGAGAAGTTGGTGCGAATACCAGAAGGAGGCGTGAGGAGGTGGCAGCACCAAAGACCAGATGGCAGTAGCCACGGAGATGAAGGGGTAAAGTGGTCGGCTCCGCGCGAAGTGTTCCGGCTGACGGAAGCAATAGAAGACCTCGTTGAGAGAGCGCTTGCGCAGTGGGGGATGACGGGAGATGCCGACAACGCGCCGTGGGACAAAGACGTGGGTTGGCCATTCAGAGGGTGGCTTATGGAAGGAAAGCAGAGGGCGATGCTGAAGGAAACAGTGAGGGAAGGTTTGGACTCTGATCAGCCATTTTCCGAGACCTTCCCACCGGAAATCGATTCATTGCAAAGGCTTGAGGCGGTGGCGGAGACGTTGGTGCAGTTCCTCGAAAGCTTAGAAGATGGCATCGTCACCGAAGCGCTGTGGCTGGAGCTGGAGAAAGGCATGCTGGAGCGTGAAAAGGCAAAGAAGACCCTCTCGGACGAAGATGAACGGATGTGGATCCTGGATACCTTGTCCACCGCACCCGCTCACAGCGTTTCTTTCACTTTCGTCACGTTCATGCTCGCGCGCGTCGGCAACGAAGTCGCCCCTTGGAATATTCCACTAGAGTGTGGAAAAGCGGAAGGGGTTCCCGCTCAGGTTGCGCCTCGCATCAAAAGACCTGAGGTGGATGCCGCATATGCGGGAATCTTTGCAGATGCCATGATCCGCTTGCCTGCGGCTTCGAAGGGCAAGGAGAGGAAGGCCAGCGAGACGAGGAGGAAGCATGTCGTTGAAGTGTTCCTTAAGGCGACGCTGGATGTTGGGTCATGATATCAAACGGGGCGTTGGGGTAGCTTGGGGGCGTTGGGGCATCGTTTAATCTTATAGAAGCAACGCTATCGTTCACGCCGGGCGTGACGTCGAAGAAAGCCATTGATTGCACGAGTACTCCAATTTGCACGAGCCAAATCCAGGTTTCCGTAGTCCCCTCCCGTTGAACTTCGCACCGGCAATGAAAACATTCCCCGCAGTAAAGCCTAGGTAGCCCAACCCACACCCCCCCCCCTCCTCCACTCGAATCGCCTTCCCCGTTTCACACCTTCCGATTCCGTACCTCGATCGCGGAAGTTCCGGCCAAGGACGACGTGAGCTCGGGTATTGGCACGGTATAAAGGGTCGAGATGTGATCCGTTGAAGGGGGAGAAGAGTTAAGATGTGATCCGTTGAAGGGGGAAAGATACAGTAGAGAGAATGACACGACGGGCTTTAGGCAATCGGCGATGGGATGGATCGGCGCATGAGATTGGGGAATCTTTGGGTGGATGGATCCTGCGCTTTTGGTACCTAATTAGTTACTTGAGCCATACTCGTATGTTTGAGTGTGAGATTATTGGTTTCCTAAACGCAGGGTGTGTGTATGGAGTAGGTAGGATGGATGCCCCCATTCGAGGGCGGGATGCTTTTTGATGACGCGGTTGCGGAGTCGTGCCTGTATAGCGACGTTGCGATTCGTGTAGGACTTTTTACTTGTACAGTAAGTCTTCCGTCTTCTGAGGTTTTCTCGCGTGGTTGGTGGTTACGGGGTTCCCGATAAAGGTTGCTGGAAGTGCGGATATTTGGGGTGAGCGCAGGGGCTGCTGGCGATCGATCAATCAGGTTTGCCCGGTTGATGGAGCATTTGGGTATGGCGTGTTCGGTAGCCATCTTTCTCTGTGTCGAGGTGTTGAAGGGCTCTGTTGGAGTTCCTATGCGGTACCTCAGGGAAATTTCCAACAGAAGACCGAGTTGCGAAATCAAGTCTGTGCACCCCGATGGGTAGGGATTGATTGGCTCATTGGGGTCGTAAGGCGAGCTTATCTAGACCCTATCAGCTCTAGCGTCTTCGGCTGACCGATGAGGCCTTGGCATTGCTTGCTTTTTTCGTTGTAAAGGTGTTTATGTAATATAAAGGAAGTATGTCTCTTTTCTTCACCCAAAGGTTTCGAGCAAGAGCGCAGAATAGGAATGTGAAGTGGAGTGTCCTTCTCTTGAAATGAACGGTGTTTACTCGTGACTCTAATCAGCGCTTGACTGAGCACGATCAATTACCGCAAAATACCGTACATTAATGCAATGTTTGTGTCCATCCAATGACGATGTCAGCGCGTCGAGCATTTATCTTCAAGTCTGGCCCATCCAGTATTAGCGAACGCGTTGCCCAATCTATCTGTGAAACCAAAGCTCCAAACTCCACGGGCAAAAGGGTTGTCAGCTCAGTCTTCCCACCACATCCAAACATCCATCCAATGCTCCTTCCAATTCTCCCACCCGATGTTTCAATGCTTCGTTCTCCTCCTTCAAAATGCTGACAACGCTCCAAGCTTCCGACGCTCTCACGCCTTCACAGTTGGTACAAGAATGAACAGGCATGCCTTTTGCTGCAGGTTGACCCTGGGGCAAGCGAAGAAGCCCAATGTCTGCCGTCGATGCTGAGACATGGAAGTCTTGTGTTCGGTAGACATCTGGCGAGTTCGTAGTCGAGGCGGATGACACGGACATATTGGGCGATCGAGCGCCGTCCCGTCTTGAGAAGACGCTATCGGCGGAGCTATCGTCTTCCGACTCGAACCCAGAGTCGCTGACCGTGTTTGAGCGCATGAGGCCACGATGGCCGCTGCTCGGAGAAGTAACGTCCCCAACGACTCGTACGGTTCTCTTTCTCGCTTCCTCTTCTTCTCGGCGCGCTTGCTTCTCCTGTGCTAGCTCGTCCACCAAATTCATCATGGCTTCGTCTTGCTCAGCAAACTTGGCTGTCATACCATCGAGTTGCATCTTCAAATATCTAGCACGTGTCTCAACGCCTTCCGACTCTTCCGCTACAGTCTCCTTCTCCGCCATCATATCGCGCAGTGCTATTGTGCGCTCCTTGTAGGCCGTCTGTAATCGCGATAGCAGACCCTCAGCTTGCTGTTGTAGGTTTTTGAAAGAAGCGGGCGAGAAGGGGTTTGGAGGTTCGTTGGGAAACAGAGCGGCGCTGACGTCCATCTCGAGAAGCTCATCGCTGAGCTCGTCCGGCAGCGGTATAGGTTTCACCAAGGAGGCTTTGCTCGAGAAGAAAGAGAAGCGACTCGCCATTGCAGGCTTTGGCATAACCTGCGTAGTCGAGAGCCGTTGCAGCAGGTTAGTAGCTCGTATGTCGGACGATTCTGCGATGCTGTCCAGGGGATCACTCTTCTCCTTCGTTGGCGACGGTATGATTCCAACGCTGATTGGTTTAGATTCGCCCTTAAACCAACCCGCGAGCTTTCCAGCCTTCTCTTCTGACTTGCCTGTGAGTACAGAGAATCTATTAGATCGCGTTGGCGATGACTGCCGCGACTGCTGGGGAGAGGGGTGGAAATCGTCTAGTTGTGAGGAGGGGTCGAGTTGAGGTATGACGGAAAATTGAGCGGTGGACAAGTTTCTGGAGTCGGAATATCGACTTATGAGAGGTGGCAGGTCACTGGTGGATCGGGCTGGCCCTGTGACGGTTCGGTGATGTAATTTAGTCGGCTCGGCGATAGGACAGTCAGCTATAGATGCGTAGCGCGTTGGTGGTGCTATCGATACTGTGTCCGGTGGTTCAAGATAACTCTGGGAGGCATGCTGGGGTAGACTAGAAGCATATGGGTCGCTGGCGATGTTGCTCAAAGTCTGTGAAAGTGAAACTGTCTTGGATGGTCTGTAGGAGCGAGGTGAATTTCCAGTATTGGGAAAGACCTGGTGCATTGGCGCAAACGGTAGAGTGAGAGTAGAACGATTTCCTTTGTGGGGCGTCCCTGCTAAACCAGGCCTGCGGAATGTCTTGGCTTCCCAAATTCTCCGCTTCGCACCAATAGCTGCAGCAGTTCAATCTCTAAGATGCAAGCTAGTGGAAGAGGAATGGGGGCTTGTGGGGGAAAGTTGGGGCAGATAATGCAGTGTTCGTTCGCCGGTAGATGATGACGGATAAGCTTCTGACGCAAACGGCGAGGGCCTGACAGCTTCGGTGTAACGCTGATTTCGATAAAGTGACGAGAAGATATATAGTGGGTGAAAAGAGAATCGTGAAGGTGAAGAAAAGGACGAGAACGTGTCTTCACGCAGCCATATCCATATGGGAGGTTGGAGACTGCGTGGCAGGAAATGGAAGGCGGGGACTTAGCCTTGTCGCATCCGGCTTAGTGGCCGTTGACTTGACGCTTTTGAAATTAGCGTCGGCGTTTCAATTTTCCGATTAGTCTTGGCATCCTTTTGACGATCTACAAACACGTTTGGATAACGCTTCTACTCAAATATGCCATTGCCGGCTCTTACTCAATATAATCTAGTAATGAATATAGGATTTCTTCCATTGTACTTACTCATTACGCGTGGTATCTATCCCGGGAGTCGAACCGCTTGTTGGGAAATCTCCTCTTGTTGTCAATCTTTTACATTCCTCCCTACCCATCTCCGTCTATTTCCTTTCCAATCATTATGTCATTCTGCGTCTATTCTACCCTTCGATTGTGTAACCATTTGCGATCCCTGCCCATAATTTACACAACTACGGAACTTTCTATCATTCAATTCATTTATTTCCTAACATTCCGTCATTCCTCTCTATCCGAAACTCCTCTATCCATTTGTTTTATCATTCCATCTACTTTTTTCCTAAACATTATGCCACTTTCCTTTAATTCTACCCTTCTATTGTGCTCGTGGATTCCAGAAATGAGTTACTTGATAGAGCGAGGACACCAATAGATCAAGCGACATGCCGCTGAGTGGAAATATCTATTGGTGTCCTCGCTCTATCAAGTAACTCACTTCTGGAATCCACGAGTATTAATCTTTTACATCCCTTTCTCAGAACATTACGCCACTCTTCCCCTATCCTGCCCTTCTGTTGTGTCACTCCTTTGCATTTGCTGCCTACAATATACGCTGTTTTGAAACTCCCCTGCCCATCCATTCTGCCATTCTGTCCATGCCTTGCCTAACGATCACGCCGTATTTTGCAAGTCATCCCGAAATGCATGCCATTTTCATTGCTTCATCTCCACCACTCATGCCACGTTCCTGGCTCCTTCTCCATCATTTAAGTCTATCTTTGTGGCTTCTTCCCACCATCCCAGCCAATTCTTGCTCCATGGCTCCAGCTCAATGAGCCAACGGACCTCTATGCCCCCCTCCTGAACGACATGTTTGGGGTTAAACTCGCAATCCAACAAGTCGACCTTTACTCTAGCAGCGCACCTTCGAGCTCGTTTCCCTAGTATTTCTACAAGTGTGATCGCACGATGGACGTATACCGTTGGATAGTCATCATCATAGATGAAACATTGTCCGCCCGTCTTGATACCTCGTCGAATTGGATAGACACAAGATTAGGTGGTAGGCGAGCACAGACGGCCACCCAATCGCTGGCGGCGCTGGTGTCAGCAAGGCGATACACTGTTTTGCACAGTTTGAAAGTCAACGATCGAAGCAGGCTTTGTTGATAAATCGATAGCCGGTCGAGGAAGTTTTCCAGAGCTTTTGAGCTCTCGAATCTGAATTCGGTCTGGGTGAGGGAGTAGTGTTCGAGTTCGACTTTCGTGCTCGGTGACCCAAGTCGCATGCCGTAGAAGCGAGATTTATGGTCCCCCCAATAGCGCGGATAGATGCTTCTGGCACTTGATTCTTCGGTGATGCATTCACTGCGATAGTAGTTGGCATGGTCTTCGAACAGGACTTTCAGAATTTTTTGACGCATCTCCCAAGGGAGATAAATGAGTGTGCCGAGTCGTTCACCGCATTTGTCATCAATTCTTCGTTGCCGAGGAGAACCACTAGACCATCGATTCAAGTCAGCGGTGTTATGTTACACGTGCAGTCTGCGCCATGAGACTTATTGGAACCACGAAGTGGCTAATACAAGGCGAAGAAGTATAGCTCAGAGGAGATTCTTACCGTCCAACGCTCTCTAGTCCGCTTGATGCACTTCGCTTTCATACCGGAAAACGAAATCCGGGCCGTACAGCCCCGGCAGCCCACGAACCAGTGAGCAGGCCCCCAAGGGCATTCGCAGCCGGCAGCGCCGTCGTCGAAGGGTAGAGTCTCGGCGTATCCGTCGGTCAAGGTGGGATTATTTTGGAGTTCCCCCAGGCCGAGGACCACGCGCCGCTTGATGAGCGATTGGCCCGCTATAGCTACGGGATGGAATAGGTAGGACGGAGGGTAGCGTTGGCAGGTGCGTATGGTTGTAGAAGATATGGAAGGCTTTGAGAGGGTGCAGAGTGGTAGAACGTGTCAACAACGCAACTTGAATGTTGTTGATCAAGAAACGAGCGTGATCTTTGAGCGATAAGTGAAGACAGCAGCACGTCCGTAGCACAACACAGGCAGCAATGACGGAATACACGCTCGGCCGTCGTCGGTCGGATCGTGCATATCCACTCACGGAGCAGAAACCAATCCCGTCGACCAATCAGTCTTGTACCAATCCTATCGTTCACGAGAAGGGTACCTCATACGTATATATTTCTCCATTCCAAAAATCCCCGAGGAGAAATTATTCCCAACCCAAAAGACCTCGCTTATTTGATCCATGTGACCCCATCTGCATGCCGCATGCCGCCCTCGAAAGGCTCTGCTCCGCTGGCGTTCCTACCCTTCAAACAACTGTTTGGCTTGTACGTACAAGGAGAGCATGCGTTACGTACGGCATCACTGGCCTTTTGATGTTTACGGGCGTTTTTCTTTCGAATGCGCGGTGGATTGCAAGCGCGGAGGGATGGGTGGGTGGAGTGGGGTGCAGTGGAGTGATCTTGGTGCATACTTTGGGATTGAAGTGTTTGCAGGGTGGCGTTTGGTTCGTATTGAAGGAGTGATGGCTGTATTTCTAGTAGATTCTGCTCGAGTGTTCTATGTACAACTAATGGCATCTTCTTTATTCGCAGTCGTAAAGGTTCGATGTTCTGCATGAGTTTGTATATAGAGCAAGTTTGCATTAGGCAAGCATAGTGTAAAGTCAGATGCATTGTGTCATTCTAGGCTGTAGTAGCATCTCGCGACAAATAAACCTCAATCGTACTTTGATAAAGGGGCTTGCACGCAGCAGTATACTATGGAGAGCACGGAGACTCTGGTAACAATGATATGTTCTTGCTGCTAGAGCTAGCTCTGATATATACAAATATACTCCAGTCTCCGTGTTTCATTTTCATGACTTATGATAACTGGTCGACACACCACCTGTCGACACACCACCTGTTGACACACCATGTTGGCTCAACGCAGCGAGTAGCGTCGACACACACCCGCTCGACACCAGACTTCGGACCTGGAATTCATATATAATCGCCCTTCTCTTCTCACTTTCGATGTTCTTCTTTTTGTTCTTCTCTTTCTTTCACCATCGTGAATCCTAGACATACTCGCTCTCCAACCTCTCACAAATATCAACCAAAGCACTTCTTTCACAACAACACAATTCCCTCTCTTCCTGCAACACAGTCGACCACTCTTAAGACCTTAACGCTTTCTCTTGAACTTGTTCCTCTCCTAACATACACCATCACCTTTCAATCTGAGACTCAAGTGTACTCGTACCCTCACTTACATTATAATAATGTTGCTCTCCACCGTCTACCGCTACCTCCAGGGCCAGTCAGGCCTGCCCTCGACACTGCCAGCTAGAGGGTCTGTTGATATGGCCAAGGATGAGTCTCGAAAGATACACCTCTTGTGCAAGGGTCTGGAGCACTTCCGTGAAATATTCTACACAGAGCCAGAGGTAAGTGAATCACTTTCCTATATCATGGATGTTGTTCTAACTCACTTTTGTAGGATAAGAGCACAGTTACTGTAGCTGTCATGCAAGACCTGCTTTCCCCTGGCTCGACGAGTACTGTCAAAGGAATGATAACAGACCAGGAGCCTATCACTCCTGCTACTTTTAGGCAGGATCAGGACGCTCCAGGCACAACGAATTTTTTCAAGAAGATGGCAGTAAGCCAGGACCCTGCCGCCTCTGCTGATACCACCCAAGACCAAGAGCTTCTTAGCTCAACAAAAACTCTCACGGATACCGTGGCGGACCGGAAGCCACGCAAATACGTGATGACAACGGGAGAGGACCTTTTCCAGTCACTGTTTGCGACGGAGAAGACTCCGCCTACCTCTCCGGGTAGTGTAGGATCAGACAGCACATTGGTGGATCCTTCGTCACGGAAAGTATCACCGGCTGACTCGGAGATCCGTGCCAAGGGTAGTCCCATCGCTGTCAAGGATTTTGCCTATCCCTCTTCAGATAGCAAACATGTGCTCGATCAAGAGGCTGTTATCGAAGAGGACACAAAGAGGCAGTTGTTGAAGCAGCTGAAGAAGAAAACGGCGGCGGAGGAGAAGGGTTCCCGGAAGGTCGTAAAGCTGACGGCACGAAACAAGACTCTCGGTGCCCAGCTGAAATTAGCTATATCAAACGTCCAGAATAGAGAGGCACAAGCCGACCTTGCAAAGACATATGCAAACGCCATGACCTTGTCGAATGTCGTTCTGAGACAAGTGGTGAAGGATCTTAATAATGAGCTAAATCGTGAGAAGAACGGCGCCCAAGTCCAGGGGACTCAGTCGCAAGGAGAGACAACCTGGAGTCAACAAAAGGAGGAACCGCTACAGAATCATTTCGAACTTGCAGACGAATTCCGTACTAGTGCCTATGGACCTAGGGCACGTTTGGAAAACGCTTCGGTTGAGCGTAGCCAGGGGATGGACGACATGGATGGCCAAGGATCCATTCAAGAAGAGAACATGTCCCCGATGGGCAAAATTGTGGAACCGAAGAATTCTGGGTCTGTTGCTGTCGAAGTCCTTGATCGAGAAGCCTCACAAGCTGAAGAAGCTCTTGACGAGGTTAAAGAGCACGAGATAGAAAAAGTGGAGACAGAAGAAGAGAAGGAAGATGAGGAGCAGTTTAGGAGCGGGGGCTCCCCTGCTGAAGAGACAACGAGTCAAGTCGATGTGAACGTGGAATGGATCTTTCCCAGTCGCAAGCCCCAAGAGGCTACTGTAGGCAAAAAGCCCGGCAGTGGGAGATCCAATCGCCGTGAAAACTGAAGACGCAACGCCTGATCAAGATGGCTTGAGCGAACCGAGCGGCGAACACCAAGTTTCTGAAACGTATGACGATGATTCCTTTCCGGCTGTCAAGGACTTTATCTCACGGAGCGACAGTGATGGAAATCCTGCAGCCCACGAGCACATCATGGACGATATTGCGAAGCACGATGATATCCAACGTATGGGTATTGGCCATGAAGGCTGTATCGATGGGAATAATGGATTCTCCGAAGCAGCGGGCCCAGCGACGCTATGGGGGATTCTCCGATCCAATGAGCGTGAGAATGAGGTGGAGGATAAGGCAGATGTTGTTGAGGAGGCAGCTGGTGTCCCTGAAGCAGCAGGTCTAGCTACATTGTGGGGAGTCGTCCGGTCGGAACAGTATGAGAGTGAGGTGGACGACCAAGATGGTGCTTGCGATGACGCAGTAGACGTTTCTCAAGTAGAGGTTCCAGGGCCGGCCACCCTCTGGGGCATCTTGAAATCGAATCGCGCATCCTCAGGTGACGTTTTCTGTGAGGAAGGCGTTGGAAACCAAACAGGAGCGAACAGCCACACAGTTCTCGATGAGTCTGAGAATAATGTTTCTGCAGATCTTCTGGACGAAGGCGACGCAGAGCTCATCCCCTCGTCTCATGATGATTATGCGCCAGATCTCAACGACGACACCAACGACCTATACGATGTCGATGTCAGCGACGATGAAGAAGAGATCATGGAGCCATCCGCCGCCACGAATGCTCCCACCGTCGAAGAAGACCCGGCTCCTAGGCCTCACGGCTCTGTTGACGGCGACGTCGTCGCAATTCAGGAAGTTGACGCCCAAGAGGTCACTGTAGAAGAGCTTGTGAATACTATTGATGCAGACTCGCCCGATGCTGTCGAGCCTATCACAGAGGATTTGAAATTTGTTGAAGTGGGGGTTCACGATGTGGGGAACGGTACGGGAGAGGTCGTCCACCTTCAAGAGAGTGTGGTTTCTGTCGTTGAAAATATGCCAATTGGTACGGTCGAAGACGTGAACGAGTTTGTCGGTAATGCGACCGTGGTTCGGGTGGAGAAGGCTGCACAGGAGGTCAACGCATCCGGAGCAGGCGCGGTGGTCGAACAGCTAGGGCACAGCTGTGAGAAAGATATTGACAAGCTAACGCAGAATGATGCTGTCGCTCGTGCTCGTGCTCGTCCTTTGCTAGAGGCTTCTGAGGGGGAGTTGGGTCCAGAGGAGGGTGACGCATTGGAGGGGTCCGCAGAATCTAGAAGCTCACAGGTCATCTGCGAAGATCCCCGCGGTGGATATATCCACGAGCTTCCAAACGTGGTTGCTGGAGTGCCCACCATCACCGCAGCCGAAAGTGATGGTACAAATAGCGGGGCTGTTCATCCACAACCTCTCACTCCTCCCGGCACTCCCCTACCATCACCACGTACCTTCTCGCCCCCACAAGCCGAAAACTTCGATTTCACTCCCCGAATGTCGAAGCCGATGGGGGTGTCCAAGACCGGGAAGCGTAGGCTTGAGCGCCAGCGTGCCGCAACCAAGAAGAAGGACGAAGCAGCGGTGAAGCGTCGGATGGAAGAAGAGGCTGCCAAGACGCCAGAAGCATTGGCTCAGCGTCAAGCCGAGGAGGATGTGAGGCTGGGAGGGAAGCAAATGAAGTTGCAGGCTGCAACGGAGAAGGCCATCGGTTTGCAGAGCGCTAAGTAGGGAATTGTGGTTGGGGTTGGGCTTTGTTTCGTTGAGGGGAGGCGACTAGCGCGAACCGGATAGGCCGATCCCTCTTTCGCTACAGCTTGCACGGAATGGAACACGGATCTTCTTACAGTTGCTAGTGAGAAATTTGGTGAGGCGAATGCATAACGGTCGATCGTCTTGATACTTTGGTGTTGGTGATCGTGTTTCATGTACACTCTAGATTTCTCATTCAATAGAACCTTCACTAGAACGTGACTAGGATTGACTGCATCTTTCCAGTCAAAGAAGCGATGGTAGTGGATAGCTTCTGAACATTACAAAATGGTGTGGGTGACTTGCATCTTGCATAATGCATCTTCGTATATAGACTTCCCTTGCTCTAATGCATCCACGACGAACGTGACCAGAATTGACTGACCCTTCCGGTCAAAGAAGGGATGGTAGGGGAGGGCTTCTGATAAGGATCAATCTGTGTGGGTGATTTGCATCGTGCATAGACTTCCCATCCTGTAATGCATCCAAGATGAACGTGACCAGAATATCGACGGGATCCTTCCAGTCAAAGAACGCATGGTACTGTTGCAGAGGAGAGCTTTTGGTAAGTAACTACGAAATGCTGCGGGAGGCTTGCATCGTGCACAGACTTCCCACGCTGTAATGCAACCATGACGTGCATTGATATGCATGCCTGTGGTTTCAGAAAGAATGGTTGGACAATTTGTCTCATGTACACTTTTAGGTCCGCACATACCACCCCACATACCACCCCTCTCTTAATCTATCCGTTGCATAGCTTTATGCTGTAGGGCGGCTACATTTTCAGGCAAACGTCTAGAAATTGTGGCAAAACCTGGTGACGAGCAGGAAGGGGCTCTAGCGGTGCGTCCGCCCTGCATGTTTGAGCTCATTTCCGACACCGAGGATGTTTCCAGGTTGGCGAACGTACCAATAGTTCTCACTGCGTTGGAAACCATGGCCTGCCAGATCACCTCTTGTCTCAATGCCAACCAATCCATGAGTTGAAACCTAATGTGGACTCCGGTAGACCTGTGTGATAGAACAATGGCTATAGCACGGTTAAAGCGAACAGTTTTGTCTCGTGATGCACTTTTCGTCCAGTGCATCAAGATTGACATTCTCCCCTTTGCGTCCAAGGAACCATCGTCTTTTAAGAACTGCCAGCGCACTCACCTTCGGTTTTCTTTTCTTCCTGACCAACAGCTGTTTTGACAATCCTCATCCCACAGCTCTCCAAATCTGCAAATATCTTCATCCCCTACCTCGGGATATCTCCAAACATCTTCAATCCTTCACGTCTTTTCTGGCAGCTTGTCATGGATACAGGCTGTGCACTCGAGCAGAACGCCATCCGCTCGAACACTTACGAGGAACTGCTGGCCAACAACCAAGCCCTCCAAGACAAGAACACGGCTCTACAAGAGCAGCTTCGCGTTGCCAATACCGAGAACCAGGAGCAGTATGTCTGGGCAGTGTGCAACTCCACAGTCTTCCAGAAGTGGACAGCCTACTGGAATGGCATCCAGCAGCTCAGTCGTGCCATGGATTTGAAGGTGCGCGAGCTGCGTGGACGGTTGGCCAAGAGCCAAGGCGACCTGGCCAAAGAGCGTTTCCTTCATGCCAGAACAATGGCTGAAGTCCACCGCCTACGAGACGAACGGGATATTGCCCACCGAAATGCTCGGATCTTCCCAGCCGAGCCCGGTTCAAATACGGTGGCGGGGGGTTCGATACCCGACTTCACACTGTTTCCTGGGGACGGTTTCCTAAACGAAGAGGATTTTGAAGACTTCAAGGAGTCTGTGGAAGCATCGCCGATGGGGAAGAATCCCCATGTGTACGGCAGACCTGATGGTTTCTTCCCGCGACTTTAACGTCGATGAGGGGCATCTGGGTTTTGGAGTTGGGACACTTTCACGGGGGAATTGGCTCATGTTGGTCTTGTACATAGGACAGATGGCATGATACGGACAGGATGTTTGGGTTAGCGGCGCTCGAGCTGTCGCTACAGTTCGGCAGCAGGCCTGGAAATGTTGCCACAATTTGGGTCTTGGATATCATTTCTGCCATACCTTCAAGGTCCCATCCCCAGTAGAATTGATATATGTCGGTAACTCAACACTCGCTTACACTAGTACTCATTCGGTCTAGTCATGAGTATATGAAGGCATTCTCTGTACATAGATATCCTTCTTCCTTAGACATCATTAAGAATACCATATCTAGTGATAAGTCTCATTATACAAGTAACTGCATACCCAGGTATTACCAACACTGATCAGTGTTGGTAATACCTGGGTATGCAGTTACTGCTATAATGAGACTTATCACTAGATATGGTAGTCTTAATGATGTCTAAGGAAGAAGGATATCTATGTACAGAGAATGCCTTCATATACCCATGACTAGACCGAATGGGTACTAGTGGTAGCGAGTGTTGAGTCGTTCCAACACTGGCAAAAAACAGAAAATGAGGCTATTCACATGTTACATTCCTTCTCCGTAACCCCCATGACCGCAATTACTCCCTCTGCTGTAGTGGGCGTAGATCCGGTCATGCCGGGCGTATTTCTAGTAGCACTGCGCTAAGACGGCTTCCTATTGGTCAGTATCAGTGTCTTGTCTTTCCACCCAGCCTTCTAGATCCAGTTCCAGGTGATTCGTATCCACTAGACGTTGTAGTGCGTCACATCCCTTATCCTTTGTCATTGAATCAGCTGGATTCTTGTCTCCTCTGATCCATAGGATCTCAGTAATCTCCCGTCGTTCGTACGACTGTCTCAGACATAGAATGTCTATCATTAGTCTTTTCTCTTGTGTTGTCCCTAGCTTGACAAGACATTCGTATAGAGATTTCGAGTCTATACACATAGAAAGAGGTATCTTCCCCTGGGAAGTACCAGAGAAGATTTGATCCAGAGTGGATTTTATGGTGGCTGCAACGTCGAATCCCAGGGACAATGCGTAAAGTTCGGAGGCCAATACGCTTCTAGTGACTCGGCGGCATTTGATCGATTGCCAATGGATGATATTGGCCTTGTTCTGAGCGTCAGCTAGGGCTATCACATAGCCGATTTGGGAAGAGAGGTCTTTGTTGTTGGCGAATGACGAATCCGTAAAAGCCACGATTCTTAGAGACGTCACATCTAGCTTGACGAATGTGAGGCCTCTTCCTTCCATTTGCCATGAAAGACAGCGATTTAGGTACTGAGCATCCTCGTATGTAGGTTCTGTAATCTGGGCGGCATATGATAGGGCGAATGCCGCTTGTGGCTGTGACACAGTAGCGATGTATGCTCCTCGTGCTCGTTGGGCGACGTACTGTTCTTTCGTGAACGATTTCGTGAGTAATTGGATCTTCTTCGCTTGTCTGAGTTGGCTAATTCTTATGTTATCCTCGAGAGTAATAACGAATCCATTGAATTCGAGAGGCTGTTCCGGAGTGAGTCTCTCGGATGGCTTAGCCAGTAGTCCTGCGGCGTGTAGTTCTCGTGATTCCATGTCCATGAACTCGGTGGTACCGGCGATGAGAGAGTCATCGGTTTGTAAGCCAACAATTGCTGTCATATCGTTGTTGAATAGTAGGCAAGTGTCGAATGTAGACGGGGTCATTCCCAGCTTCTCCACATGGTGTTTATGATATGTCTGAAACCAGTGGGTACCGGACTCAGCAATTCCATAGAGGGGGAGAATGACACGGAGTATCGTTCTCGATGATAATCCCATTTCAGCTGGGGCTAAAATAAAGACATCTCTAGCCAATTCGGATCGAGATTGCGTGTATGCCTGAGTAATGTCGCGTAGGTATAGAGATAGCTGTGGGATAGCTAACGCTAGGGCGATAATAAGCCGTTGACTGGCCCGTTGAATGGTAGGGGCCTGAGTGAGAATCCCATGCTTCTCCGAGTCATTGAATGCTTGGACTACTAGTCGCGACTTCTCGAAGGCTTTCTCGGTACCCTCATTCTTGATTTTGTCCACAAAACGACTACCAAATATCCGTGCTCCTGCGGGGATATCTTCGGTCTTCATGATCTCAAATACACCCTTTTCAAGTAGTCCATTCAGTTCTTTTTGCCGGGATGCCTGGAAGTTCGGTGAAGGTGGCTGTGGCATGGACTTAGATATGTAGACCGTGATGTCAGGAGAGCTTCGAAAACGGGCGGGAGCATGTCGACGTCGAGGAGGGTTATGACGTAGTGGAGCGTCCTGAGGAGGGTCTTGATGGTCTTGGTTATCGTCATTTTCGTGTTGAGTATCGTCTGACTGTGGAGATTCTTGTTCGGGGGACTCGGGAGACTCGATTGGGGTGTCTGTTTCTTCCAAATATGGCTTGACGATAGTGATTCGGAAGTCTGTAGGACCATTAGACAATTCGACGGTGCATGTCTCTCGAGAAGTGGCTAGCAATTTGTATGGTCCAGTCCACTTCTTTTGATGCGTTCTCCACACCAGTACCGGGGAACCAATTGGAGTATCATGCATCCTCATTGTCTGGGGGCCGTTCCGCTGATGTAGGGCGTCATTGACTTGTCTCTTAGCGTGGAGTTTTGCAACTTCAGCCATTGCTATAGTGATAGCTTTTGCCCTCTCAGTAGTAGACAGAGTTGGTGCATCGTCATTCGTGATACGGGGGAAGGTTCCAAAAACCAGCAATGTGGGAACGATGCCGTTGTATCCGGCTGTATCGTTGACAGCCTTGACAGCCATTTGTAGGCGGATCTCCTTCCCAATACCTTGGTTCTCCAGTTCCGCAGTGATTATCGAATAGGCTCGTCTCAATGGAGTGTGATATCGTTCTACTAGGCCGATAGAATTAGCGGCCTCAACTGGTACGCATTTCGTTTGAATGCTCAGAGTTCTGGCGTTTTGCCTAAACTCGGTACTGTCAAAGTTAGTCCCAGCGTCATGGACAATGACATCTGGAGGTCCGACATATACGTCTATCCAGCATAGTCTGAGCATGTCCCATGTGTGGGAGGCAGTCATATTCGTCAGCCATCGGGCGGCCTGAAATGAAGTTCCCTCGTCAACAACTTGTAGTTCAATACTAGTACACTCCTCAGTCAATCCTAGCATCGTCCTCCACTCTACAGTACCTTCAAGCGGCTTTAAATCAGCTCTCACAGCTATACTCAGATGTCAGTCCATTTGTGGCTCATATCGCGGCCATTGACTATGCTGGAGCTTCCTCACAGTTGGTCGCGGATTACGTCTCCGCTTTGTCGCTGGCAGAAGAGCTGGGATTCGGCGTGGTGTCTTCATTCTCCGCATATGAGGCGCAGCATATGGCATTGCTCTCTACGCTGCTTGCGAGCATCATGCCCACCATACACATTTACGATGGGGTCAGCATTGGCAGGGAGACAACAAGAGTTATTGATGTCCTAGATCAAGCTGGTCTGCACAATACATACAAGGCCGTTCAGAATGAAATATCTGCACCAGGAAAGAAGAGTGTGAACACAGACACGAAAGTGCTGCAACTGCTGAACGCGTTGAATGGCGAGCTTGGTACTCAGTACGGGGTCTTCGAGTATCACGGCCACGCAACACCAGACTCGGTGCTGACAGTCTTCGGGACTGTAGAGTCGTCATTGGCCTCGCAGGTTGCTCTGTCGCTCGAAAGAGAAGGCGCGAAAGTGGGAGTCGTGAATGTCAGAGTCTACAGGCCATTCATTGAAGAGGAATTTCTCGGGGTCCTGCCTGAGTCAGTGAGGAAGATCGGTGTGCTTGGTCAAGTTGACGATCAGCAAGCGGTATCGGACAGCAGCGTGCGCTCGAATCTGTATTGCGACGTTATACCAGCGATCGCATACTCAGACAAATGGGCAACGCCTCCAGCGGTAATAGACGTGAAATATGCGAGGGAAACTGTTTGGACGCCTGTCTCTGTTGCGGCAGCATTCCAACTGCTGGTGGAGAAGCCAATTTTGCAACCTGAGGACATATGGACTGAATCTGGAGCCCCTTCGGCCCTCCAGTTGCTTGACCCTTCATCTGTTCAGCAGTATACCTTTTGGGACATTGATACCTCAGACTCGGCAAACGCGCCGGTTGCGCTCGGCCAAGCTTTGGCAACAGATTCCGCGAACAACGTCACCACCAAGACAGGATACGACAATCTGATTCAAGGAGGAGTGTTCCGTTCTAATATTCGGAAGTCTAAGAAGACGATCGAGGCTTCTTACTCGATCGATGCAGCAGATGTAGTCTATGTCGGCGGCGAAAGCCTTCTCAAGATGTATGACATCCTCGGTGGCCTCAAGGCTGGCGGAAAGATCATTTGAAGCTACCAGGCGTAAAAGATGACGATCTTGAAAAGAAGCTTCCAGTCGAATTTAGAAACGCATTGGCCGCCAAAGGTGCCAAGTTGTATATTCTTGATCCACCAGCAGTTGAGGTCATAGCCAATGATCCAGCACAGGAAGTATACTTGACGGAGCTGGCATTCTTGCGCGTCGCGTTGCCCAACCTTGAGAAGACTGGATTGCAGAAGCTGGCATCTGTCAACGGAACAATCGAGACATTGCAGGAATTGGCCAAGGTTCTAGACAACGCTTTGCGACTCGTGGAGATCCCCAAGACTTGGGCCACCGAGGAATTAGAGGGCACGCCATCCTCATTGTTCAAGGACATATGTACGAGCAGCTTTGTAGCTTACGACAAGATTGAGGTAGACCCACCCACGTATCTCAAAGACTGGAAGACGGCGGCCAAAGGCTTGATTTTCAAGGAGGCTTACGGCACAAAGCCGGCACTGCGCCCAGACGTCAACGTCAAGACCTACACAGTGCATGTACAGGAGAATCGCAGACTTACGCCGCCATCTTACGACAGAAATATTTTCCACATCGAATTTGATCTTGGGAATTCAGGCCTGACCTACGATATTGGAGAAGCGCTCGGTATTCATGCTGAGAATGACGAAGTCGAGGTCGAGGAGTTTATCAAATTCTACAAACTTGATCCTAAGGAGATTGTTGAGGTGTCGAGTCGCGAGAATCTCGAGGTGCTCGAGAACAGGACAGTGTACCAAGCTCTTATGCAGAATGTCGACATCTTCGGCCGACCACCGAAGCGATTCTACGAAGCTTTGGCTGAGTTCGCCGATGATCCCGATGAGCGGAAAGAGCTTACCACATTGGGAGGCCCTACCAAAGAGGGTAACCAGGAATTCAAGAGGAGAGCCGAAGTAGATACTATTACTTACGCCGACATCCTTTTGGGGTTCCCTTCGGCCCATCCAAGCTTCCATGATATTGTCCGCATTGTTAGTCCGTTGAAGCGAAGAGAATACTCAATTGCGTCATGCCAGAAGGTGACGCCGAACAGCGTTGCTTTGATGATTGTGGTGGTCGGCTGGGTAGATCCGAAGGGTCGTGACAGATTTGGTCAAGCTACAAGGTTTCTTAACAAGCTCAGAGTCGGCGCTCCTGTCACTGTCTCCGTCAAGCCGAGTGTGATGAAGCTGCCACCGAAGTCTACCCAGCCATTGATCATGGCTGGTCTTGGCACTGGTCTTGCGCCATTCCGAGCCTTTGTGCAGTATCGCGCGTGGGAGAAGGCACAGGGCAAGGAGATTGGGTCCGTATTGCTCTACATGGGCTCGAGACACCAAAGAGAAGAGTATTGTTATGGAGAGGAGTGGGAGGCCTATCAGGATGCTGGTGTCATCACGCTGCTTGGTCGTGCTTTCTCCCGTGATCAGCCGCAGAAGATCTATATCCAGGATCGGATGAGGCAGACAATGAATGATATCATCCAGGCTTATCTGAAGGAGGAAGGGGCTTTCTATCTTTGTAAGTGCTTCTGCACAAGCGTGAAGACGAGCTTACTGATGCGTTGCTGCTAGGCGGTCCTACATGGCCTGTACCTGATGTCACCAACGTGCTTGAAGATGCTATCGCCAGGGACGCACAGATGATAGGCAGGAAGGTGACCCCGAGGACTGAGATTGAAAAGTTGAAGGATCAGCTGAGATATGTTTTGGAGGTTTACTGAAATCCAAGCATTGCAAGCATATCTGCTTTCTAAGCGTGGCGTAGGCGGTGCGTCTGAATTTCTCGGATATTTCGCACCTAACTTATACGAATAGAACTGATACATTTGATTTTTGACCCTCCATCCACTACCTTCCCCATACTGCACCAAGTTTGTCCTGCATGCGAAAGATCTCCTTTGTGAAGACTATGTATCAGTCAGGGGTTCAGGGGCGATATTTGGTTTGAGAAGCACGCCTTGTAAGGCGACGCTAGGCAAGGAGTGTTACCGATTGGACAATGACCGTGGCGCGAAGTTTGCGCTCACTTTGCTTCTGCTTGCAGACAGTCATATTATGATACAACATAGTCACTATAACAGCATTGACTCAGCGATCTTAGTAATGGCTTCGTGAGTCCACTAACAGCAAATTTCATCATCTGAGGAGTCTCTCACGCACTGTCGCAAACCTCCGCGCTCACCCGCACCGCAAATCAGCAGCCCCACATCAATTTCCCGACAGCACAAAAAAGTACACAGAATGTCTGGCCGCGCCTCGCCATCACCAGGCAGAAGACCACAGCTAAACGAGCGCGCTTCATCCTCGGCTTCTCTCTCCAAGGGGTCTCCAAATACCGGTCATCTCTCCAAGTCGCACAACAAAGGATCCTCAACCAAGCTGCACAAGGCGCATGCCGTCGGTCATGGACGTCACCCGTATGGAAGAGTGCCATCACATGGCAAGGGTCTACACAAGCTCTCCAAGTTGGGTCCTGGCGATGCAGGAGAGGTTGCAGGACACACGAGACACCATACTAGATCAGCGTCGCATACACCAACGGCCAGCCCAACAACACAGAACTTCAAGCGCAATAGCTCTAATCTCAGCTTACCAAGAGTTGGGTCTAAGGCGTCTATAAAGAAGAATAAATCCGAAGTATCTCTGGGGCGGAACCCTTCATTGACCAAACTGGGGAACCAATCGAAGGGAGAGAAGGCGCAGACGAAGAATAGCTTGCGCAAAAAGGGCGATGATGATGGTCCCGTGAAAGGGCAAGCGAGCTTCGAGGTGGGAAATGAGGATCACGAGAACGATGACTGGACAGAGGAGAGCAACTCACAGTCACCCCATACCACTCGACATGGCTCAGTAGGTCGTAAGACTCCCCAACTGGAAGATCCTCCTTCGCCAGATGAGCCCGCAGAACCGTCTCCTCCAAATCTCCCTCAATCACCACCACAGTCTCCACCTAATAATCCTTCAGCTTTCGTCGATCATGCAAAGGAGCAAGATCATCATCGAGACAGATCCCCATACTCTCACCCACCAGACGCAGACGACGTGACTCACCGTCTCCTCAATCGCAGTGCCCACAACGCAGCACCTAAAACATCTAATGTATCGGCAACAGTTACACCAAATGGCTCCAGCGGTTCTCCAGCATTCGTTCACAGCCAGGACTCCGCATTCGGTAACAGGGATTCCATGCCCGGAGACGGCATATCTCGCTTCCTCAACGGCACAGGCTCGAACTCCGGCAGCGCAACACCAGGCTCTGTATCTCACCTTCAGCAAAATCTAGCACATCTCAACCACACCACCCACCATGACCGTCCAGGCTCTCCAACAGACTCATCCTCAACCGTCAAAGCCCCTACTCGCAGGGTCAAATCTGCGGCTAATCTGTCCCACCCGCGTCTCAGCAACGGCGAATCCAGCTCAGCATCTCCACCCATACCGAAACAATCCAATGGCAAGAACCCACTCAAGCCTCCAAAAGAAACTCGCGTCTCACCCTTCGAATCAGCCCGCGGCGCCGATCCCACTAAGGGCAAATCACTCACGCAGCTGAAGTTGGATCTGCAGCGCATGTCCACGCAGCGTGATCCACCATCCGATCAACACCCGCTCTTACAACACGGATCAGGTTTCGGAATCCAGAATCTCAGCGCTGGGTCGAAAGAGATGGAGGCGAGACAGGCAAGGCAGTGGACGCAGGCAAGGGTCGAGTGTGCGAATGCGAGGCGGTTCTATCCCGATTTGCTTGCTGGCAGTCTCAAGCAACAAGCTGTGCAGAGCAAGCTCGATGGGCGGAAATTTGATGGACAAAAGAAGCTGGATGGGAAGAAAGCGCCTGATGGGCACAAGGGGAAGAGCGTCAAGACGCCAGTCGGGAACTCTGGGGAGGCGTCGCACGGGAGGGGCAGAGTGAGATTTGAGGTGGGGAAGGGAAGCCCAGAGTTGGTGGAGGAGCATGAGGAGGATGGGCCGATGGACGAAGGTGTAGAAGGGCTGCTGAGGAGGATGTGGGTGCAGGGAGAGACTAGTGGTGGAGAGGAGTAGCTGTGTTCATTCAGGCGGTGGATTGCAGCCAAGGAGACGGGTGGCTGTGAGCTTTGAACATATGGTAGGCGATGATGCTTTATGAGGCCTGTCAATCGGAAGCGATGGTGTTGGGGGTGGAGCATTCCAAGGAGCTTGAGAGGTGCATTGTTGGACGCAGGGTCTTCAACCAGACTTATTCATTAGTTTGGCAAGAATTCGGGTTCGAGCTTGTATATACCATTGCCCTTAGGTGGGATATTTCAACACGCGCGTGCAAGGCTCATTGAGCCTTGCAAATAGCAGTTTAGAATGCTTCGGTGCTTCAAGATCGAGAACTCGAGATCATGTTACGTTGCTCGAGTATACTTGTACGATATCACCTTTTCTTACATTTCATCAAATGCGACAGATTTCGTGCTGAAAGTATACCTAGATTCCTAGTTCGCAGGCACTTTTGAAAGGAGCGGCTTGCTCCTAAGACAGGCTTTGCATGTGTCGACCACGACGACCATCAGCGTCGACGACAGACATGGCCAACATAACAAATGTGATGTCGGCGATGAATATGATAACGGCGATGACTCATGACGACAGGGAGGTAATATGTGGGCCGTGGTGAGATATATCTATGGGTCTAAGGCTTTGCGGACGATACTCCCGTGGGCTCGCCATCTCTCTCATCAAATCAACCCTTCTCAAATCCCAGCCTGATCATTCGTCCAACCTATTCGCTCTGCAATTTCCCGCATGACATATTAGGAAGGGGGGCATGCAGCTGTCAGCCTTTTTCTACTTTAGCGTAAGATAGAAGGCTGCATGCTCTGCGCCTCGCAAGCCTCGTCAACAACTGTCAATGTTTCCATCAACATACATCATCTATCAAGCAGACAAAGCAAAAATCTCCGCCAGTCATCATCAGTTTTGTGCACGCTACTATCTGCTGATCGGAAAGAGAAGGCCAGCGGTGCCTTTTGACCAGAACCTGGCCTCTTGGAGGTTATAAAGTACCACTTCGGGTGGAATCACAGACTCTACTTACCAGCGCAGTCAACGAAGTGCAAATCAGGATTCAGCGCCATGAGCTTTGACTTTAGCATTGGCGATATCATCGCGGTGTCGCACCTGGCCAACAAGGTCCGCAAGCGCTTGGTGGACTCGTCTGATCAATTCAAGGCTGTCTCTGATAAGTGAGTCGCTCCCACTTCTTTTGAACGGTACCGAAGATACAAAGCCATGTCTTTTGATATTTGCGATGGTATGTCCACTTCGACAGCGCCTGTTGGATCCATAGTTTTCGCCTGTACTCTACACATCGTTCCTTATCATACCTTATCTTTCTTTGAAGCTATTTGCTCTGATACATGTTGGTGTAGTGTCTTTGGGCTTCGATCGACACACCGAGAATCAAAAGGGTGAAAAGCCTCTCCAATATCCATCGTGACCTTGAAGAAGTCCTACCGGAGCGAGAACTCACGCCTCAGCAACACCAGGATCGCCAAGATCACATCCGAGGATGCGAGAATGTGCTCAAAGACTTGGACAAGATCATGGACAAGTATGAAACTCTGGATGCCAATCTCGCAGGCTTCGGCAACAAATATCGAAAACTTTGGAAGAGCTCATGTTTGAGCCTGAAGGCTTGAGAGAACTTCGCCTCCGATTGATCTCCAATATCGGGTTATGGAATTCTTTTACCGGTACACTTTCACTGTAAGTACAGATTTATATCGGAATGGATTCGCATTTCTTCTTGAGCATGCCAGCATTCTCCTCGGTAGTGGTTTGGCTTCCACCATGGCTAGGGCTACTTGATCTATAGAGTTGTCGTATCCACGATATACATGGTCAAGACAGCGGATAGTGCCGGTTCAACTTGATGAAGTCCTCGTTACTGCACACCCATACACATATAGGAGAGCAAGTCTCTCGATTTATTCTTTACAATGGGAAATGCGTTGCTGATGTTCGTGATCAAAAATAGCGGGCTTTCTAAATCGACCAAAGCTGGTGTAGATCTATTGAACAGAAATCAAAACGAGGAGCATCTTCGTACAGTTGCAGAACGGCTGTCAACTTCAGACTATCCTTCACAGCAGACTGATCTCTTCAACTAATGCCAGGAAGGGACTGGGCAATGGCTTTTTCATTCCAAAGAATTTCAAGCATGGCTTGACGGGACCGAGTCAACGCTTTTCTGTCCCGACATTCCCGGAGCAGGGAAAACGATGATAACATCCATCATGACAAACAACCTTCAGCAACGTTTCCAGGGCGATAAGAAGGTTGGCATTGCTTATGTCTATTGCAATTACAAACGACAGCCGGAGCAGACCATCCACCATTTTATGGAAAGCCTGCTCAAAAAACTAGTTCAGCAACAGCCCAACCTGCCTGAACCAGTCAGCACTCTCTACTCCAGACATATGGAGAAACGGACAAGTCCATCTGTAGCTGGAACATCGACTGCTATACGCTCCATCGTCCATGGTCTCGCTAGAGCGTTTATTGTGATGGACCCTCTTGACGAATGCACTGACACGAACAAACCAAGATCGATTTTACTGGAAGAAATCGCGAACCTCCAAGTTCAACCAAATACACATTTCTTTGCAACCTCGCGCTTCATACCCGATATAAAAGCCAAGTTCAGAGGCATGGCAAACTTAGAGATACGGGCAACAGATGCAGATGTGCAAGCATATCTTGAGAATAAGATTTCAGAGACGCCAGTTTGTGTATTCACGCAATCGAGCGCTGGAAGAAGAAATCCGGGCAGAAATAGTAAAATCAGCTGCTGGAATGTAAAACTTATCCATTGCTCTAGTCGACTAGACACCAAGTTGATTGGTATAGGTTCCTTCTCGCAAAACTTCACCTAGCGGTCTTTCCGACAAGGTTACAGCGAAGGATGTCAATATCGCGTTGCGGGATCTGCCTAAGGGATCAGGAGCATTGGAAATCACATACACACAAGCTTTAGAGAGGATCAAGGGCCAAAACCCAGGCTTTCGGCGGCTCGCTGAAGCAGTCTTATCCTGGATTGTTTGCGCCCCAAGACAATTGACCATCTAGACAACCAGTACGCTAGTATTGGTCTTGTCCTAAGAAGTCTTTCGGCGTATAGGTTTGCGTATGATACGTCATTCTTTGTCGGATCAGAATCTAGCAAGTTTTAGTCCTCTGACCCTAATTATAACACCAATCCGTCATGGTGATTTACCAGCGACTCCACCGGGTTTGGAACCTGTCTGGCGGTTCATGCACCTATTGCTGCAACTAGCGGAGATGGAGTGACCTAAGGTACCTTAGATCCTATTCCTACAAGGCTGCAGAGTTGCCATACAGACGAAGATGACATTTCGAGAGCGGAACAGACAACGCTCCAACGTCTTAGTCGTACCGCATTTCTTTTCGCAGTGCAGGTCGATCGCATTACATCGTCACCATGTCTAACGCTTGTGAAACATTGAGCCCACGTCCGGCAGCAGTGACGGGCCCGACAACAACGATAAGTGCAGACAATTATCTTGGTCTTGAGAGTGATCGTGAGGAAGGTCCAACCCGATCGAGCAGAGACAAGTCCGTTGATCTGGAGAGTGGCAATGCCAAGGAACCAAGCACACAGAGAAACGAGATGAGGTTTGTCTCGGAAGCAGGTCGGTATACTACTAGACATATGAGACACCCTGAATACAATACTGACCAATTGTAGCTAGTAAGAATGAGACATTTTGGTCCAAAATTACGAAATATTGGTTCGCTCCATTATGCCATGTAGAGGAAATAGCAAGGCTGAGGCTTTCGAAAGAAGCTTGCTTATTGCAATACAACCTTCGAGACGCAGCAACTCGTCCAGAGATCTATGAAGTAACAGGCTCAACACCACTCAGTCTGATAGCTCGCAGAAAGGATGATCCTGCCCTGGGAAAATGCCTATTCGATTTACTACTGCGCTGAACAAATGGCTTGACTCAAAGCCTCATACGATCTCATATGATAGTCAGAGCGAAGCGCTCGTTCCCATAGCAGGGTCAGCGTTGAATCCTCGTTTCTCTAGCAGGGCCAGCGTTGAGTGTGAAACACGGCGTTAGTAAGCAATATGAAGACGACGACGCTGCAACAGATGAAGATCCTCATTTCTTCTCCCACACTTGCCCCAAGCCCATCTATCTCATCCCCGCCTGCTGCTGCACCTGCATCTTCGCCGCCTCCATTTCCTGCTCAGTCGGCAAGTTGACAATCATCAGATACAGCACATTCTGCTTCATCAGCTTCCTCTTCTGCTTCCACGCCTTCCTCTCTTGTTTCCTACTCGGTGCAACGCCCGCCTGGATCCTCTCCTCGCGTCTCCTCGCTCGCCGCTCAGCCTTCGGTGGGATCTTGCCGCCGGAAATCAGCGTGAGCCACGAGCCCCTGAATGCGGGATGGTTGGGATCGCTGACGCGGGTCCCGAAGTCGGGCTTGGGCAGGTCGAGGCGTTGGTCGGGGTTCTTGTGCAACTGGTGTCCGGCTTGTTAGTAGGCCGAGAAGGGGGGAGTTGGGGGGGGGAAAGGACATACGTAGGACGCCTGTGCCCGCTTGTCGTAGTAGTCTGTCACGAAGGCCATGCTGCTCTTCAGTTTGCTCGCCTTTGCCGGGTCTTGCGTCTGCGCGGCTTCGTCCAGGGCAGGGAATACCAATGGTGCAGAGTCTGGCATCTCGATCGCTCCGTACGACCGGCCCGCGTTTACTGCTCTAAAGTTCTGATACGATTTGTGGGGCGCATTTTCTTTCCTGATGATCGTGTTCAGGTCCGCTTGCTGCACGGATATTGGTCTTGTCCCCTGGGGGATGTACTTCATAACCATGGCGTACAGACCCCTGGGCTTGAACAACTTGTCGTTCATCTCGTCAAGGAAGCTGTGGGTGCGCTGTGTAGTCTGCATGTAAATGGCTGCCCCAGCGGCGAATTGAATGACGATACTTGTAATCTGGCTGATTGGCTCTGGGACGAGGCCTACAACGCCTGCGGAGACGAAGACGACGTTTAGCAGTGGCGATGCTTGTGACGCTGCGTGGAAGGTTTGGATGAAGGATAGGAAAGGGGCAAATTACCGAATCATACCCCGAAAGTACGAATCCTTACCGAATCATACCCCTAATTACCGAATCATACCCCTACACCAAATCACACCCAAATATAAGGTATGATTCGATAATTTGCTATTGCTTGGGGTATGATTTAGTAAGTTATCAAAGTGGCCTCAAACTACGAAGGAGATAATCCGCGATCTAGCCTGTCTAACCATAGAAGTAAGGGATTTTCTCTAACCATATTTGATAAGAATTCTATCAGTCTGAAAATATTAGATGAAAGTCGAGTGAAGGTAATTTCGACTGCTCGAAGGCTAAATCACATCTTACGCTTTAAGATTTACGGGGTTTATATTAGTAGCGACCCCTATGGGGGTCTTACGAAGGCCTTACGAAGGCCCTACGGGGGTAAATATTTAAGTTTAAATAAGAGTATTCTAGCTATTAAGCGTATTATTATAGATATTATTATTAGTAACTTAGCTAAAAAGGCTAATCTCGAGGGTGTCTACGCTTAATAGCTAGAATACCCCTATTTAAACCTAAATATTTACCTTTATAAAGCCTTCGCAGAGCCTTCGTAAAGGTCGCTATTAATAGTTTACTGCCCCGAAGACACTTTTAAGATCCTCTTAAATACCTAGATTATCCTATATTTTATACTATAAATACCCTTATTTAGGCCTTTATAGGGGTCTTAAAAAATAATTTCTAATAGATATCTAGCTATATCTATAAGTAGGTTATTTAAGTAAATCACTATAGTAAGTATAAATCCTTATTAAATTATACCCCAAGCAATAGCAAATTATCGAATTATATTCTATATTTAGGTGAAATTTGGTATAGGGGTATAATTCAGTAATTAGGGGTATGATTCGGTAAGGATTCATACTTTCGGGGTATGAATTAGTAATTCGCCCAGCATGCAAAGCGCCTGTTTTGATATTCTACCTGAAGCTTTCGTAGCATTTATACGCGTTCCGTGTTATATTTTGGCGGGTATCACCACTTGTTGGGGAACTGCCACTGTAAATCGCGCAATGCAGTCCAGTCTCAGGGTTCTCGAACCGTAAGCTTCCCACGAAATGCGGTATACATGACATCCCTTTTTTCGTCGGCGCAGCGATACCTAACTTACTAACGGATGCTGCACTTCTCTCGATGCCGACTCCCTATATTTGGCGGATGCATAGTACTAGGTCGCAAAAGGGAACGGTTACTGGTATGTCTATGCTTGGTGGTTTGTATGTAATACTGTATCTACGGCAACGTCCTTTCTTACCGAACTCTCTCTAGTGTCTTGTGCGGACTGACCACAATTCCCCAGATCTGGACTACGACTTCGCTTATGCCGGTACTTGATCAATAACAGAATGTGATATTGCAATCGTTTCTGGTATCCTGATCCAAAATCGTTCACAATCAACAAAAAGGCTAGCTAACTCACGCGGCAGCTTGTTCACCATCCCTCCGACTAGTACTCCCCCAGGTCATCTACAATAATCCCAATCTGATGGTACTGCGCTCGAAAGGCTATGTTCCCGGTCGGAGTACAATCCAAATCACCCTTCAGCGAGTACTCAGAGCCATGGCGAACCACACAGCGAGATGAGCAGTCACCACAAGCTTATGATACTGTCAGATAAGACACACGGCATCTTGGTTGTGGGTCAATCTCATGCAACCGTCATTGCAGGGAAGAGAGAGATGCGTGGCCAAGAAGATATTGAGATGCTGCCATCAACCACGCCAGCTGATGGTGAGATCAGTGTACAGCGTCATTTGAACGTGAACTGGGCATAGATCCACTAAGGGCTTAGTGCATGATCTACAATTCGAAATGTGGCATGCAGGACTACGGTCTCTACGATCTACCAGACTGAGCTGTCCACATTAACTTGAGTCTGCAGCTATAGAACGGACTCACCGCAGTATCGGAAGTCAAAGCTCGCATACGTAGATAGACCACGCTGAGAGTCAAGCACTACTTCAATGATTCCTTCATCGTCGCTACCATGCCAGACCCAGAACCGTACGACACGCAGACAGACCCAATGCAGTAGAACTTGACATTATCTCCTACTCCGCTCTTTCCCAGCAGAGACTGACATCATGAGGTGGACACTTACCAACGACGCATTGCAAAACATTTTTGTATAACGTACAGATGAATGACACTTCCGCATCACAGCGGTCTGCAGGCTCTTCGGCGAACATGTTCTTGTCGTTGTTTTCGACAAGGACATTAAAGAGGCGTACATTGACACCAGTGCCGAGGGTCATGCGTTGGCGGCCAGCCTACACCATTTGTTGGTTGTGGGCGTGAGTATGCTTCGTGAGATTCACCTCCCGAGTATTCTTCTTTCTCCTCATCTCCCAAACCTGGCAACAAGGCGCTGAGCATTTGCCGACGTCAGCTTCCTCAGGCTCTCGGTTGTCTGCCGACCGAAGTCAATTACGAACTGTCTTTGTCCAACTCAAAAGGCTTGGAGAATTAGATACTTCCCAAACAAGTCATTGTTACTTTCCCTTCTCAGCGCAGATTCAGTACAAAGGAATCTACAAAGACAGGACACAAGAGGCGCAATGTAATTGTCGCCACCCAGAGGCTGTCTTTGTGTAATCCTCGACGCTTTATGCTGATATGTTCTCAACCTATAAAAGCATCCAGCCTTCATCATCTTTCCATACGCAAAAGCATCCAGCCTTCAACATCTTTCCATACCCACAATCAGCCCCAATTCACAAGTCTTTACCACAACATGTCGCAATCTTTTCTCAACCAGCTACTCAACAATCCCGAGAACCGCGTACAATCGGAACAAGGCGAACAATGCAGTATCTGTCTTGAAGAGTACGATACACTAAACACATCGACCGGAACGATCGAGTGTCAAATCCGCCTACCCTGCAACCACAGCATAGGCTCATTATGCGTCGTCACCTGGCTTCAAACAGGCAAAAATTGCCCCGTCTGCCGGGCAGTATTCTTCGGTGCTGCATCCCTACCGGCTACCACCAGAAGGGACGACGGACCAGGAGTGCCCTTGAGCGAGTCTCAGGGAAACGAATCCCCAGCCCTCTTCGTGGCGGACATTTTCCACAACCTCGATTTTCCCCGCAGGCCCGCAGGGCCATGTTCCTACGCAGATCCTAAGGTTGGCAACATCAATGGCCAGCCGCTTCACGGAATTCCCCAACGGCCAAGCCTTTTCTACACGCTGCGTCGCCGCCGTCAACATTTACATGGCCGCACGTATCTGGGGTCGAAGCTTAGATCTGAGGGACATCGCGCGAGCAGCCGGCATCGAGGTGCATGAGGTGACGCATCTTTATCAAATTATGTACCCGCTTCGAAACCAACTGACTCGCATGTAGATTCTTGGGCAACGTGGTAGTTCAAGGGGGCAGAGGGAGTAATTTCAACCCACTTGAGTGATATGCACACGCTTGGTTAGAAAATACAAACAGCACTGTTGCAGTTTATCCATTTCCTAATCATGTCTTTTAAGGCAAGAATACTGTTTAAAAAGATAAATCGAATTTGATTTTCAACAACCCTCCTCTTGTAATCGCCTGTGTTGATTATAGAGCCGTATGGAATGATTTTTGTCACCTAAGATGAAGTGCCTCTTCGCAATTTGCGGTCCTCTCGTTATGTAATGCGGCAGATAAACTCATTCGATTTCAATTTGCATGGAACGAATAGAGATTGCGGGCTCACTCAAGGATAGTGAAGAAGGATCATCGATTTGCTCTAATCGTATGGGAAACGCTACACTTAAGCTTTTCCCTACGATTAATGTATCTGGCGTATCTTTTCAAAGCTGGAAGTCCTAATTTAGCTCAATTCTGCTATTCTGCAGTGATAAAGCCTAGATAACGAAAGTAAGAAGTTCAACATATGATGAGCTGCTGACAAATGTCGATCAATCTGTGCACAAGAGGTTGAAGCAGAGGACTCTCTCGATCATCAGAAGACGGAACAAAAAAAAGACCACCCTACAGAGGTAGAACTCCCCAGCTCATAACGACGATCGTGGTCCCGACAGCAACCTACTGCCGACCACCAGATCTCCTCAACTCAATTTGGTTGTGATTGAAGAACCGTTGACGGAGACGACGCCCGATATGCCATTCGAGGACGTTCCCAAAAGCTCCACTCGGGATTACCGCGGCTGTAGATGAATGGTACCTTTATAAAGAACACTCGAGCTCCATGGTCACCCAGGAATCTTGACCTGGAGATAGCTCCATCTTTCCAAAAGAGGAGTTTCAATGAGAATTGACGGTCTTTCCAAATCAAAGCGGTATTTAAGATTCCGACTCGAGTTTTACAAGTTCATTTTTTGTTATCAGATATTCCTACTCTCTTAACCTAAAGTACAGCTGCGAAAGAACCCCAACGGGCAGTCCCGCTAGGGTAAGATTAGTACGACAGGGGACTGCTGGTGGGGAACCGTCCGTAGCTGAGTAAGAGCCCCACGACTTTACAACGGCGGTACAACGGACTTTTTCTCCTATTCTTCTTCATTCCTCCATCTTTTACATCAGCATGGGTGTCCTTGTACGACTCATTGGCTCTGGTGTTGGCCTTGCAGCCGAAGCCATCGCTTCAAAGAAACAGAGATCGCGCTCAAACTCCCCTGGAGCTAATCTGTCCCCCCAAGCCTCTGCCTCGAGCACCAGGGATATAGGACCTTCCTCTTCAAGCAACAAGAGCGAGAAGAAATCTTCAAAAGCGCGTGAGGCACACGAAGACTTTGAAGAACCACCGCCAGCCTACGAACAAGTTGTCGAAGTACCCGAAGAGCGGGCAGACGAGCTCATCGCAGATGGGAAAGCGTTGCCCTTGGACGAGAAACACGGTCCAAGTCAGGAAAGAGAGGGCCACGAAGATGACAGCGACAGCGACAGCGAGGGCGACGAAGCGAATTGGGCTCTTGACGAAGCAGCCGAAGAAGTCGCAACGCCCGGAGCCGAAGATCCCAAGCTCAAGTACGGAATGATGGCACAGCCGACGATCGAATCGTTCAGCGCGGTGGTGATGTCGAAATGCCCGCCTCTGAAACACCCGACAAATCCGCTGCAACGACCTGTTATCATTCCGCAGCGAAGACCCGGCGCTCGAGACCGCGGCTTCATCCACGCTTACTCGCCGGACCTCGCCGAAAAAGGCATTTCCGAAGAAGCTTTCCTATCGGGCGAATTACTAATTCATACCCCGAAAGTATAGATCCTTACCGAATCATACCTCTAATTACTGAATTATACCCCTATATCAAATTTCACTTAAATATAAGATATAATTCGATAATTTGCCATTACTTGGGGTATAATTTAATAAGAATTTATACTTGCTATAGTAATCTATTTAAGTGGTTTACTTATAGATATAGCTAGATATTTATTAGAAATTATTTCTTTAAGGCCCCTACGGAGGCCTAAATAAGGATATTTATAGTATAAAGTATAGGATAATCTAGATATTTAAGAGAGCCTCGAAAGCGTTTTCGAGGTAGTAAACTATTAATAGCGATCTCTACGGAGGCTCTACGAAGGCCTTATAAAGATAAATATTTAGGTTTAAATAGAGATATTCTAGCTATTAAGCGTAGATACTCTCGAGATTAATCTTTTTAACTAAGTTACTAATAATAATATTTATAATAATACGCTTAATAGCTAGAATACTCTTATTTAAACTTAAATATTTACTCTTATAAGATCTTTATAAGATCTTCGTAGGGCCTTTATAGAGGTCGCTATTAATATAAATCTTATAAATCTTAAAGCGTAAGGTGTAATTTAACCTTCAAGCAGTCGAAATTATCTTCACTCGACTTTTATCTAATATTTTCAGATTAATAGAATTCTTATTAAATACGATTAGAGAAAATCTCTTACTTTTATAATTAGATAAGCTAGATCGCGAATTATCTTCTTTATAGTTTAAGGCTACTTTAATAACTTATTAAATCATACCTTAAGCAATAGCAAATTACCGAATTATACCCTATATTTGAATATGATTTAATATAGGGATATGATTCGGTAATTAGGGGTATGATTCGGTAAGGATTCGTACTTTCGGGGTATGATTCGGTAATTTGCCCTTTGCATGCTAATGCTCCACAATTCATCCGATTGACCTTACAGTCCTTGAGCTTTCCGCTCCTTATGATTGATACAATACATCGCCAGGACGATCTTCTATCCCACTTAGATACGTTACACAAACGGGAAAGATAGCGAACTCGAGCCCGATCTTCGTCCTCGTCTCCGGTGCTTGACACCTTTCCACTGCTTACTAAATTTCCCTCAGCTACTAGCGGCGCCATTGAGCCGCGCAATGCCTCCCTCTTTCCCTAACACCGGACCCAGCAATCAATCTGTTTCTTCTACAATCGGTGACCAGTTTCAGCTTCTAAGAACGCCTCGCTTGGAGAATAGAAGTGAGTTACACATACCGCATCAGTGTCCCCATATTCGCGTCCACACACTGGACCATCCTTTGGCTCCCATCCTCCATCCGTGCAACTCACCACCCCCGTCGTGGTATTACTGGTCCAGCTCAAATCTCCCTGGGTGAACTGGATATAATCGCCTTCATGCTCTCCTGTTATCATGATAGCCAGCCCTAGCCGAGGTTGGAATGAATAGGTGTCTCCGACGTTGATAGGCATGCCCAAAGGATAGGTGTAGTTGATCGCCGTCTCGCCAATGGTGTCCCCGTTGCCGTTTGCCATACTCACATTTGCAAACAAGTCGGAGCTTTCGGCTCCACAAAGTTCATACTCGTCGACGTGAATCTTGCAGGTGCTGGTAGCAGAGACTTGCGTGGCTGTGGCTGTGCTCGAGGGAGCTTCTGGCGGGGACGTTCCCCTAAACTCGGTCCACAGGCTCGCGTCAGGTGTGGCGTTGGGGATGTCCGGGTTGCTTGGAGCCACGAAAGATGCAGGAAGTACGGTGCTAAAGTTGACAGGTGGGTAGAGATCGGCCTCCGTGGTGGACGAGGAGGATATGAAACCGGACTGTGCTTGATATACCTTGCGAGGAACGGGCGGAAAGACAGATCTAAACCATTCTTGGATATATATCGCTGAATGCCATAACAGTCAGGGTGGCTCTCATGCATGGGTGTAAACGCAGCTCGTGGGAGGACAATAATCATGCGGGATCATCGGAATAGAAGGTGTGCAAGTCCGGGAATCACACGCTAACGAAAAGTTTTTGAACCTATCAAGGCAGGACGTGATTCAAGGAACATAATCACTCACATAGGGCGGCACAGCCATAGGAGTCAGCTATGGAGGCTATTTTCAGCAATTCAGTCATTCGCAGTCATCCGACACATTGACTTACGAGTGACATAAGACCAGTAGGCCCCCTTCAACTTGGCCTGGTCCCAAATGGATTGAGGGCCGTTTGCATAATCCCTAGTATTTGGTTGAACCACTGTGGAGTCGAAGTGGTAGGTTTCGTGATACAAGATCGTTGCTCGATTCTCATAGAAGTTCTCCAAGATGTTCTTCTCAGCTGATGGGTTAGGCATTTTGGATACACTCCTGATTGTGTCCATGAGCGTGGGTTGGGCAAAGTAGAGTTCGCACAAGGTTATGTAGTGATTCGTCCAGAATGTTCCGACTTGGCTATGTGTATAGCCGGCAGACAGTGGATATTTAGTGCAATAATCTTGGTGCCAGTCATAACAATAGAAGTACAAATACGTGCTACGAGGTGCGTTCTCGGTGTCGAGAGCATGGCGTCTTGCAATGTTGTCCCCAATGATTTGCCTGAAGTTCAAGTCCGGGCGAATTACTAATTCATACCCCAAAAGTATGGATCCTTACCGAATCATACCCCTAATTACTGAATCATACCCCTACACCAAATTTCACCTAAATATGGGGTATGATTCGGTAATTTGCTATTGCTTGGGGTATGATTTGATGAGGATCTTAAATGATAGCTTTCTGATATGAGAGGGTTTAATGAAGTTAATGGTAGCGGTAGGCTTACTGAGCGTCTGGTAGTAGTCGTCGACTTTTTTGACGGTGGTATTTACGCTGCGGGCGGGGTTCGGGGCGAGGTTTGACCCCCGAAGCTTACCCCACCCCGTTGCGCAGCGTAGTAGGAATTATTCCTTCGGGGGCCCTACGAGGCCCTACGGGGCCTATAGGACCCGAATAGGGGTGTCTGCAGCGTGAAGTGCGGACACCCCCGGGCTCGAAATTTCGCCCACTCGGCTTTCGTCTGATGTTTTTAGGCTGATAGAATTCTCATCAAATGCGGTCGGAGAAACTCCCTTATTTCTATGATCGAATAAGCCAGATCACGGATTATCTCCTTCGTAGTTTAGGCCACTTTGATAACTTACCAAATCATACCCCAAGCAATGGCAAATTACCGAATCATACCCCATATTTGGGTGTGATTTGGTGTAGGGGTATGATTCGGTAATTAGGGGTATGATTCGGTAAGGATTCGTACTTTCGGGGTATGATTCGGTAATTTGCCCTTCAAGTCCCAGGGAAGGGAGCCGCCTGTGCTGGCTACATTATTCCCAAAGTAATTGATCATCGCCGTGGAAAAAGCGCCGCCGGGAACATATCTCTGTTGAGCTTGATCCAGGAGGCTTGCGTCGTACCATGCTGCTTCTATGGCATATTGTTGTTGGATTGAACAACGACTGTCCAGAAATTTCTTAGACAGTGCCGTGTTAGCGGACGGCTCGCTGTGTTGGAATTCGGATCACGTGACTCTTGGCGTCTTGGCGATCACGTGACATGGTTATATAATACGCCTTAGCGTATTTATATCTAATCGCTCTTTTCTTTATAGTAACTTTATAATTAATAATTAAATATCTTATCTTATATTTCTATAGATTATAAGCTTAAACTCTACTTAGTAATTATTATATTATAATTACTATTTATCTTTATAACTATAATTACTCTTAGACTTTTAATATCTATTTTATAATATCTAAAATTTATTATATAAAGATAGTAATAGCTATAGAGATATTCTTTTAATCTTTTTAATAAAAATATTTTTTTCTTTTAAAATAATTATAAATTTAAATAAGTATAATTAATTAATAATATAAGAGATTAAAAATTATTTTTATCTTTATTTTAAGTAAGCTAAGATATATTATCTTTAATCGAAATATTAAATTTATTAAATTTATTAAATATATAATTATATCGTTATATAATTAAGTTATATTATTAAGATTCTTTAAATTTTATTAACTTTCGCTAAATTAGAATATTTAATTTTATTAAAAATAAAATTATTTTATATTAATATTAATTTTAAAATTATATATTAATTATTAAATTAATAGCTATTAATTAAAAGTAATTAAATACTAATATTAATAATCTAATTATAATCTAGAATATTTTAAAATTAATATTATTATCTCTTAATATATTTATAAATTTATTAAAATTAAAATAATAAGAATATTTTATTAATATTAGCTTTTAAGCCTTTAAAAGTCTTTTAAAGAAAAAAATTAAGACTCTATTATCGAATTCTTTTTCTATATTTATTTATATTTTATTATTATAATTATAAAATTAGAATAATTTTTAAAGTTTTATAATAGTAATTAGCGATATAAATATTTTAAATTTAAATTTTTAAATAAATAATATAAGAAGAATATTAATTTCTCTCTAAGAAGAAGATCTATATATTTATAATAATTATACTTTATATAATTCTATTAGAAATTAGTTTTTATTTATAAATTATTTTTATTATTAAATATTAAATATTTTAATTATATCGTCTATATCTATCGTAATTTTATATATAAATATTTTTTATTCTTTATATAAGAATTTAAAATTTAAAGGCGATAGTTAATTAATATTAATAAGATTTTTAAAAATTTTAATAATAATTAAAGTATTTATTCTACTTTCGCTACTTTATTAAATAATAATTTTATTAATTTTAAATTCGAAGTTAGTAAAGATATATTTAGCTTTATAAATAATATTAAATTATTTAATTTTTATATTAAAATATTTATTATATTTACTTTAAAGCTATTTTTAGAATCTTTTTTTAATTTTATAATCTTATTTAAAATAGTAATTAAATTATTATTATTATTATTATTATTACTCTTTTTATTAATATTCTATATATCTTTATATAGATTATTTTCTAATAATAATAAATTTAAATAATTAATTATAGTACTTTATAATTAAGATTTAATCTTAATTTAATAAAAATAATTTTCCTCTAATTTTTATTTTTATTTTAGAATTTAATATAAGATATATTAGATAAAGATAAGATATTAAAAATTAATTAATATTTAATAATCTTTTATTTTTTATTAAAATTATTAAGTTTAAAATTTATATAATTATTTTCTAATATCTTAAATATAATAATTATTAGTTTATCGAGATTAATTATAATAATAAATTTTTTTTAAATAATATTTAATATTATCGCTAAATATTATAAGTTTAAAAGATTTAAACTTTATATAGAGTTAATTCATTAATTACTTAATATTACTCTTATCTTTTAAAAAGATATTTATTAATATAAAAAGAACTTTTATAAGATTATTATTAAAATTATTAATTTATATAAATCGCTCGCTTTATTAAAGCTTTTTTTAATTTAAGTTATTTAACTCTTTTTATAAAATTTAAAAACTCTTTTAATATCTTTATAATAATTTATATCTAGATTTATAAGCTATATAATGATAAGATTATTAAATTTAATAAAATTATTTATATCGCGATAAATAAAGAGATTTATTTACTATTATTTAAAGACGATAATATCGCTATATATACTATTTATAATAAAAATAATAAAAATAAAAATAAATAATTTATTAAATATTATAAAATTAATAATTCGAAAATTAATTACGTAATTTACTCTTTATATAAAATTATTAAATATAAATTTAAATATTTCTTTATTAAATATTAGACTAAGTTCTCTTATCTAAAATTTAAAAAGTTTATATTAAATAAGAAAAAAAAGAAGAAGACTTAAATCGTTACGATTAATTTTAATAATATAAAGAAAAGTTTTAATATTAAGCGTAAGCGTATTAAAGAGATATTTTTTAACATCTTTATTTTAGAGAAGAATAAATATTTTAATATTAACTATATCTTTTTAAAAGAATTAGATTTAATTATATATTATATTAATTTTAATTCTAATAATTTTAATATTTTTAATATAATTAATAATAAGAAAGTTATTAATTTAATAATTAATAATTTTAATTTAAAGTATAATTTAATAATAGCTAATTTTATTAAGTTATACTTTTTATATAGTAATAAACTCTAATTACTTTTACTATTTCTTTATTAATTATTTAATATTTAATATTTATAAAAAGATTTATTTTTATTCTATTTATAATATTAAAGATAATTAAGTTTAACTTTTTAACTATAATATTATTAGCTTAAATTACTCTATTTAAAATAAATATATAAATATTATTTTATTTAATATCTTATATATATTTAATATAAATATTAATTTTCTTTTTATTAATAAACTCTTAAATATTAATATTATAATTATTTTTTATAAAATTAATTACGCTTTAATTAAAGATAATTTAAAGCTTATAAATACTTATAATCGAGATTTATTCTTTTTTAATCTCTAAAATAATTTAAATAATATTTTAATAATATATAATATTTTTTTAAACTCGATTTATTAACTCTAATATATTTATATAAATTATTTAAATTAATAAAATTTAAATAAACTTTTCTCTATAATAATAGATATAAATTCTATTAAAAATATTATAAATAAATATATTTATAAGTACTATATTATAAGATATTAAAAGATTATCTCTTATATTAATTCTATTATATCTAATATATAATTAAATAAATTTATTTATAATAATTTTATAGAGTTTTTATTTTTTATTAATTTTAATAACTATAAATATTTTATAATATTTAAAAATAATTTTATCTTCTATTTTAAAGTTTATTATATTTATTATAAGAGTAAAATCTTCGCTATATTTTTATAATTTAAAATTTATCTTAAATTATATAATTATAAAATCTTTTATATTTATCTTAATAATAAGAGTAAATATATATTTAAAGTTTTTTTTAATTATCTTACTTTATTAGATATTAAATAGAAATTTATTATCTTTAATAATTTTTAAATAAATAATATAACTAAGTATTTTAAATAAATCTTATTATATAAAATATATTTTATTTTTTTAAATTTTAATCTTAATAAATCTTTTTAATTTTAAATTATTATTATTATTAATTATTTAATAATATAATTATCTAATATTAAAACTATTATAATTTCTTTTAAAATCTTTTATTAATAAAAGTTTATTTTTTTCTACTTATATATAATTAATTCTATTATTTATATAATAAAAAAAATTTAAAAAAAATTTATAAATTAAAATAAAAAGTATATATTATTAGAGTATAAGAGAGAGTATATCTTTCGATTATATAATCTTATAAAAAT